AGGAAGCCCTTCATGGTTTAGTACAAAGTAGAGCAGCTGAGTCATGTCCGATTTATTAAGAGGAGCGCCTTCAGTTCCTATTCATAGGAAGAGAAAGGGGCTCACTTCTTCAAGCAGAAGAAAGGCTCTTTCGTAAGAGGCAAAGGAGCTCTGCGATTTTCTAACAGGGAGGCAAGGGCGAGAGCCCCCCCCCCCCCGCTCATGACTTGTTGACGAGAAGAGAAGATAGAAGAGCTTGCTTTTTCATCGGGCTCTGTCACAAGAGGTAGGTAGAGAACGTTCTCATTTCCTGCGAAGAGATATAGCGTTTTCTGGAGCCAAGCTCTATACCATGTAAACGACAGAGATCGAGTAGCTCCACCGTTTCGTTTCCAGAGAAAAGGCAGAAGAGCTCCTTCGCAAGAGGCAGAGTGGCTCTGTCGTTCAAATTTTTTAAAAGTGTATGAGAGACACAGGGGTTTCGGGGGCCACCTTATTTTCAAAGATAGCAGAGCTTTCTCATAAGAGATACAAGAGCTTTTCTCTCTGAATCTCTTGTGAGACAGCCTCTATATCTCTGAATTGATATGAAACTCGTTCGCTCATGAGGGGGTTGTCTACCTTCTGGTAGGACACGGGAGACCTCCTTCCTCTCGGCATAGGATCTGAAAGAGCCTCGTCTTGTTTTGGGAAAGGAAAACGCGTCCCGAGGAGCTTTCTCATTCCTGCTTCTCCTACAAAGGAATAGAGGAGCTCTTGCAGAACATTTTCCAGAGATCGAGAAGCCCTCTTATGCCAAAAAAAGCGACTGAGATCCGTCATTAAGTGATGAGGAGCCTCTCAATTGTTTGAGTTCTTTCGAGACTTCGCTACAGAGGAGCTCTTTCGTAGCAGGCAGGGGAGCCCTGTCATGTCTTGAAAAATTTAGAGGGGGCTCTTCATTTCTTACTAAAAGATCGCAGAGCCACCTCAAACAAAGACGCAGGAGCTCTTCTTGCCCTTGAAGAGCTCAAAGAGTATCTTCTAGTGGAACATGAAGGACCTTTTTCTCTGATGAATGAGCCCCATCATCCTTTACAGGAAACGAAAGCGTTTTTTTGCCCAGTAGCTGCCTCATTCCATTTTCAAAGGTAATGCGGCGTCAGAATTTCTTTGAAGTGCTGTCATTTCCTAGAAAGATAAATGTGCCTTCTGATGTCCACTTTTTCAAGGCACAGATAGAGATGATCTCCCGTTTCCTATGAAGGTCTAGAGTTCTCTCATGTCTCATAGCGAAACTTAGAAACAGGAAGCTGTTCACGGTCTCGTACAAAATAGAGCAGCTGAGTCATGTCCGACTAAGAGGAGCGCCTTCATTTTCTATTCATAGGAAGAGAAAGGGGCTCACTTCTTCAAGCAGAAGAAAGCTCTTTCGTAAAGGGCAGAGGTCTCTCGTGACCATGATACGGGCGCTCTTTCTGAAAAAGATGAAACACGAGCTTGCTCGCTCCCTAGGAAGAGCGAAACGAGTTTTCGCTGTTTTGATTACGAGGAGAGGAGCTCTTTCACATGAGGCAGGTAGAGAACGTTCTCATTTCCTGCGAAGAGATATAGCGTTTTCTGGAGCCAAGCTCTATACCATGTAAAAGACAGAGATCGAGGAGCTCTACCATGTCTTTGCTAGAGGTAAAGGAGCTTTGTGAGTTTCAAAAGGCAGAAGAGCTCCTTCGCAAGAGGCAGAGGAGCTCTGTCGTTCACTTTTTTTGAATGGTGTTTGATTGAAGAGACACAGGGGCTTCCGGGGCCACTTCATTTTTTAAAAGATAGCAGAGCTTTCACATAAGAGATACAAGAGCTTTTCTCTCTGAATCTCTCGTGAGACAGCTCCTATATCTCTGCTTTTCGGCGTAGGAACTGAAAGAGCCTCGTCTTGTTTTAGGAAAGGAAAAACGCGCCCCGAGGAGCTTTCTCATTCCTGCTTCTCCTAGAAAGGAATAGAGGAGCTCTTGCAGAAGCCTTTCCAGAGATCAAGAAGCTTTCTTATGCACTTGAGCTCTGTGATTGCCTATTGAGTGATGAGGAGCTCTTTCGTCGCAGGCAGGGGAGCCTTGCCTGTCACGTTTTGAGAATTTTTAGGAGCTCTCTCATGTTGTGTTGGGAGATAGAGGGGGCTCTTCTTTTCTTACGAAAAGATCGCAGAACAAAGACGCAGCAGCTCTTCGTCCCTGAAGAGCTCAAAGAGTATCTTCTAGTGGAACATGAAGGACCTTTTTCTCTGATGAATGAGCCCCATCATCCTTTACAGGAAACGAAAGCGTTTTTTGCCCAGTAGCTGCCTCATTCCATTTTCAAAGGTAATGTGGCGTCAGAATTTCTTTGAAGTGCTGTCATTTCCTAGAAAGATAAATGTGCCTTCTGATGTCCACTTTTTCAAGGCACAGATAGAGATGATCTCCCGTTTCCTATGAAGGTCTAGAGTTCTCTCATGTCTCATAGCGAAACTTAGAAACAGGAAGCTGTTCACGGTCTCGTACAAAATAGAGCAGCTGAGTCATGTCCGACTAAGAGGAGCGCCTTCATTTTCTATTCATAGGAAGAGAAAGGGGCTCACTTCTTCAAGCAGAAGAAAGCTCTTTCGTAAAGGGCAGAGGTCTCTCGTGACCATGATACGGGCGCTCTTTCTGAAAAAGATGAAACACGAGCTTGCTCGCTCCCTAGGAAGAGCGAAACGAGTTTTCGCTGTTTTGATTACGAGGAGAGGAGCTCTTTCACATGAGGCAGGTAGAGAACGTTCTCATTTCCTGCGAAGAGATATAGCGTTTTCTGGAGCCAAGCTCTATACCATGTAAAAGACAGAGATCGAGGAGCTCTACCATGTCTTTGCTAGAGGTAAAGGAGCTTTGTGAGTTTCAAAAGGCAGAAGAGCTCCTTCGCAAGAGGCAGAGGAGCTCTGTCGTTCACTTTTTTTGAATGGTGTTTGATTGAAGAGACACAGGGGCTTCCGGGGCCACTTCATTTTTTAAAAGATAGCAGAGCTTTCACATAAGAGATACAAGAGCTTTTCTCTCTGAATCTCTCGTGAGACAGCTCCTATATCTCTGCTTTTCGGCGTAGGAACTGAAAGATCCTCGTCTTGTTTTGGGAAAGGAAAACGCGCCCCGAGGAGCTTTCTCATTCCTGCTTCTCCTAGAAAGGAATAGAGGAGCTCTCGCAGAAGCCTTTCCAGAGATCAAGAAGCTTTCTTATGCACTTGAGCTCTGTGATTGCCTATTGAGTGATGAGGAGCTCTTTCGTCTCAGGCAGGGGGGCCCTGCCTGTCATGTCTTGAGAATTTATAGGAGCTCTCTCCTGTTATGTTGGGAGATAGAGGGGGCTCTTCATTTCTTAGCAAATGATAGCAGAGCTACCTCTACAACATGCAGCAGCTCTTTTCTTTCCCTGAAGAGGTGCTGAAGCTCAAGCAGTAGAGGAGTGGTCATAGAGCTCCTGTATCTTTTGTGAGACAGCTCCTCTATCTTTTGGTTGATAGGAAGCTCATTCTCTTATGAGGGAGTTCGTCTATCTTCGAGCGGAACATGAAGGACCCCCACTTTCCCTGATGAAAAAGCCCCTCCATCTTTTATGGGAAATGAAAGCGCTCCTCCCACCCCCCCCCCCAACCCCTCAGTAGCTTTCTCGTTCCGTTCAAGGTAATGGGGCGTCACTGTTTCTTAGGAGCGCTGTCATTTCCTAGAAGATAGATGTGCTTTCTAATATCCACTTAAGAAGGCACAGTAGTTTCCAATTAAGGCCTAGAGAAGAAGCTGAGAAGCTGCCTCATGTGACAGGGCGAAATCTAGACACCGCTACAAAATAGAGCAGCTCTGTCACGTCCGATGGCCAGGAGCACCATTCATTTCCCGTTCATAGAAAGAGAGAGAGGGGCTCTGTCACTCCTAGAAAGAGATAGGGGAGCTCTCTCATGCAAGAGTTAAAGATACATAAAGGAGCTCTCTCATTGAAGACACATAAGGAAGTTCTCTCATTGCCTATTAATCGCTAGAGAACCTGTCCTCACTTTTCAAGTAGAAGAAAGGCTCTTTCGTAGCTCTGTCATTTCCTAGGAAGCCCTCTCATGACTTGTTGACGAAAAGGATAGAAGAGCTTGCTCATTGTGCATTAGGAGGTGGCGGAGCCCTTTCATAAGAGGCAAGGGCGCTTTCTCGTTTCCGCTCATAACGTGAGGTAGAGGACCTCTGTCATTCCTATTAAGCGATAAAGGATGTCTCTCGCGACCTTCTATTTGGTAGAGACCCTCTTTTCCGAAAAAAGATAGCCGTAGAGGAGCTTGCCATGCCCCATTAAGGGCCATAGGAGTTTCCGTAGTTTTGATTACGAGGTAGAGGAGCTCTTTCGCAAGCGGTAGGTAGAGAACGATCTCATTTCTTGCAAAGAGATAGAGGAGCCTGCGAATCATAGTAGCTCCCTATTTGCTTTCAAGAGGTAAACGAGCTTTTTGAATTTACTAAGGGCAGAGGAGCTCTTTTGCAACAAACAAAGAGCTCTATCTGTCATCATTTTTATTAAGAGATAGCCGTTTCCTAGAAGATAAACGAGATTGTTCATGTCCCATTGTACAAAAGGCAGAGATACAGAAACTATCTTGCTTCTGCTGAAGACCTAGAGGACCTGTCTCATGTCTCATGAAGAAGTGAAAAAAGAGACGTGTGCATGTCTTTCTAAAAGATAAAGCAGCTCTGTCATGCCCATTAAAGTTTTAAGGGCCACCTTTCATTTGCTATCGGAAATACAGCCTGGTTTCTCATGCCTACTCAGCAATAAAAGCTTTCTTCCAGCTTAGTAAGAGACAGAGGATTAAGACGATTGTGTACTAAAGTATAAAGGAAATGGCCAAATAGACCCTAAAGGTCTCGGCCACATATATATATATATGTATATATATATATAATATATATATATATATACATTTTTTTTCGCAGTCCATGGCCGACTTATGTATCTCTACGTGTATGAATACCAGCTCAAAAAGGCCCTGTGCTGCGATGAGGTTGGAAGTGCAGACTTGCCCAAGAAGTTTGAAGGGACCGGGCCTGGGTTCTTTTTTTCTTTTTGTTTGCCCGGCAGTCGGCTCTCTCTCTGACTTGACTGGAAGAGAGTTTCGATAAGGGTTTCATAAGTTCTAAGGGTCTCATAAGTTATACGCGTTCTTTTTTTTGAACTTTGTTTTTTTCTTACATGCGGGTGTTTGAGCGGCTTGTTTTTGAGTGTCTTCGGTTTTGGTTGTTTGAGTTGTTTGGCCTTTCTTAAGAACACTGGCAGGGGATTGAGGGGTAGTAGAAGCTGCAGGATTATCAGGCTTTAGGGGAATGTCTTATGGCTGAAAAGGCCTCTTGGGGGCTTTAAGGGGCTGTTAGGCTGTTCTATTTTTCGGGGCTAGTGGTCCTCACAGTGTCACAGCCTCATGGTTTTTTTTTGGCTTCGGGCTTGAAGGGCCCGCTAGAGCAGATCCGACACTCAGACCCCAAACTCACCCCTGCGAAGCCTGCTGCACCCCCTTGGAGGTTGAGGGCTTTCGGCTCTAGGACCTCAAGCCAATCCGACCTTGTGCTTGTCTTTTGCGGCTCTCATGTAGCCCATTCCTCCTAGTATTACACCTCCCGCTACCCCCAAACTTTAAATGCCCCCCCCCATGTGCTGTCATCTAAATAGAATTGGGGGGTATCTAGTATTAGGGGGTAGAAATCAGGCCTGGCTTCAGCCGTCTCAGACGCATGGAGCAGGCCCGGCATGCTGACCTGGTTGGAGTGGGTTTAGGGTTTAGGGTTTAGGGATTAGGGATTAGGGTTTGAAATGAGGTCCCTCTTTTTGGTTTCTTCTTGCAGTTTGTCTGAAAGCAACAGTGGGGTTATTCAAATGCCCTGACAACTTTCGGGCACCCCCATATGGCAACCCAAAACCCAGAACATGAGCCCAAGTTGGCAACCCTAAGCCCGAAGCCCCAAGCCCGAAGCCCTAAGCCCGAAGCCCTAAGCGCCCTAAGCCCTAAGCCCGAAGCCCTAAACCCTAAACCCTATTCCGAGGGGCTTTGCGCTGAGCCCCTGCCTTTTCCGCATGAGGAGAAGGAAGAGGAGCCGGCAGACGGGTCCCAGCCGCTGGACACGCGATGCACCCGCTACATGTCCGGGGCCCTGGTTTAGGGTTTAGGATTTAGGGTTTGGGGTTTAGGGTTTACGGTTAGGGTGGAGAAGTTGGGTTGTGCAGGCGAAGCACTCTGCTTTGTATGGGGGTTTCCGCCATTAGGGGTACTTTCTTGGGCTCTTACCTTTCAGGGGCTCCTACCATCTGGGGTGGATAGTAGGGTCCCCTTTTTTTCGTAAACCCCCATATCAAGCAAGGGAGGCAGGCGTGAGCATAGAAGATGAAGCCAAGTGCGAGGGGGTGAGTAAAGCAAGTAGGGTTTTTCAGGGAATGGTCAGGGCATGACAGCTGGTGTGGACAACTACCTACCATGCTCAAGATCCGCAACCCCATGAGGCAGGAGTTCTGCGACATCTTGCCGCAGAGTCCTCGGAACCTGGGGAGGTGCTTGCTTGGATCATGGCCAACACCATTGAGCTTCGTCTAGGTCGAGGTAGGGGACGATCGGTCTTTACCGGGATACATGAAGGGACACATGCCTTAGTATTCAGGAACCAGACGGCTTGAGTCAAGGCAAAAGCGCATCTCATGGCCGATTGCTGCCCCTAAGAAACCAACCCCCCCCCCCCCCCCCCCACAAGAGTTTCCGTGCCCGTGCTTTGCGCCTCCGAGGCTCTTGCCCCCACAGCTGCCCGAGACGCCCTCCCAAGAGGAGGTCAGTCAAGAGGCCTCATAGGGTTCAGGGGCCATCGGGGAAGGCAGCAGAGAACCTGAATGCGAAGCTGAACAGTAGCTTCGGATTCCGATGCGTGAGATGCTGCTGATGGAGCGCGTCACCAAGCTGAAAAAGCAGTTTGGCCGCGAGGCCGGGTCGCTAGTGCTCGCTGGCAAAGTGGCATCATGCATCGAGCCTGGAAGCTGTGGCGTCTCGGTGAGGTCCATCAGAGGGCGATGGAACTTGCAAAGGCAGGGACATCCCTCAAGAGAATCCTCCACCTGCAATGGGCAGGAACTTCATCCCTAAACCCTAAACCCTAAACCCTAAACCCTAAACCCTAAACCCTAAACCCTAAACCCTAAACCCTAAACCCTAAACCCTAAACCCTAAACCCTAAACCCTAAACCCTAAACCCTAAACCCTAAACCCTAAACCCTAAACCCTAAGGCCATGCTTGTTGCTGCCGTGGCAGGGCGCCGTCCCTGCTGAGACGGAGGAGGTCTTTACCTTGGCCACTGGCCTCCGGGACCGGCTCGTAGCCCGGAAGGCCTGCCGAGGGGAGACTCATCCTCTGCCCCCCTGCAAAAGGGGCCCTTGCAGGTATGGGGTTTAGGGTTTAGGGTTTAGGGTTTTAGGGTTTAGGGTTTAGGGTTTAGGGTTCAGGGTTTAGGGTTTAGGGACGATGATGCCTAATGTCCCTCGGCCCCCTTTCTTGTGCTTCTGTAAGTCGAGCGACGTTTCAGGCAGCTCGGGTTCTGCACACATGCCTTAGCCTGCCAGAGGTTCTTGCGGCAGATTGCCGGAACCTTGGTGGGCCTCGTGCTAGACCTTCAGCTCAGCGCAGGGCATAACCCTAAATCCTAGACCCTAAAGCCCAAACCCCAAACCCTAAACCCTAAACCCCAAACCCTAAACCATAAACCCTAAACCCATCCTTTTTATCATGAGAAGACACGTTAGCAACCCCACTTGGAGCAGCCCCCAGGTCAAGTGGTCGGGCCAGCTGAGACCACTGCCAAGGCCATCTCTAAGGATAATAACAGTAATAATAATAGCAATAGTAATATAATCTTAGTAGTCATAATAACAAGAAGAAGAATAACATTCTTATCAAAAATAATATTTTTATTAGTAAGAACAAGAAGAAGTGAGAGTTCAAGTCGCGCACCCCGGAGGCATCCCCTGCGCTGAATACCAACGCACAGCCTGAGGAGGCCGAGCTGAGCATGCGCGTAAGATGCGGGGTTTGGGGTAATTACGAACAGTATTCCCGTTCGGGTCCCTTTATGGTTATACTACAGTAATAACCCCCAAAACCCTATTCTAATTCTTCAGGCCCCTATATCAGCAGGGGCCCAAAAAGCACGGTTGCGGTTGCTTCGCGAAAGGAAGTCCGAATCCAGCAGCCTAGCAGCCAGCAGGGCAGCGACCTCAGTCTTGCAGACTTTGCAGCAGGGGTCGCGTGGGTGTTTCCTAAACTGAAATAGAGGTACGTACCAACCACGCTTCCCCCCCTTTTGACCCCCTCAAAAGAACCAAGAGGACCCCCTCCCCCATGAATCATTTGCCGGCATGACTTTGGAACGAATCGGGGCCGAGGCTTCTTGGGATGCATGGCCGGACTGGCGCGAAAGCTGTGTGCGCAGTAACCTTCGTCTGCGCACGCCCCGCATTTCTGGTCGCATGCGCACATGAAATGTGTCGCAGGCTCCGACCTTTCCAATTTTCAGTGCGAGCGCTTACAAAAAGGAGACTGAATCTCAGCCACCGAGGGGTGCGGACATCGGGACTCCGGGGCGCAATGCCTAAACCCCGAAGCCATCCAAATCCTAGACCCTCCACACCCCCAGACTCCCAAGCCTAAAGCCCAAAACCCCCTCAAACCCCAAGTAAACCCTCTGAGCCCTATGAGCCCGCATGGGGGGAGCTGTGCCCGGCAGAGCTCAACCGCCGCTGCTCAGGCTCAAGGGCCCGAGGGACTGAGTAGTAGGAAGCCGCCCCTCCCGGTCCGACGACTTACTTGAGAGTTGTTTTTTCCTGCCGATTCTTGTTATTGTTGTTCTTCTAGTTGTTCATGTTGTGATGGTTCACGTACTTCTTGCTAATATTTCTTGATAGATCCGAGCCCGACTCCCGCCTTGGACCGGAACATGTCACAGAAAAGAGGCTTGCTGCGGACCTTCGTTGCACAGGATCATCCTTGTTGTGGTTATTCTTGTTACTAAGACGCAAGCCCTAAGCCCTAAACCCTAAACGCTAAACCCGAAACCCGAAACCCTAAACCCTGAACCCTGAACCCTAAACCCTAGCGGTAGTAGAGGGCACAGTTCGCATGGCGGCGGGCCCGATGTGATCCCAGTGGCCCTGGCCAGAAGCCCAGTGGGTGGGGGGGGGGGGGGTGAGGGAGGGGCGGGGGGTTTAGGGTTTAGGGTTTAGGGTTTAGGGTTTCGGGTTTAGGGTTTAGGGTTTAGGGTGAGGGCTGCGCAGAGTCAGTGCAAGAGCCTCTGTGTGCGAAGTAAGGATGCCGAAGGCTGGACGCAGCAACACTGTCGTGCTGAGGCCACCGGCCTGCGTCTATGCGCAGTCTCTGGCAATTGTTTTCGCAGGATCGATCGCCGTAACAAAAACCCACGCAACAGCAGAACCAAATTTCAAACACAACAACAGCAGCAGCAGTGGCAGTATCACCAACGGTACGTAGTAGTCACAAGCTTAGTAACCATAATCATGTTCATAGTCGTAATCAGAATCACAATCCTGTCCATACGCTAATGGATTGCCAGAGCAGTGGTCGTAAGAGTACGGCTGACAGCATGTCAATTCCTGGGAGATTCCTCAACATTGGACGTGGAAGCGCCCTGTCCTCCATCAAAAACCATCGTCTTTCCATCAACCCCCTTCCGATCAAGACCGAAACCCCAAGCCGCCCATGTCCTTGTCATCTGGAACTCTATAGCCCTTCCATAGCCCCACAACCCCACGCAGTCCTAAACCCTAAACCCTAAACCCTACACCCTAAGCCCTAAACCCTAAACCCTAAATCCTGTGGGCAGGCCTGGCAGTGCCGGCGCGACGCGTATCTACGCCGTTCATGGCCAGGAGCTAAGCGGTGTAAGAGGGTACGTTAGGATTGCTGGGGATAAGGGTTTAATGGGTCTAGATGGGTCTAGGGCAGTATCCGCGAGGTTTACAGGGTGTATAGGGTTTACAGGGTTCAGGGCTAGGGTTTTGTTCGTAGGAATTGGTGTTCATAGTTTCTACGGGGTTTATGGTTTATCGGGTTTACAGGGTTTACAGGGTTTAGGGCTAGGGTTAATGGGAATGGGTGTTTCGGGAGGTTTGGGGCCTTTACAAGCGTAGACCCCAAACCGTAAACCCCGAACCTGCAGCACTATCGAGGAAATCGAAGGCCCCAGCTTACGAGCTCATGGGAGTTGGGCACCTAAACCCTAAACCCTAAACCCTAAACTTTTAGGGGCTTCGCCCTTGTGCGCCAGCGCAGTTTTTGTTGAGTTGTCGTCAGTTGCCTTGCGGTTGCGTGGCGAGGAGGAGGTTAAAGTAAATCGAACAAAGAAGACTTTTGGCAGGGCAAGGAGGTTCAAGAAGAGTGAACATTTCAGAGCTTTGGAGCTGTTTGAAGGCCACCCGGTGCCTTTTCGGGCTCTTTGCTGGTGGGCCTTTTTGAACGAATTTGGGTGAAGGCAACTTCCGTTGCCAATTCGGCCCTTCTGAAGCCAATTCAAGCCTTCTGAAGCCAATTTTGGGCCTTCTGAAGCAAATTTGGCCTCTGAAGCCAATTTTGGGCCTTCTGAAGCCAATTTGGGCCTCTGAAGCCAGTTTTGGCCTTCTAAAACCAATTTTGGGCCATTTTGGGCCTTCTGAAACAAGGGCCTCTGAAGCAAATTTTGGCATCGGGCCTTTTGAAGCCAATTTGGGCCTCTGAAGCCAATTTGGGCCTGGAGCAAATTTTGCCTTCTGGAAGCCAATTTTGGGCCTTCAAAAGCTAATTTTGGGCTTCTGAGGCTTCTGAAGCCAATTTTGGCCTTCTGAAGCCAATTTTGGGCCTTCTAAAGCTAATTTTGGCTTCTGAAGCCAATTTTGGCCTTCTGAAGCCAATTTGGTGCCTTCTGAAGCTATTTTGGCCTTCCTGAAGCCAATTTGGGCCTTCTAAAGCTAATTTTGGGCTTTTGAGGCTTCTGAAGCCAATTTTGGCATTCTGAAGCCACTTTTGGGCCTTCTGAAACTATTTTGGCCTTCTGAAGCAAATTTTGGGCCTTTTAGCCTTCTGAAGCCAATTTTGGGCCTTCTGAAGCTATTTTGGCCCTCTGAAGCCAATTTTGGGCCTTCTGAAGCCAATTTAATTTGGGTCTTCTGAAGCACATTTGAGTTTTTGTTAAGCGAATTTGGGCTTCTGAAGCCAATCCGGGCCTTCTGTTCAGCCTCTCGAAAACTTTTCGTCGAGAAAACGGTGAAACATTTTGGAGCTTAGGGCAGCCACCTATAAAAGAGTTGACCTGGGCGCCACGCTGCGCTGGCGAACCCTAAACCCTAAACCCTAAACCCTAAGCCCTAAGCCCTAAGCCCTAAACCCTAAACCCTAAACCCTAAACCCTAAACCCTAAACCTAAACCCCAAACCCCAAACCCTAAACCCTCCTGGTTTCACTGTAGGTTAGGGCACCCAAAGCCGATGCGAAGCTCAGATCAGTGGTTTGTCGGCAGGTTCGGTTTAGGGTTTAGGGTCAGGGTTTAGGGTTTAGGGTTTAGGGTTTAGGGTTTAGGGTTTAGGGTTTAGGGTTTAGGGTTTAGGGTTTAGGGTTTAGGGTTTAGGGTTTAGGGTTTAGGGTTTAGGGTTTAGGGTTTAGGGTTTAGGGTTTAGGGTTTAGGGTTTAGGGTTTAGGGTTTAGGGTTTAGGGTTTAGGGTTTAGGGTTTAGGGTTTAGGGTTTAGGGTTTAGGGTTTAGGGTTTAGGGTTTAGGGTTTGGGTTTCGGGTTCTTCAATCCGGGCTTAGGAGGGCTTGGGAGGGGAATCTTGGCTGTCCAGGCTGCAGCAGTTAGGGGAAGCCCGCATCTTTCCACAGCGAATCACCTACTGCTTGGTAACGCATGGGGCTGAAACAGAGTCTTGATCTTGGCTATCCTAAGTGAGACTCCTTACTCAGTGCAGCAATGCGGCCTTTGATGGCAGGGCTCGTTTCCTCTGCTCTCGTTTGGAAAGTGGAGGCCAGCAACGCACAAGCTCGAAGCTTGCGCAGAGGCGGTGGTGGCGGGGCCGACGGCGAGGATGGGTTGCAATTGACACTCGTCCTCATCATTACATTCACAACCATACCTTTTGTCCTCTCGGTCTGCGTCGGCCTGTGGAGATACCGGAGGCAGCTGGTTGCAATCTTTCCGGAGGTGCCGGTGCCGACCAACGAGAAAGTGACGAACGAGGACCGCAGGAACTATTGGTTGGAGGAGCAGAAGAAGAGATCCCAAGAAGTGGAGCCACCGGAGCCCACAAAAGTTCAGAAACTCGCTCCGGGCGATGGCCCCCTGCTGGATGTACATGCCATCTTCCAGACTGGAGATGACCCCTCGGACGATGACAGCAACAGCCTCTTTGGCAGCACCCTAGGCAGTCAGGGCGCCTTCTTCACATCCGAAGCCTGGATGCCCGTCTCCCGCATGCGAAGCATGTCTGAAGGGGACCTGCGCCGCACCGCGCACGATGACAACTTCGTCGAGCAGATGCTCTCCAAGTCTCAGCCCTTGGCACCGAGGGTTTTCGTGAGGCCCCCCTCGGATATCCCTCTTGACTCCACCGGCAGCAAGAAGCGTGGGACACGCGCCTCCAGCAAAGGCAGTGCCGGCACTCAAGGGAGCAAAGGGAGCAAGGCGAGCCGAAAGCTGCGCAGCAGCAGCAAGGGAAGCTCTCACAGCAAAGGCAGCGCTCGCAGCAAAGGCAGCGCTCTCGGCCTGGACTTGCTCGGAGAAGCAAAGCCCCAGCCCCGGCCTCGCCTGCAGACCAACTGAGATGGGCACTCTCCGGGAACTCTCCGGCTGAGGGGGGTTGCTTCATGTGGCAGGTAATGCAACAGGTCCTCCACATGTGGAGCCGGGCCCTCTGAGATCCCTGAGAGCCCCTGAGAGATGCGAACAAAGGCTGCGGGTTTCAGACATCAGAACCAACCTCGTATTTCTGATGACATAGTTTTGATCACACTCTAAGACAGTTTATGCCCGGTGTTCTTCCACGCAAGGTCCGGGGGGGAGACGGAGGCCTCTTCTAGGTCAGGACCTTGCCCATCGGGATTTATAATGCGAGTTTTTTCCCACATGTTTTTGGGCATGCTTGATGCTCAGTCCCTTGTGCCGTCGCGGTCACCGTGACAGGGGTCCAGTCCAGAGGGGGCAGCTGGCCTGCTGTGCAATGTACCTTCTGTTAGGGAAACACGATCGGACGGGCTGCCTTGGCGACTTCGCTGGGGGTGTTGGAGCTTCGCTCTTTTCATAAGGCGAAGCGTGATGCTTCTCAGAAAGGTTAGCAGCCAGAGGTTGTCTTTGAGTATCGCTGGCTGCAACGTCCAGGGAGCAGATTACATACTAGTAAAGTGGGCATGGGTGTGGTGTTCTTTTTGCAAGGAAGGCCCCAGACGTCGGCAGGGTTGCGATTGGGAGTATATGTAGGCGCTCAATTGTTGAATTCAGTCGCTGATGCGACGAAGCCGTTTCACTCGTCGTGTTCCCAGGGGGTCGCTCCCTCAGAAAGTACCAGAAAGAGCGGCGCACTTCATTCAACCTGAGTTCGGGTTTTCTTTTTCTAAGTGTGTGAAGTTGACTTCACTGAAGTGAAGAAACGGGAAGGTCAGACTCCTGTGGACACAATCACCCGGAACAAGGGCAAAGCCCTTAGACTCTTGTTGTATCTTGGCTACTCTTCGCTTGACAACAAGCGCGTGGGATTGGGTTGTGGTAGCCTAGTGCGAGTGTTCCTGCTGTTAGCAGGGCGTTGTGCAGATTCCCTGCTGGTAGAAGGGCGTTAGGTTAGTTTCCGGGCGCTTCGCGAGTTGAGGCCTTGATGGCGACGTCATGAGCGATGGCTCTTCGTACGCCACGCTGGCGAAGTACCTCGATCCCTGCAGGCACGGTCGGATGACATGACGGCTGCTTCTCTCAAACCCCTAACCTTGGGATGTTCCCCCCTTATACTAGCAGTCCTTAATATGGATTATAGTACCCTCCATTATAATCCCTCATCTTCGTATGTGGGGGAACATCCCAACCATCCCAGCCCCTAAACCCTCAAGGAAGTCCAACGTCGACCGGCACTCCGCCTTTTTGTGGTCTGAGTGGTGCTTAACGTGCAAAGTCGCCATCCGACCCAGGGTGTGCGCCCTGGTGTATGAGGAGGAGGTGCGGCTCCCAGCGGAAATTTTCTTGGGCTACATCCAAAACTCTACAGGCAAACACCCCCGCCCAACAACAAAAAGCGCCAAAAGAGAGACCCGAACTGAGAACCTCTGAGCCCTACATGTACGAGGCCTATGCCTGCGACACGGTGCCCGCGCTGGCAGCCTGCTACAACCGCCGGGTGCTCTCTGGCGGATTTTTTGGCGGAGAATGGCTTGAAACTTGTGTGTTTAACACGTTACCATCACGTAAAGGCATCGGAACTTTGTAGACTTCGTGAGCTCCTCCGACCTGATTTGGTACGACAAGCAGATTCAGGGGCTTGCAAGGCAGCTTCAGAGAACTTGCTCTGCCATGCTGGGCTCAAATGCAGCAAGCACACGATGCTTGCTGTCCGCAAGAAAGAAAGGGCGACTGCGACCTCCACTCGATGATCTAGGCAGGGATGAGGGAGCCCGAACTCCAGGGAAAGTCTATGAAATTACAGAGGTGTATTGAACTTTGCTTATGTGTGCTAGATTCGTTGTTTATTTCTGAACCTTGTATGCCATGTTTGCACATATTGTTCTGGTTAATGATGTTGGCGCAAATGCGCAATATTCAGTCACATTGATGGCAGATGTACATGATTCATTGGAAACAATGCGCATTCCAGAATACGCTTGCAGTATGTATCTCAGGAATTGTGTATGGTGTCGTAGAAATCATACGTAACAGAGTACATCTGATGTTCCAGCCGAATATTCAATGTCTACTTTTCTGGACGCTAGGCCGACGGCAAGTTCTTCGAGTGGGCCTTCGTCGTCTGCAAGACTACAAATACATATCCACATAGTTTCACATTTTTGGTTTACTGCCGAACCTATAACAGAACCTATGACGAGATGTTCTGTTTGAACTATACACGCGCACTTAAACCACAAGACATACGGATGGTCTCGTGATGTATTGAGGAACAAGAGGTTTTCCTATGAGCGTGCAAAAGAAACGTCTTGAGGTCGTCGTTTCAAATACAGAGGAACTACAGGCTTCATATAACAGTATAGAGCGAATAGCCGGTTTCTAAATATGTGGGAAACAGAGGTTTCGTCTGAATATATATAAAAATATACAGATATATATATATATATATATGTATGAGAACTACCTGAATGTAGAGGAACTAGCGATACGTGCTCGCGGAAACACCAAGAGGGTCGCCGCCGAGAGGGCCATCATTGATGTGGAATGCGCACGATGCCTAATTAGGCGAGAGCGACCACGGCACGGAGAAACATCGCGAGGGTCGTTGTTTGCGATGTGGAATGGGTTTAGGGTTTAGGGTTTAGGGTTTAGGGTTCATGGAGTGTAAGTCCCCCAAAGTAAACCCCCAGAAGAAGCTTCTTGAGAGGCCATGGACCGGACGGACAACGTAGAACGCGCTCCCTCACGCGACTGGCGTGTGGACATGCTGGTGGAGGACTCCTAGAGCCTGAAATCCTCAAAGTCCCAAGCAGGTCAACAAACCGAACCCTGCCGAGCCCACCGAGGTGCCCCAGACATGTGGTGCAACCACAAGATTTCGGGGCCTTGTCACTTAAGGCATGGTGTCGCTAGGACATTGAGCCGCCCCTCAGCCCCGCATGTGGGTTCCTATGAACTGCGCCAGGACCGGCATGGTGAGCGCCACCCTGAAGCCACCCGGATAGTTTAGGGTCTAGGGTGTTTAGGGTTCAGGATCCACTTTTCGTGAGCTTCGGGTGGGGTGGGCATCGGGGATTTGCGGTTTTCGTGCTGGGGTTTAGGGTTTGGGAGTTTGGGGTTTGGGGAGCTTTGCGAAGGGCACTGAAGTATAAGCGCTTGAGCGTGTGGCCGAGCCTGGCTGGGCTCACTAACCCTAAACCCTAAACCCTAAACCCTAAACCCTAAACCCTGCTAGGACCCGCATCTGAGGTGAGATCCACGAAGCCGCAAGGAGTGTCCGATGTCCACATGGAGAGGTCTGAAACCCATAGAATCCCCTAAAAGGGACCCCCCCCCAAAAGGGTGCCCCTTCATTCAGAAACCCACATGGGGGTTCTAGGTCGGGATGTTCCCCCTCATACTAACAGTCCTTTATAGGGATTATCACAGGGTGTACTATGATCCCGATTAAGGTTAATATAAGGGGAGCATTCCAACCTAAGCCCTTCACCGTGAACCCTAAAAGTCTTCTCAACTCTTAACCCTAAAGCCCTGCAAGCCCTGAATCCAAAACCTGTGCTTTTCTTGGGATTTTGGCTCCCTGAGGGCTGTTGAGGCTCAAGACCCGAAAGAAGCAGCGAGAGTCTCCGGCCAACCGAGTTTTTGCTCGTTCTACATGTGGAATTGATTGGAATTGTGTATGGTTCTATGTGCAGATACGCATACTTGTGTATACTCATTTCAGATTCTGATACACTTATAAACCTAGCCGTTCTTGCTTTTCAGCTGGCCTTTCTTGGTTTTTGCCAGGTCCTCGCCCGAGTCTGGGTCGGTCTCGAGCCTCCTCGGCTTCCTGAGCACGTCGCCCGCGGCCGACAACGTGGGCCAGACTGGCCAGACCCGGCCTCGCGGTCGCCACTTTTTGGGGCAGGGGGGGGGGGGGGGGGTTCGGGGGGTAGGGGAGAGGGATTAGGGTTCAGGGTTTCAGCGTTGCAGGGTTTCAGACTTTCAAGGTCTCAGGTTTTTAGGGTTTCAGGGTTTTTAGGGTTTCAGGGGTTTAGAGGTTTAGGGGGTTCAGGGTTTGAGGGTTTCAGAAGAGGTTTAGGTGAGCCATTGGCGCGCTCTGTTGGGTTTCTGCTTCGTAGGTTAGAACCCTAAACGCAGAACCCTCTGAACCCCAGAGGCCGCATGAACTGTAAAGTCCCTGAACTCCAAGCCCTAAACCCTAAAACTCTGAACCCTAAGACCCCAAAACCCTAAAACCCTACAACCCTAAAACCCTAACACCCTAAAGCTCCAGACCTTGAATCCGCAACGAACTTCCGCAGCAGTTTCAGGTCCTCACTGCAGCCCGCCTTCAGCAGCTCCGCGCTGGAGGAAGCTGCTAGCACCTGGGGCCGCAGCGAGGGGCCATGTCGTGTGCGGGTGGATTTAGGGTTTAGGGTTTAGGGCCTAGGGTTTAGGGTCTAAGATCTTCAAGGGTTGGGGCTTAGGGTTTAGGGCTTGGGGTTTCGGTTTTGGGAGACGTTGTCTTTGGTACCACTTAAGCCGAAGGGCCGAAAAATGCAAGTGGGGGTGCCCTCTCCGACCTTCTTTACTTGTACTCCCGAACTGCGTTTTGCCTTGCAAATGCCATCAAATCTGTGCTTCAGGGAAATGAGTTGGCAATAATGGAGCAATACGGAGCAAATCAGACTCCTTGACGGTGGGCCAAACAGTGAATGACCACTGGTTGAAAGGACGAAGCCCCGAATACTGCCTTGGGTCTCCTTCGGTTGAAATGCTACATGCTCAGGCAGATGGCTGCAACAGACCTTCGTCGCAGAGGGCGATCAAAGATCGCACAAGGGCGAGGTGCGCTCCTTCGTGTGGCTCGTTGTGAACATTTGGATCTTTGTTTAGTACGACATGGGGTATTTCCCAAAATGGGGGTGCCCAACAAAAAACCTCAAATACCAGCTCGGCAACCCCAAAGAGAGGTGGTTGAGCAGCAGCTCTATTGTTTGGGATGTTCCCCCTTATGCTAACAGTTCTTCATAGGGATTTTAGTAGGGGGTTACTATGGTCCCTATTAAGGACTTTTATAGCAGTCCCGAATAGGGATTCTAATGGGGGTACTAGAATCCCTATTCAGGACTCTTAGTATCAAGGGGGATCCCTTGCATACGTCTGGGCCCAGGAAGCCGCTCTGCTTCCTGCCGGAGGGCTTGACAATCGACGTCCATGGGGCAGTTCTTGGTGTTTCGCGGGCTGCTTGCCTTTGAAGCTGAAGCCCAAACCCTGCGTAAACGCCCAAACCCTAAAACCGCAGACGCCTAAAAACCCAACAAACCCCTAAGCCCTGATTAAAAACCCTAAAAAGCCCCAAACCCTGGAACCCCCAATACCCTTGAAACCGCAGGCAGTCCAGGTCTTTCGCGGCATGTTCGTGATTCTGTACACGGCGGCCCAGGCGGAGGGCCGAGAATCTGCAACCTTTACTTGGAGTTCCATGGGGTAGTCCTCTAAATTAGGGTTTAGGGTTTAGGGCTTCGGGCTCTAAATTTAGGGTCCGTTTTTAGGTACTACATATAGTACGGCGCCTGTAAAAAAAAGCCCTAGTTTAGAGAATTACCAACATGGGTAGTTAGAAGCAGGGTTGACGGTTTAGGGATGTGCCTTAAATCAAGTTGCTCTGCTAGCCACCCTGCTTCTAAGTACCCATGACTACCCATGATTACCCATTGATTCCCTTCCAGTACCTGCTTTATGTAGGTTCTGTACACGAAGCGCTGCACAGAGTTCGTAAGACCGAGTAGGATCTGGAAGGATAGATAGCATGTAGTCTCAGTGGCCCTACACACAGTAGATTCCGGAAGGGTATCGTGTAATGTCAGTGTGCGAGATGACATTCCTTTGCAGGTGGTCCGCACGCTGAGCAATGTGGACAGGGTCGGCAATCATGCGAGCCTCGCCGTATGCAATGTCGTCGCTTGTCTGGAGAGCAGTTCTTCATGAACAGTACCCGGTACCGACAAACATGGCGGTCATGGCATACTGAATACTGCCGAGATCAACTCCTAGATCTGAAGCGGGCAAGGCGTCCTTCCTGTGCTATCCTGCCATGATGCTGGCGTGTGGATTCTCAAGCGCCTGAGATCGCAACGATGGGAGCCGATTTCGGGCTGCCTTGCACGGTTTGACAACTATGCCATGCCCTCACTACCCTGCCGAGGGAAATACGCCCGCTTGATAGGTGACCTTGCAATCTTGCCTAGTGAGACCCGAGGCTATGAGAAGTTCCTGCGCGATTGGCCAGATCCTTCAACATACCATTCCGGGGAACTGCGCCGCGGCGCACTATTCAACGCACGAAGCCCCCCAACCCTAAACCAGGAGCTCAGCCGCCGATGTGTAGAGGTTTCTGGCTCGTAGTTCAGGTACCTTGTATGTATCTCCTTCAGACGCTATGTAGGGTATGTACTTCCTCAAATTTCCCACGAAGAGCCACTAAGCCCCAAACCCGAAAATCCTACACCCTTGGGCAAGATGACTCGGGATGCTTTAGGATGAGTGCCTTCCTGCTGCCCCTCGTCTCAGCCGGGATCTCAGTACCACAGGTCCAAGCCTAAACCCGAAACCCCAGACCCCAAACCCCAAACCCCAAGCCCCAAACCCTAAACCCTTAACCCTAAACCCTAAACCCTAAACCCTAAACCCTAAACCCTAAACCCTAAACCCTAAACCCTAAACCCTTAACCCTGAACCCTGAACCCTAAACCCTAAACCCTTAACCCTGAACCCTAAACCCTAAACAAGCAAGGCCTGGATCTCCAACTTCGCCTTCTACTTCCTCAGCGCGACGTCGCTGGGCCAGAAGGATGCCACAGCCCGGGCCGCGGAAGAGGCCGGAGTTGGACAAGGTTTGGGGGGTTTCCCGAAACCCTAAACCCTAAACCCTAAACCCTAAACCCTAAACCCTAAACCCTAAACCCTAAACCCTAAACCCTAAACCCTAAACCCTAAACCCGAAACCCGAAACCCTAAACCTTCATAAACCCCAAACCCTGCACTCCAGAAACTCCTGAAAGCTGCTACAAGGGATGCCTTTTCTAGAAGTGTTCTGGGGGCTCTGGGATGCTGTTAGAAAATTCTCTGGGTTTAGGTTGGGATGTTCACCCTTATAGTAACAGACCTTAGTAGGGTTATGATACGGGGGGTACTACAATCCAAATTAAGGACTCTTAGTATAAGGGGGAACATCCCAAGGTTTGGGTCTTCCCTGAAAGTTTCAGGTGCTCCTGTTTGCAAGTGGCGCGCCGGAAGGACGGGGGGGGGGGGGGGGGGGGCTTGCCTTCCAAAATGGAATGATGGGGATACACGTATATATATATATATATGTATATACACATATATATATATATATATGTGTGTATATTTTAGTATTCGCATATATACACCCATAATACCTAGTACATGTTTTATAATATTTGATATGCAATAATACATAAATAAATACATAATCCAAAAGGAAATCCCTACATTATATATATATATATATGTTATATGTTATATGTTATATTACCTGTAATATATTATGTACTGAATGCTGTACATCATGATATATATATATATATATGAGATATTCTAAGTCATGTAGTGTATAAATAAAAAAAATATATATATATATATATATATACAGCATATATTGTACATCAAATATTATGTACTGTAGAGGGTTTAGTGCTTAGGGTTCTCGAGTGTAGCCCAGGAGTGGAGATACTCTTGGCGACCAGTGTGAACTTTGCCATTGTCTTCGTGTTCTGGCGGCCGGTCGCTGGCCTCCTGCATACCGTCAAGGTGCCAGTACATGGTGGATCAGCTGAGCCGCTGATGAATCTGTCAAGCTCTCGCAAGGCCCGTGTTTGGCATGATGTTCTTGCACTTGCGCTTGCGTCGGTTGCTCAGTGAAGGGTTCAGAGGAGTGGCGGTATTTGCCTGCATCAGCAGAACTGCAAAAGCCAGCTTCGAGGCTTTCGCCGCTTGCTCTGATGTTCTGCATGAAGACGCTCTCATTCAGCGAGGCTTGGCGTTTCTTGGGTCTCGAGCTTTTTAGCACGACGAGCCATGTCACACCTGGTGCTTAGAGTGTAGGATTTACGGGGCTGCAGGCTTGCCATTCATCCCACCCAACACTGAAACCCTAACCCTAAACCCTCAACCCTAAACCCTAAACTGTTGCAGGACTGGCCCGGCATGACAGTGATGGTGCTGCCTGCCAGCTCAGCCTTTGCCACCAAGCAGAGTCAATGGTCCCCTGAATCATCCACCTCAGGCCCTACCTTCTCCACGTCCACCTGGGCATTCTTGGGGCGGCCTGCTGGGACAGGCGCTGTGTTAAGGGTTGAGGGCTAGTGTTGAGGGTTTGTGTCTTACTTAGTGCTTAGGGGTTAAGTGTTAGAAACTCCGTTGCTTGCCAGGCTTCTTTCGCAGCTGCGCCCTCTTGGCTTCCACACCCTCCCGGATTCCACGCACTTGCCACTCGGCTTTGGTTGTGTCGGCACCTTGAAACCCCTAGCAGAGTCCTGGAGCCTCACAACCCTGAGCCCTTAGCGCCCTGTGACAAAACGTCCTGAGGCTGCCCTGGGACGTTTTCAAGGGCTGGCCGCGGGCTTAAGGAACGGGAAGCGAGAAGCTCTTTAGGGTGTGGGGGGTTTAGGGTTTATGGTTTAGGGTTTAGGGTTTGGGGGTACGGGGCACTTACGCCCCAACCATAAGACAAGGGCTGAAGGGCTTGGGGTTCAGGGCTTCTGAAGGGCTTCTGAGCTTCAGGGTGTTGGGCCTAAGGGTTTTTAGGGTTTAAGGTTCAAGGCTTGGGGGCGTGACCCAAGAGAGCCCAATCAGCAAGCGACTCTAGTCAAAAATCGGGCCCTATATCCTTCAAGGACAGCTCCTCACTCCCTAAACCCTAAACCGTAAACCCTAAACCCTAAACCCTAAACCCTAAACCCTAAACCCTAAACCCTAAACCCTAAACCCTAAACCCTAAACCCTAAACCCTAAACCCTAAACCCTAAACCCTAAACCCTAAACCCTAAACCCTAAACCCTAAACCTGAATCCCCTTCTTTGCATTGGCGGGGCTGAGGCTTGTCTTCACTGCGGCTGCGTGGTGGGCTGCCTTCGTCCTCTTCGCCCCTCTGGGGCAGGTGCTCGTGGCACATGGGAGTGAAGCCTAAACCCTAAACCCTAAACCCTAAACCCTAAACCCTAAACCCTAAACCCTAAACCCTAAATCCCTGGTAAGATCCAAGCTCCAAGAGCAGTTTTTGGTGGTCGTTGTCGCTGTGGCAGGTCGTCCTTGTTCATGACTTCACCTCAAGGACGCTGGGCACCGTGGGCCCGGGCCATCCAACCTTGGGCAACTTGGGCCGAAAGCTTCCCTAAACCCTAAACCCTAAACCCTAAACCCTAAACCCTAAACCCTAGCCCCTAAACCCTAAACCCTTTGTTGCATCGTCTCGTTGGGGCGTGCCCTTAAAGAGCGTCAGACAGCACGGCCCAAGGATTCCCGCTTCCTCTGCAGCTGCTGGCCTCGGTGTGGCCTTCTCCTGAGCCACCCCTAAACCCCTAAACCCCGAAACCCCTAAACCCCTAAACCCCTGAACCCTTAGCCCCGAAACCCCGAAACCCCTAAACCCCTAAGCCCTAAATCCCTAAACCCAGAAACCCATAAACCCCTAAACCCCAAACCTCAAAACCCACCTGCAAGCTACTTGGGTGCGCTTTGAAACCCGAGTTCGCTTGGGGTGTGCTCTCCAAACCCTTAAACCCCTACACCCCTACATCCCTAAACCCCTAAACCCCTAAACCCCTAAACCCCTAAACCCCTAAACCCCGAAACCCCGAAACCCCTAAACCCCTAAACCCCTAAACCCCTCTTGGGTGCTTTGAAATCTGAGTTTCAGGGAAGTGCTCTGTGAGGCCGCTGGCTGCCTGCATGGTTCTTTGCGGCCTCTTGGTGGCTCGGACGTGACAGAAACCGAGTCTCAGCTCTCTCTTCACCTCCGAGCCCCATGTTTCCGATTCGGTTTTAGGGTGTAGGGTGTAGGGTGTAGGGTGTAGGGTTTAGGGTTTAGACTTAGCGTAAAGAGCAGAGGTGACCCTGAGACACTTCAACGCCGTGGTGTGGTGGATGGACTCGGAGCTGGCGCACATCGGCCAGAACCTGCTGTACTACCTCGTGGAACTGGCCTCAGTAAAGCCCACTCCCTAGACCCTTACCACCCTTACCGCCCTAACCTCCCTAGTACCAGCCTCAGAAGGCAGGAAGGCCGCCCTCTCCCCTTTCTTCGTACCGAGTGCAGCTCCTAGGTAGCTCAACCAGCCTATCCATGCTGATGTGGGAGCCTGGGCCATCTGCAGCCCAGGTCATCAACATCTTCCTGGCATCGCTCCAACGCAGTGACTCGCACAGGTGGGCGCAGGGGAGCGGACTTGGCGTTGGTTTCAGCGGGGGAGTTCGGGCAAGGTGGGTTGCATGGCATTGACGATGATTTGCTTTAGGAGTTGAGGTTGATCAAAAAGGGCCAAAACTGACTACAGTCGATGCTAGTTTGTCTACGATTTGTGCAGACCTTCCCCCCTTCCCCTGCCTTCCTCTTCATTCGACAAGGACTAGGCAGACGGATTAAGCCATCTTCAGCCGCAATGCCCTCAAAAAAGCGCAAAGAAAGGAAACAGACTTGGACCCACATTCTAAGCCCAACCCTAGGCCTCAAACCCCAAATCAAAAGAATCAAAAACCTGAACTCGAAACCAAGCGCAGATGGCCTTCTGCCATCGTGGGATATGCAAAACCCCCCCCCCCCCAGAAGCCTTAAACCCTAAAGCCTCCAAACCCCTTAGATTTTCCAAAGCCCCGCCGCAAGCCCTTAAGCCCTAAACCCTAAACCTTCAAGCCCTAAACCCTAAACCCTAAACCCTCAACCCTAAAGCCCTAGACCCTAAACTCCCTAAACAATGAACACCCTGAACCCTGAACCCTAAACCCTAAACCCTAAACCCTAAACCCTAAACCCTAAACCCTAAACCCTAAACCCTAAACCCTAAACCCTAAACCCTCCACAGGGCCGACTGCAGCCTGGGCCGCTGTCTTCTGGCGGCCGCTAGCGTCCTCGCTGCCAGCAGGCCTTTAGGGTTTGTGGGCTTAGGGCTTAGGGCTTCGGGCTTAAGGGTTGAAGGGTTGCAGGGTTTAGGCTTTAGGGCTTAAGGGTTGCAGGGTTTAGGGTTTAGGGCTTAAGGGTTGAAGGGTTGAAGGGTTTAGGGCTTAGGGCTTCGGGCTTAAGGGTTGAAGGGTTGCAGGGTTTAGGGTTTAGGGCTTAAGGGTTGAAGGTTTAGGGTTTAGGGCTTAAGGGTTGAAGGGTTGAAGGGTTTAGGGTTTAGGGCTTAAGGGTTGAAGGGTTTAGGGTTTAAGGGTTTGGGGTTTAGGGGTTTGCGGCCTTCGCTCTTAGCTATACGGCCGTGTGCAGCACAGTGCTGCCATTCTGGTTTCTCGCGATGCTACCCAAGAGTTTGGGACAGGGCACTGTGGGTGAGCTTCTTCTCCCGAGGGCAACTGTCGTCTTTGCCAGTGTCTTTTAGTCTTGTGACACCCTCATACGAAGTGGTAGTCTTGTTCCGCGCCGCCCTCAGAAGTAGCGGTTGGCATTTAAGTGGTTTAATCTGCCAGACCCGTGAGTTTAGGGGTTTGGGGTTTCAGGGTTTCAGGGTTTCAGGGTTTCAGGGTTTCAGGGTTTCAGGGTTTCAGGGTTTCAGGGTTTCAGGGTTTCAGGGTTCAAGGTTTTCAAGGGTTTCAGGGTTTGGGGGTTTTGGGGTTTCGGGTTTGAGGTTTCCACCGTTGGGGAAGCTTCGAGTATTCCAGAGATGTCGCGCGGTCCACGCTGAAACTGCAGATTGCTGATCGTTTTGGAGGGCCAGGAGTAGTCACATCATCGAGCTGTCTTGGATTTAAGAGTGACAACCGTGCTAAACCCTAAGCCCTAAACCCTAAACCCCGAACTCTAATTAAGCCCTTATCCTTAACGCCCTTTAAACGCCTTTTAAACCCCTCTTAAACCCGGTCAAAAACTCTCTTTTAAGCCCCTTCTAAACCCCTTCGCAACCTCCTTTAAATACCCTTAAAACCCCTTTTGAACCCCCGTTTGAACCCCGTTTAAACCCCTTTAAACCCCTTTCAACCCTCGACCAAAGGAAGGCCTGCAACCGGCAACAAGAGGTTTTAATTAGGGTTTAGGGTTTAGGGTTTAGGGTTTAGGGTTAGGGGAGCCCCCGGGGCACAGCCAGGTTCATCCATTTCATGGCCGGGCTGTCCAGGAAGGCACCTTCTTAGGAGTCTTGGGGGGTTTTAGGGGGTAAGGGTTTAGGGTTTAGGGTTTAGGGTTTGGGGTTTAGGGTTTAGGGTTTAGGGTTTAGGGTTTCGGGTTTCGGGGCTTATGGGTTGTAGGGGGGTTATTGTTTCAGGGTTCCAGGGTTTCAGGGTTTAGGGTTCAACATAGGGTTTCGGGTTGATTTGCGTGGGATGTACCGGTTCAGGGTTGAAGGGTTCTTCACGGGGTTTAGGGTTTATTTTAGGGGCTTAGGGGTTTAGAGGTTCACATGGATCTTGCTTGGCGTTTTGAGGTAGATTTCGGGTGCAGGGTACTCCGCCACACAGCTTCATCTTCCTGAGTTGTTTCGGAACAGCCTTGCTAGCGGTCTGTGTAGATCCAGAAGTGCGATGCCCTGTTTGTGAGGCTGCCCGGGTCTAGCTCCTGGCTCCATCTTAGATCCAGATGCTCGCCACCGCGACTTGCTACGTTTCTGAGTTCTGCTGGGCCTGTGCCCGCAAGAACGAGCTGGCAGTCCGGATGCCTACTTGGAGGTTCACTAGTCCTTTGGTACTTTTAAAGTAGGGCTGTAACTAGGGCAGTTGCGTTGAGCCTACCCAACAGCCGTAGCAGATTTCGGTGGGCATCCTGGCTACAGTGCGGTGAAGGACAAAAAGCAGCACGCAACAGTTGAAAGCCGGAGCAGGAGCCCCAACTCGCTTGAACCATGGGGTCTCAGCGGCCTATGGCAGGTCTTGGAGGATGCGCGACAGAACGGCGGCGTCTCTGTAGCGGCCCCTGCCGTTGGTGTGGGGCAGGGTTTCAGAGGTCAAGTGCGCTTTCACGGAGATTTGTTTTTTGCGAACGCTGGCTGGGCACCACGCTGCTGAGGAAGAGAATCCCATCGTCGTCGCGGGTGCCACGGTCCTGTTTGCCCTGAGGAATGCGCTCGGAGGGGCTTGGTGTTTGTTGCCAGCAATCTTGCAACAGCACCGTGCTACTAGCAGACTACATGGCCACATGGTCATTTCTCACAATGATGGTCCCTTTTGGGTACCCTAAATATTAGGGGATGCCTCATAGTGGTAACCTTAAAAGGAATCCTAACCATTGTGACAAATCCTCAGAAACGCCACGGATCGGCAGGGGTTCCGCCAGGTTATTCCCATGGCTGCGTGATCGCCCACCAAATGGCCTGCCAACTTGAAGAGGTCGGGGACCTATTTTCGGCCCCCACAGCTGACCTAGGATGGTCCCCCGTGACATAGCAGCCTCCTGTGTGGGGTTTGTTTAGATTCTATTCTCGGCTCCCACATTCTGATGTTACTCCTCGGGGGCTTTCCTGTGCTCCTCCTACCCAACCCTGAGAGTATTGCAGGGTATTTCTGGAGGGTACCCCTGCAGGGTATCCCTGCAGTTCCTATTCTGTCCCAGCTCCCATATCCCCCCAGCATTATCTCGCTGGAGTGCTCGCGTGCCGTCAAAATGCATACTTTTAGGGTGTCAGTTGACTGTTGAGGGCCCCCCGCAATAGGAAACCTAAACCCTGCAGAGAAGGGTAAACCCTAAACCCTAAAACCTAAACCCTAAACCCCTAAACCCCTAAACCCCTAAACCCCTAAACCCCTAAACCCCTAAACCCCTGAACCCCTGAACCCCTGAACCCCTGAACCCCTGAACCCTAAACCCTAAACCCTAAACCCTAAACCCTAAACCCTAAACCCTAAACCCTAAACCCTAAACCCTAAACCCTGAAGAGAAGAGGATGGCATCTCCGCGGGTGTGATACTCTTCGACCTCGAGGCCTGAGCCCACCGGAAGCTCCCAGAAGACTAAGGGTAGGGTTTAGGGTTTAGGGTTTAGGGTTTAGGGTTTAGGGTTTAGGGTTTAGGGTTTAGGGTTTAGGGTTTAGGGTTTAGGGTTTAGGGTTTAGGGTTTAGGGTTTAGGGTTAGGGTTTAGGGTTTAGGGTTTAGGGTTTAGGGTGTATGGTTTGAGGGTTTAGGGGGGGGGGGGGGGGGGTTCTTTAGCAATTAGTAGAAGACCCAGACCCCGGACGGCTTAGAGGCTTCGGGTTTTGAGGCTTAGGGTTTAGGGTTTGGAGGTTTAGGGTTTTCAGGTTTAGGGTTTTTTGAGGTTTAGGGTTTTGAGGTTTCGGGTTTTGAGGTTTAGGGTTTAGGGTTTGGAGTTTAGAGGGTTTTGAGGGTTTAGAAAGGGCTTTCTGGGCTTTGGAGGCTTTGTGGGGTTGAGGGGCACCCTTTACGTGCCCCTTCCCCGCCCCCCTCTCCTGCACCCTAAATCGTAAACCCTAAGCCGCAAACCCTAAACCCTAAACCCTAAACCCTGAACCCTAAACCCTAAACCCTAAACCCTACACCTTAAACTCAGGGCCAAGGCTGGGGGGCGGCGCTTAAGCCCCTGGCCCGGCCCCCCTGCCCGCCTCCCTAAACCCTAAAAGGAATAGGTTTGGGTGGCTTTCGCCTTGGACGGCGTGGGGTGGGAGAAGCGTGTCAGATGACCCTCGCACCTCACGAAGCTTTTGATCTTGTTCCGAAACCTAACCTTCACAGCATCTACGCCCTATCACAGCAAACCCTAAACCCTAAACCCTAAACCCTAAACCCTAAACCCTAAACCCTAAACCCTAAACCCTAAACCCTAAACCCTAAACCCTAAACCCTAAACCCTAAACCCCATAAAATGATTCAAAGTCTGCTGAGGTCACCTGGCCGCCTCCTGCCACCAACTCGCGAGTCGGCGGCTACAGCTTCCTGGGCGGAGAAGCCGAGGTGCACCCGACACCTTGGGATGTTCCCCGGTTTAGGGTTGAGGGTTTTTTGGTTTAGGGTTTTTTGGTTTAGGGTTTAGGGTTTAGGGCCCACTAGAAATCCATATCCATATGAAGGACTGCTGGTATAAGGCGGAGCACCCCACCCTAAACCCACCCAAAACCCCCGAGATTTTTTGAGGCTGTAATTGGGGCTCTGGGGGGTGTTTTGCATTTTAGGGGCTTGGGGTTCAGCATTGATTCGAAGCCCTCAACCCAAATTCCTTTCGCCCATAACTCTAAAACCCTAAACCCAACCCTAAACCCTCCACTGCAAGGCCATCCTCCTGATCTCCCGCGCCTTTGGCAAGTTCGAGTTTGCCATGAAGGCCGGCAGTCGAAACTCTTCTGGCGGCTTCAAGAGGTTTAGGGTGGGGATGTTCCCCCTTATACTAACAGTCCTTAGTAGGGATCCAAATAGGTGGTATTAGAATCCCGATTAAGGACTGTTAGTACAAGGGGGAACATCCCAAGGTTTAGGGCTTTATAGGGTTTGCTGCATGCGCTGCCTCGTGCCCTCTGCATCTCATCTAGCACTCAGGAGGCCGTGGGTCTCAACCTCGAGAAAGAGGCTTCGAACAGCCGCGCCCTCATGTGCGTTTGAAATCACGGCTTGTTTGGCCGCTGTCTTGGGTGCTTCAAGACTGTCTTGTTGAATTTGTAGAGGGCTGCAGAGGTGGGACAAGGCTCCAGATCAGGGTTGCAAGTGGCCCACATTGGAGTTTTCCATTCCGGGCCCTTCAATCATTTTCTATTCACAGTATGCACTGGCGGCCTTGACAAAGATAACCATCATATCAGCATGATAGTGCAAATGCACATATGTATATACATATATGTACACACATGTGTGCGTGCGTGCGTGCTTGCCGCGAACCCCAAGACACGAAACCCTAAACCCTGGACCGGCCAACAGGCATCGACGTGGATGCGCTGCGGCAGCGAGCCTTCGAGGCGCTGAATCAAAAAGGGCTGCCTCTTGGATGCAGCGTGCTCTTTTGGTTCCCCTTTTCAAGGGCACCGACGATAGCCGATAGCACGGGCTGTTTCCCTTTTTGGGTACAACTTGACCCAGAGTTTAGGTCAGCCCTCTCTTGTGATCTTAGCAGAATACCTTGAGCCGTAGAAGGGTCGAAGCTAGGAACCCTGATCCCTGTATCTTAAACCCCCATTTGCAAGCGAAGGCCCTTCGAGCTGTTCGCGAACATCGCCCATGCCTCGGCAGGGAGATGAAGGGTGGCAGGAAGCCCTGCCTTTGAACCCTAAGTCCTTTTTGGGTTCAGGTATTTTGGGGATCCCTTATAACCCCAAGAAGCCTAAGCCCTAAACTCTATGTGCTTTAAGCCCTTAAAAGGCTAACCCGAGATAAGACGTTGCTGCAAGACTCAGGTGAAGCGCTCGGGCATGAACATAGAGAGGCTCCACTACCTGGGGAATCCATGGGAGCCGTCCCAGCCCAAGAAGATTCAAAGGCATCTGGGTGTTTATAGGGTTTGGGTGTTCGGTGGGTGCTTCTACCGTAGGGTTTGGGGTTGAAGGATTCTTGGGGTACTGGAGCAACGGTCTCCTTTGTTTTGGTTCTCTGTTGCAGTATAGTCCTTATGCTTCGTTTGGGGCCCCGAACGCGGCGCCAGTTGAGAACCATCTCCACTTGTTCGCAGACATGCTTGGGTCCCTAAGCCCGGAACCCTAAATCCCAGACACTCGATCCAACATAGCACGAAATGGCTACGCAGGGCCACCCTGGAAGCCTCAACCCCATCAACCCTGCAGCATATTAGCCCAAAACTCCACAAGCCCAACAAGCCCGATGAAGCCCCTATAAGCCTTACAACCTCAAGACCAACAGAACCAAAAGCCCTCAACCCCAAAGCCCAACCTCTAAACCCAAAAGCCCGCAAAAGGGACGACAAGTTTGGAAAGCCGCCCATTTCACCCCGATAGACTGCATAGACTCTATGAACAACCTCAAAACGAATGCCCTCACCCCCAACGCCCAAACCCCTCAACCCCGCAAACCACCGAAAACCCCCGAAGCCTCCAAGCCCAAGGCCCCGGGCGTTTGCCGGGCCAGCGCTGATGGTCGTGGCACCGGACTCACCGGAGCCACTGGGTGAAATGGGCAGTTTTCTGAAACTTCTGGTCGCTTTTGGGGTTTAGGGTTTAGTGTTAGGGCTTCCTCTTTGGGGTGCAGCGTTTTGGTGTGGTGTTTAAAGTTTAGGGTTTCCATTTAGGGTATCGGAAGCGGGACCATACTGTAGTTCATCCCCCGGAAGGCTGGAAGGGGTTTGGGATTCGGGCTTAGGGGTTCGGAATAGGGCTGTGGGAGTCTTCGGGACTCAAGAGGTGTTCTGGTTTTGGGTTCTAAATCTTTTTCCGCGGCTTTGTCTTGGTTCGTGAGGTTCTCAGGTGCGCAGGAGACCAACGCCAAGTACTGCAAGCAAATGGAGGCAGTGCGTGATGTGTATGAGCTTTGGTTGCAAAGGCGCTCTTTGCAATCCAGCCTTCAATCGCCGGCCAGGCCGTGACGGGGAAAGGCAGTCACTACAACATGTTGCAGGCGCAATCAGAGCCAGGGCCCTTTGGTCCATAGGGCTTGCAGTATGTAATGCTGCTCCCTCCTTAGTACCACGTACTCCCCCCCCACTGAACGGCCGAACCTGATTTATGGCAGTCTTCAAAGAGTCCCCGGGTTTTATGTGTTTTGCGGAGGAATGAGCATACAGGATATATGAGTTTGAAAGGGATAGAGAGGCCCGGCAATGGATCCTAGAGGCGCACCACACGAAATATTCTTACAGCACCCAGAAAACTGGACTCAACAGTGGGTCGCACGCCCCAAACAGTTACATGATCCTGAATCTGAATAGCCCGGCAAACTTGTGGTCGCTAGGTACGTATCTCTATTTTGATGCCATTTAAGCGCCCTATCCACCCCATAAGCTTCATAAATGTTATAAGCCCGCACGCCCCATGAACACTAGAGACTCTGCAAATCTTGCAAATCCTACAAGCCCTTTTCTGCCTCACAAACCCTGTAAACCTTATAGCTTATTATCTGGAATTGCTGGCTTAGTAAGGGCCAAGCCTTTCACGGGCTCGGGACTTCTACAAAGGGCTGGGAGCCTGAGCTTCCCAGCCCCCAAACCTTCTAGCCCTCAAATCTGGGTTTTGTGGGGGCTTAAGGTTAGGGTCTAGAGTTCGAACCTATAACACCCTGCGCCGCAGTTTTGCTGAGTGCGAAGTAAAAATCTGTACGGCTGTACTCTATTTCGTGGCACATACGAAGACCTCTGCTCTTTCGGGGAGCTGCGTGTTGCTTCCGGCTAAGTCTTGCGGTGAAAACCAAACGCCCGTCTGCCCGGTTAATTTCTTCGTGTCAGGGCGAGCAGGCAGTGGTTCAAGCCGGCATCGTGCACCAGTTCCGGCAGAGGCCTTTAAATAAGCTTTCGTGACTGGCAGCCTGGATGTGGAAGGTGACCTCCATTCAGCCGGACCGGTTGGTTCCCTAATCTAGGGTTCCTATTTCGGTACCTCCTATGATACTGGACAATTTTGTTCTTTGTTTTAAGAACGCCCGCAAAGGATTTGAGCTTTTCAAAATGCATGCAGCCTGCACAGGTTGACGCCAACCTCAGCACCCCCGAGGGCCGGGCGCAGCAACACTGTCGTGCTGAGGCCACCGAGCTGTATCTTCGCCCAGTCTCAGGGACATGTTTGTCGCAGGATCACTCGCAATAACTTAAACAAACACAACGACGGCAGCAGCAACAAAGGTACCAGTCATATTCTCAGCAATCACCATCATAGTCATAGTCGTACCCAAATCGCAGTCATCTTCATACAAGCAAGAGAAGCGATCAAAATAGGCATCTTAGTAGTCACAAAAGTCGTAGGAATGCAACCGATAGCATGTCAACTCCCTGCGAGAGAGATTCCTGAACGTGGAAGCCCGGCTTCAGTCAAGGAAATCGTCTTTCCGAGGCGCCCCCCAGCGAACAGCGTCTGAGAGGATTAGCTTGAATGATGTTTAACTCCAAACGGTACACTCGCAGACCCTAGAATCAACCTGTGCCTTCAGACTCAAGCCCGCCTATATCCAAAGCCCTTTGAGCCTGAAAGCTTCTCCACCGGGTGATGCGCAACAATGACTAGCCCTTCCTAAGCCCTCTAGCCCCCAGAATATGTAGCCCTATATCCCCAAGCAGCCCAACCCTAAACCCTGAACCCTACACGATAAGCCCTAAACCCTAAACCCTAAACCCTAAACCCTAAACCCTAAACCCTAAACCCTAAACCCTAAACCCTAAACCCTAAACCCTAAACCCTAAACCCTACATACACCCTAGACGATAAGCCCTAAACCCCCTATATGGGCAGGCCTGGCAGCCCCGGTGCGACGCGGATCTACGCCGTTCATGGCCCGGAGCTCAGCCGGGGCAAGAGGCGCAAGAGGGAGGGGTTTAGGGTTTAGGGTTTAGGGTTGAGGGTTTAGGGTTGAGGGTCGAGAGGGTTTGTGTGGGGTTTTCGTGGGGTCTGCGTGGGGTTTGTGGGGTTGGGGGTTTCGGGTTTGTAAGTGGGTCCCAAGCATCCTTGCCGCGCTTGGGCACTCTTCGGCTCCCTACAGAAGAACTTTTGTTCCTTTGGCCGATGTGGCGTGAGGCATTCGTGTGGCAAAGCCCGGGGGCGGGGGGGGGGGGTTCTCACTTTCCGTGAACCAAGGCTTTGCCCTCTAGACCTTAAGCCGCACTTGCGGTTAGGATAATTTCAAGGGGCGCTTCGCGAGTTGAGGCCTTGATGGCGACGTGATGAGCGATGGCTCTTCGTACGCCACGCTGGCGAAGTACCTCGATCCCTGCAGGCACGGTTGGATGATGACAGCGATGACGACGACGACCTCAAATCCTGAATCCTCAACCCCAAGCCCTCCGTTCTCGAAATTCTCAAGCCCCGTACCCTCAAGGCCCTACACGTCGAACGCCACTCCGCCTTTTCCGTTTGAGTGGTGTTCACAGTTCAAAGTCACCCTCCGACCCAGGGTGTGTGCCCTGGTGTACGAGGAGGAGGTGCGGCTCTTGGGTCCCAACTGCAATCTTCTTGGGCCTAGACCCAACACCCTAAAGGCCCCCCACCCCCCTTCCCCGCAGCCCCAAGAAACGCAAAAATGAAATAAAAGTGCGAGAGACCCGTGCTGAGCCCCGCTGAGCCCTATACGTGTACAAGGCCTATGCCTGCGACACGGTGCCAGCGCTGGCAGCCTGCTACAACCGCCGGGTGCTCTCGGGCGGATGTTTGGCGTATACCCGCCTCCCCCCCAACCCTCGCCTTCCCCCTCCTGCCCTCTCCCCCGCTTCCCCTGCTAATGGCAGGTCTTGGAAGATGCGCGACGGAACGGTGGCCTCAAGGTAGCGGGCCCAGGCAGTTTTGGTGTGTAGGGGGCAGGGTTTTAAGGGGAGGTGCTTTTCGAGCGAACGCTGGGAGGGCATGGGAGGGCGCGCGCTTCAGCTCCGAACTTGCTGAGGAAGAGAATCCCATTCTCGTCGCGGGTGCCATGGCCTTGTTTGGTCTCAGGAAAGCACTGGCAGGGGTTTGGTTTTGTTTGGTCAGCTTGGTTGCAACAGCACTTCTGCAAGCAGCAGACTACACAGATCTTTGGACAAAATGAAGGATCCTATTCATCCCTGACCCGAAATCCCGAAATCCTCAGACAGAGCTTCCGCCAGGTTACTCGCATGGCTGCGTGGTTGCACATCAGATGGCCTGCCAGCTTGAAGAGGTCGGGGACCTATCTCGGCACTCCTCCCGGACTCCCGGTCTCCTACCCCGAATCCCGCAGAAGATGCTTACCCGAGATATCCAGCGCCACATCCCCAAAAGTATTTCTGGAGGGTTCAGAGGCCGTCAAACATGCTTAGCTTGATTGTCGGGATGTGAGGATGTTCGAAGTAAATGGTGTTACTTACTGGGGGTGCTATATTGTATTACTACTTGCACTGAAGCAGCTGTTGGGTTGAACAGCTTGGAGCTTGGCCGAAGCCCACTCTTCCGCAGAACCCCCCCCCCCCCCCCCAAAAAAAAAAAAGGCTAAAGGACCCCTAGAGCCCTAAACCCTAGACCCTAAACCTTAAACCCTGAAGAGAAGAGGATGGCGTCTCCGTTGGCGTGATACTCTTCGACCTCGAGGCCTTGGGGGCTGCGAAAGCTCCGGAAAACCAGGAAACTCAGACGGTTTCGGGGGTTTGAGTGTTCATAGGATTTGGGCATGCCTCCCAAACACCCAAAAACCCCCAAGCCATGAAGCCCGACCGGCCCGACCGGCTTCGGGGTGAATTTCTGGGGTGTTTGGAAGGAAAGCAGTTGGTTGGGTTTCCAGGCTGTATACTGTAGGGTTTATGGGGGTTTATAGGGTTTATCGTTACTATGGGGTTTATAGGGCTTATGGACTCCTGCCCACTGCCCACCACCTGGATACCCTTCGATGAGGTCACTTGGCCACCTCCTGCCACCAACTCGCGTGTCGGCGGCTACAGCTTCCTGGGCGGAGAAGCCGAGGTCCCTGAACCCGAAACACTGAGCCCGTGGGGGTTTCGGTTAGGCGGCATGCGTGCTTCATCGATGAAGTACATATAATAGACATATATATGTATATATATGTATATACATATATCATACATATATGTATATATATATATACATACATACATACAGGTGTATGATTAATATAGAGCATGTGTATGTATATCTAAAAGGTATACATGTATATATATATATATATATGATATATACAGATACATAAACTAATATGTGTATATATATATATACGCACTTAGAGGAAGTTCTGTTTCATTTGCAGTTTGTTCCTTTCAAATTCCTCTCACAGACATGCCCCGCACCTACCGTAACAAAAACAACGCTCCCACCCGCTGCAAAACCAAAAAGCGTCCCCAGCACCTGCCCGCCCCCCCCCCCCCCCCCCCCCGGCATCAGCAGCAACAAAACCGCGCGCCTGCAGCAAGAAGACGCGCCCCCGCCACCCCGCAGCAAAAGACCCCGCCGCACCCGCAACACAACGCACGCCGCAGCCAAGAAGAACACTCTTGCCGACGGAAGGTACCTGATTCCCCGCTTCCCTACAAATAAAAATGCATACTGAAAGCCGGTAAGCTCGGGGCAGGGTGTTTGAACCGACTGTCCTTGACTCACTGCCTTTAAAACTGGGGCTGGTGTGGCTCGGTATAGATTCTAAAGCCTCAACCCCTAGCCTCAAACTCTAGCTCTCGTGCCACGAAACCCTGAATCCTAATGTGCCATGAAGCCTATGCTGCAAGGCCATTCTCCTGATCTCCCGTGCCTTTGGCAAGTTCGAGTTTGCCATGAAGGCCGACCGTCGACGTTGTTTGGGTTTCAGGCGGTTTGAGGTTGAGAGGATTTAGAGGATTTAGAGGATTTAGAGGATTTAGAGGATTTAGAGGATTTAGAGGATGCAGGGTTGCTGCATGCTTTGCCCCTTTTGTCACCTAGCACTCAGGAGGCCGTGGAACTCAACCTCGCGAAAGAGGCTTCGCAGAGTCGCGCCCTCATGCGATGTGGGGCTTGTATTCTGTTATTGTTAGTGGAAGATAACCATCGTGTCAATATATTATATGTTTATCTATCTATCCATCTATCTATCCGTTTTCGTGTCTGTCCTGTGCCTGTCCTGTGCTGTCCCGTCCCTTCCCGTCCTGTTTCTCTCTCTCTCTCTCTCTCCATCGGTCTGTCTGTCTGCCTGTACAACCTCGTCGGTGGAAGGTTGCAGAGCTATTGCAAGCCTCCAGAAAGGAGAAAGGCCCAGAGTCCAAGCCCATGCTCGTGTCAAAGGCACCCCGAGACCCTAAGCCCCCAAGCCCTAAACACGAATACGGAATACAGCTGCTAATTTGCCCCCTGAACCGATCGGCCCCTCATTGGGCCAAGAGGCATCGACGTAGATGCCCTGCGGCAGCGTGCCTTCGAGGCGCTGAATCAGAAAGGGCTGCCTCTTGGATGCAGGGAGCCATGTCATCGGGTCCCTTTTTTTTTTTTGGGGGGGGGGGGGGGGGCAGCTGCTATATTGCGGGCCTTTCTCTGTTCAGGGTACCCGACAAAAGGGTGTCCAAAAAATTGATCGGCATCATCTTGCTCCAACCACTCGTTGGCCCAAGACACCTTAATCAAGCAAAATACCTTAAACCATGTACGGGTCCTAGTTGGGAGTTGAGTTTTAGTATCCAATCTTCAAGGGCTATCGCGCTCTCTGGGTGTCGCTGCCGAACCCTTCTCCCTAATCCCTAAACCCTAAACCCGCCGGTTGCAACTGAAGGCCCTTCGAGCTGTTCGCTCACATCGCCCATGGCTCGGCAGCAGGCAGATCAAGGATGTGGGGCAGCCCCCACGGTGCTTTGAAGCTGCCTTTGAAAACCTCAAGTTGTTAGGGGTAGCTTTAGGGTCTCCTTGAACCCTGAAGCCTAAACCCTGACCCCGTTATATTCGTTCAGCCTTAATTAAACCCTAAACCTCAAGACCTTGCTGCAAGACTCAGGTGAAGCGCTCGGGCATGAATATAGAGAGGCTCCACTACCTCGGGAATCCGTGGGAGCCGTCCCAGCCCAAGAAGCCTCAAAGGCATAGGTGTTCGGGGGTTGTTCTAAAGTAGGGTTTGGGGTTGAGGGATGTTTAGGGTATTGGGGGGTTGTTCTAGAGCAACGGCCCCTTTGTGGGGGTTAATGTTGTAGTCATTCCATTGAGAGACAAATCGGTAGCATCTCAGGGAAGGCGACAGTGTAGATAGGCATAGCGAGACCGCTAAACCCCGAAACCCTCAACCCGAAACCTTTAAGCCCCCAACCCAACACATTCACATGTGGCTGTGGGCTCCGAACTGATACGCAGAGCCACCCCGAAAGCCTCAACCCTCAACTCCACCCTAAACCCCAAAAAGCCCTGCATAAGCCATAAAACCGTGTACGCCCGATAATCAGCTTGGTGAGGCCTTGTCACCTCGAAGCCCTACAACCTCAAAGAGCCAACAAAGACCAAACCCCTCAACCCCGCAAACCACCGAAAAACCCCCAAGCCTCCAAGCCCAAGGCCCCGGGCGTTTGCCGGGCCAGCGCTGATGGTCGTGGCACCGGACTCACCGGAGCCACTGGGTGAAATGGGATATTTTTTTGCAACTTCTGGTCCCTTTTGGGGTTTAGGGTTTGGGGTTGGTGTTTAGGGTTTAGGTGTGGTGTTTAAAGTTTAGGGTTTAGGGTTCGAAGGGTTCCTGTTCTGATATGGTGCCTTCCATTTAGGGACCCAAAGCGGGATACTGTAGATCATCCGAATGGCTGGTCTTGCCCCCACCCCCCAAAAGTGTGGGTTGAAGGGATGAGTCAAATTGAGGGTCCGGGGTTTGTTTGGGTACGGGTGGAGTGGCTTGGGATTTGTGCTTAGGGGTTTGGGGGTGGGGCTGTCGGAGTCTTCGGGATTGAAAACTGATTTGAGCTTTAATGAGGTGTATGGATTTGGGTTGAGGGTTGTTGGCCTAGTTGTGATCGATCGTTTTCCATGGCATTGTCTTGGTTCGTAAGGTTCGCCAGTGCCCGGGAGATCAACGCCAAGTACTGCAAGCAAATGGAGGCAGTGTGTGATGTGTATGAGCTTTTGTTGCGAAGCCGCTCTTTGCAATCCAGCCTGCAATCGCCGGCAAGGCTGTGACTGGTAAAGGCAGCCACTACAACATGTTGCAGGCACAATCAGAGTCAGGGCCCTTTGGTCGTATAATTTCGCTGGTTTCTGCAGGTAATGTTGCGCCCTCTCTTGGTGACTCTTAGTGTATTCCCAGTCCCACTCCCCCCCCTCCCCTTCCCCTGAACAGTCGAGGCTGATGTTGGCCGTCTTTGATGGGTCCCCGGATGCTTTATGAAGGGAAGAGCTTCCTTAAAGACAGATCCCACCCCCAAACAGAGGCGCGGCTCAAGGGCTTAGAGCCTACAACATCCCAAGCCGCAGCTTTTCTTGAAAGAGTCTGTCGGGCCCACCAGCGACCCCCTTACTACTGGGACGGAGCTAGCTTTCGTTCCTTTAGGGAGTTCTGACCGAGAGATAGAATTTTGTGTTATATTAAAGAGGACCTTTGCTTTTGGGGGAGGTGAGTGTTGCTTTCGGCTTCGTCATGCTTACCCTTTGCGGTGAAAACCAAGCGGCTTAGTTCTTCGTGCCAGGGCGAGCAGGCAGTGGTTCAAGCCGGCATCGTGCACCAGTTCCGGCAGAGGCCTTCTCTCAGCTTCTTTTAATAGCTTTCCTGACTGGCAGCTTGGATGTGGAGGTTGACCTCCTTTAAGCCGGACCGGTTGGTCCCTAATCGAGGGTTCCTGGTACCTGCTATGATACTTGGCCTTCTTTCTTCTGTTTACGAATTCCCGCAAAGGCCCATATGTATGCGTTTAAAAATGCATGCAGCCTGCACAGGTTGACGCCAAGCTCATCACCCGCGAGGGCTGGGCGCAGCAACACTGTCGTGCTGAGGCCACCGACCTGTGTCTTCGCCCAGTCTCAGGAACATGTTTCTCGGAGGATCGCTCGCAAAAACTTAAACAAACGCAGAAACACGGAAACGGCAACGGCAGCGGCAGCCCGCAACCGCACCACCGGTAGCAGTCATGTTCTTTGCAATCATAGTCATTGTGGTACTGAAGGTCGGCATCATGTTCACAAGTCATAGCAACCCAAGCACTCAGATCAATATCGCAGTCGCACTCAACGTGGCAATCATGTGCGTACAACTAAAAGAACCCCAAGCAGCCATGCCAATCTCAACAGCAGCGCTCAGTCATCGTCAAAAATGCGACTGGCAGCATGTCAACTCCCCCCTCTCTCTCTCTCTCTCTCTCTCTCTCGCAAAGAAATCAAGAACGGAGAAAGCCCGAGTCCAAAACCCAACCCCTGACTGACTGACCAACCCCAAGCAGACCAACCCTCAACCCTACGGGCAGGCCTGGCAGTGCCGGCGCGACGCGGATCTACGCCGTTCATGGCCCGGAGCTAAGAGGTAAAAGGCGCATGAGGGAGGTTGATCCTTGGTTGGGGTGTAGGCTTGACGGGTCGAGAGAGCTTTGAGGGTTTGTGTGGGGTTTGTGTGGGGTTTGTGTGGGGTTTGTGTGGGGTTTGTGTGCGGTTTGTGTGGGGTCTGCGTTGGGTTTGTGGGGTTTGTAGGGTTTTTGGGGTTGGTGGGGGTTTGGGGTTTGGGGTTGGCAAGAGGTTCCTAAACTCTCAACCCCAAACCCCGGCCCTGCGGCACATCTTGAAGGCCCTGAGATCCTTTCTTATAGGCGCCTGGTATCTCCCCATGTGATCCTTTAAAAGGGAATATGTTGCCTAATTAATTCTCTAATTCCCTATGAAGAACGGGAGTTTTTTTTCCCATCCTTGCTGCGCTTGGACACCCTGCAGAAGAACTTTTGTTCCTTTGGCCGAGAATCAGGGTTTGCCCTCTAGACCTTAAACCACCTTTACACTTAGTGTAATTTCAAGGGTCGCTTCGCGAGTTGAGGCCTTGATGGCGACGTGATGAGCGATGGCTCTTCGTACGCCACGCTGGCGAAGCACCTCGATCCCTGCAGGCACGGTTGGATGATGACGACAGCGATGACGACGACGACCTCAAATCCTGAATCCTCACTTAACCCCAAACCCACTGTTCTCAAAATTCTCAAAGCCCCGTACCCTCAAGGCCCTACACGTCGAACGCCACTCCGCCTTCTTCGTTTGAGTGGTGTTCACAGTTCAAAGTCACCCTCCGACCCAGGGTGTGCGCCCTGGTGTACGAGGAGGAGGTGCGGCTCTTGGGTCCCCACTGGCAGGGTGAGAAAGCTGTAGGGTTTCAGGCTTTCACACGGGCTCCCCAATCTGCTTGTGCATTTGGCCGGGTTCTATTGAAAGCCTAGTTTTCCGCTTGTGCGCGTAAGAAGAAAGGGACAACCCGCAACCCGATAAACCCTAAATCCGAAACCTTATCCGCCAACCCCCTCCCCCCGCCCCCAACCAAAAAACACGAAATCAAACGCGTGAGAAAGAGACCTGAGCTGAGCCCCGCTCTGCCCCACATGCACAAGGCCTATGCCTGCGACACGGTGCCGTCGTTGGCAGCCTGCTACAACCGCCGGGTGCTCTCTCTGGCGGATTTTTGGTGTTCCCTCCCTCCCCTTCCTCCCCCGTCCCCTCTGCCCCCTGCCCCTGCCCCTCCACCCTCCCATGCTCATGACAGGTGTTGGAAGATGCGCGGCGGAACGGTGGCCTCAAGGTCGTGGGCCGAGGGGTTTTCTATGAGAGGCGCTTTTTGAGCGAACGCTGGGAGCGGGCACGAGCTGCCGTCACTAACTTGCTGAGGAAGAGAATCCCATTCTGGTCGCGGGCGCCGCGACCCTGTTTGGTCTCAGGAATGCGCCGGCTCTGGTTGACTTGACTAGCAGCAGACGTCATATCTTTTTGGACAAAATGAAGGATCCCGCCCGAAATCCCTAACTCTCAGAGGGGACGCGGACTAGCTTCCGCCAGGTTACTCGCATGGCTGCGTGGTTGCGCATCAAATGGCCTGCCAGCTTGAAGAGGTCCGGGACCTATTGTCGCCACTCCTCCCAGGGTCTCCTACGCGGAAGGATTCCAGAAACACTCCGCAGAGTAGACTGCAGGGTATCCCGCAGTGCCTACCCAAGTACCATATCCCCAAAAGTATTTCTGGAGGAGTGCTCAGGTGCCGTCAACAGCTTAGCGTTTAGGGTGAGGATGTTAGAAGCAGATGGGTGATAGTTAACGGAGATGCTCTAGCTTCTGTATAATCTGTATCACATCTTGCTCCCCACTGTAGCAACTGTTATATAAGAAGGGAGCAGACTGATGCTTCGCCCGACTCATACCTGTCGTATCACGGGGCCCTTATGCTGAGGGCCCCCCAAATAGACCCTAAACCCGAGACAGCAGAGGCCGGCATCTCCGTTGGCGTGATACTCTTCGACCTCGAGGCCATGCAGAAAAACGTGAGTTTACGTTTCTGGTGTTTCGGAAGAAAGCAATTGGGGCCTGGTTTGCTTTACGGGGGGTTTATAGGGTTTTCTCGGGTTGCTGGGGGGCCTCTGAGGGGTTACAGGGGTTAACCCTCCCCCCCTCTGCTCCACCACACTCAATTTCGACACCTTTTGGACACCCGTTGAGGTCACTTGGCCACCTCCTGCCACCAACTCGCGCGTCGGCGGCTACAGCTTCCTGGGCGGAGAAGCCGAGGCCCCTTGAACCCGAAGTCCCTAACCCTAGACCCGAAATTGTTGAGGTTCTAGGGCTTTGTGGGCTGAGGGGGATGTAGATTTCTGAGTCTGAGGCAAGTTCAGAGGTTTACTGTAGGTTTTGGGGTAGAGCTTCATCTGCTTGCACTTGGGACTCGGAGCTTACTAGTTCTTAGTACGGCACTAAGGAACATTAGGGATCGCGCGCCCCGCGCGCCCGCAGCAAACACAATCTCGCCTCTGCACCCGCAAACGAAAAAGGCGTTTCGGGTGCCAAGACGCGACGGTTAGGGAGCAGACAGGTGAGTGCATGAGTGAATTGGCCCATGCCCCAAGCGAAAACAAATCGCCCCCCCCCCCCCCCCACACAGCAAAACAAAAATGCACCCCACGGTCCCCCGACCTTCCCACATCCTGCGTGCCCTCGCACCCGCTGATGGGGCGGGCAGGTGACTGAGTGAAATGGCAGTTGTGGCAAGAAAAGAACGCGCCCTACACCCGCAGCAAGAGGGCGAACACAACCCCCGCGCCCCGGCGCCCGCCTACGAACAGGTGTGAGTGAGTCCGCCGGCCTGCCCCAACCAGCAGCAAGACGCTTCCCCCGCAACTGCATCAAAAAGATAATGTGCCCCATAAAAGCTTAGTTTTTCATGCAAGGTCCTTCGAGGTTTCTGTAGGACACAGGTGTTCCGATAAACAAGGACGCACTACATGTTTCGAACAGAGTTTGGAAGAAATGTGGGCGTTTTCCGTTTCATATCTCAGCGAACAGAAAGGTTGTCCAATAACATATGGAGGAATAGGGGGTTGCCGATCAGCAAAGAAGAAATACAAAACCCTCATGAACCTTCAGAAAATTGAGGTTTGCTTTTGGGATGTAGAGGAAGAATACAAAAACGATGTCGAGGATAATGTCAAGAACCTTGAGGTTACCCAGCGAACGCGTAACGAGAAATAGATGTTTCCTATTAGCATGTTGAACAAAGACGTAAGTTTTCGGATTGAAAGTGGGAGAAAACGGATGCTTTTCTACCAATAATACAGAGGATAAATGCGAAACTGTAGAGGACAGCTATGTGCTCCTGTGAATGAACATTGCCGCACATAAGAGGAAATCGACGTTTGCCGTCAATGTCCCGAGGAAGAAATGCAAAGGATTTCCGAGTAAAGATCAGAGAAGGTGGAGATTTTTAGTATTGACACCTTTTAACATGTCGAAGGAATACATGCTTCCTATCAACGTGTGAAAGAAGGATTAACAATTCGAGAAAGCCGAGGTTTTCGTACTCAAACTAGAAGATAAGAAGAGGTTTCCTACGTACAGGAAATCGAGGCTTTCATCGAGAAGCACATATTTCTGTATATATAGAGGAAAAAAAGATTTGTCGTTTGAGGTTCGGGGAGAAAATTTTCCCCACCCCCTGCCCGCCCCCACCCCGCCCTACCACCCAACCGCAAACAAAAAGAACAGTCTTATTTTTAAGGTACCTGATATGCCCGCGTCGCGATACTAGAATTCCCGTGCTAAGACGGGCCCGTAGTTGTCGGGACCGAAGGTCCTTGACCCGCTGCCTTCAAAACTGGGGCTGGTGTGGTTCAGCATGAACCCTCAAGCCTCATCTTTGGCCCCAACCACTACACCCTAACTCCTACACTGCAAGGCCATTCTCCTGATCTCCCGTGCCTTTGGCAAGTTCGAGTTTGCCATGAAGGCCTTCGACGTTGTCTGGGCTTCAAGCGGCTTAAACTTTGAGGATTTATAGGATGCAGGGTTGCTGTGTGCTCTGCCTTGTGCCTTTCAGCGGCTGGGGTGGCTTCTGAACCTTAGAAACCAGAGGATGTCGAAGTGTCACGGGTCGTGCCGCCTCTTATTTATGGATGACAAGCTCACGCAGCACTCAGGAGGCCGTGGAACTCAACCTCGCGATGGAGGCTTCGCAGAGTCGCGCCCTCATGCGAAGTGAAGGGTCCGTTAGAGAATGGTGAGTGTGTTGGGTGTCCTTTTTGAGGATACTACCAATAAAGACCCTGTATGAGTTATAAACTGTGATGGCTTGCAGTGGGCTTCGGATCGATATGCGCTGTCGGCCTTCCCAGACGAAGATAACCGTCATGTCAACATGCTTATGCAAGGCATGCGCTTATGTCTGCCTATTTATTAGTCTATTTATCTATCTGCTGTCCAGTCTGAAGTCTATCTATCAATCTATCTGGCTCTTTGTCTCTCTGTCGGACTGTGCGCATTCACGTCTGTGAAGCATACGTCGTACTGTGTCGAAGTGTACAACCTTGTCGATTGAGGGTTGCAGAGCTATTGCTATCATGCTCGAGTCAAAGGAACCCCTCCTGAGCCCGAAAGCCCAACACAGGAAACAGCTGCTAATTTGCCCGGTTGCGCCGACCGATGCCCCTCGTTGGTCTACAGGCATCGACGTAGATGCGCTGCGGCAGCGTGCCTTCGAGGCGCTGAATCAGAAAGGGCTGCCTCTTGGATGCAGGGAGACGGGCCAATCTCTACTGAGGGTACCCGACAAACGGGTCTCCAAAAAATTGATGGGCGTCATCTTGCTCCAAGCCCCTATTGGCCTCAGTACGCAGGGAGGCTAAGACACTCTGATCCAGGAAAGTACCTTGAGTTGGGTGTTGAGTCTTTTCAAGGGCTGTCGGGCTCTCTGGGTGTCACCGCCGACAAACCTTCTTCCTAGCCCCCTAAACCGGCCAACAGCAACTGAAGGCCCTACGAGCTGTTCGCTCACATCGCCCATGGCTCAGCAGCAGGCAGATCACTCGAACCTAGAGACCTTGCCGCAAGACTCAGGTGAAGCGCTCGGGCATGAACATAGAGAGGCTCCACTACCTGGGGAATCCGTGGGAGCCGTCCCAGCCCCAGAAGCTTCAAAGGCATAGGTATTCGGGGGGTGTTCCTTGTAGTATCATTGAGGTGCCCGGACCCCTAAACCCGAAACCCCAAACCCAACACATTACCATCTGGCTGTGGTCCGCTGCATACGTACCCTCCATGAATCACATGTTCCAAACATGCATCTCCAGAAATCATGTACAGACACGTAGTCGACGACCCTAAACCCCCAAACATCCCCAAACCCTACAAGCCCCCAATACCCCCACATACCCCCCCCCCTCCCCCCAATACCCCGCTAACACCCCCCAATACCCCCCAAACCCCGCAAACCCCCAAACCTCCAAAGCCCAAGGCCCCGGGCGTTTGCCGGGCCGGCGCTGATGGTTGTGGCACCGGACTCACCGGAGCCACTGGGTGAAATGGGCAGTTTTCTACAACTTCTGGTCCCTTTTGAGGGTTTAGGGTTTAGGGGTGGTGTTAGGGTTTCCCGTTTGGGGTCTAGGGTTTAAGGGTTGCGGGGCCAGCCCGAAAGTGCAGGCTGAAGGGATGAGTCAAATGAGGGTCTGGGGTTTCGGGTTTGGGGTCCAGGCCAAGATGCCAGGTTGGCCGCATGGGTTTATTTGGGTACGGCTGGGGTGGCTTGCTGGGATTCAGGTTTTGGGGTTTTGGGGCAGGGCTGTGGGAGGCCTCGGGATTCAACAATATTTGAGCTTTCATGAGGGGCTACGGTTTTGGGTTGAGGGTTGTTGGCCCAGCTGTGATCAATCGTTTTCCATGGCTTTGTCTTGGTTCGTGAGGTTCGCAAGTGCCCGGGAGATCAACGCCAAGTACTGCAAGCAAATGGAGGTGAGGTGTGATGTGTATGAGCGCTTGTTGCAAAGACGCTCTTTGCAATCCAGCCTTCAATCGCCGGCAAGGCCGTGACGGGCAAAGGCAGTCACTACAACATGTTGCAGGCGCAGTCAGAGTCAGGGCCCTTTGTTCCATAGGGCCATACGGCATGCGGTACACTTTCGCTGGTTTCTACAGGTAATGTTGCGCCTAGTCCCCCTCACCCCCCCCCCCCGCCCTGAGGCTGAATTTGATCGTTTTCATCAAAAGGGATCAGCTTACTCAATAGCGGATCCCACCCCCAAGCAGTTACACGATCCTGCATTGCAGGATCGTGTCCTGCATAGCCTGCAAACTTGACCTCATCGCCAGGGCACCCCTGCTAAACAGGGTTTAGGGTTTAGGGTTTAGGGTCAAGGGTTTAGAGCCTACAACATCCCAAGCCGCAGTTTTTCAAGACTGCAAAGTAGAAGCAATCTCTAATGTTAACGTCGCGTTTATAAACCCCCCCCCCCCAATCTTGTTTTGGTCCCCGGGGTTTGGAGGGGTCAAAAAAATAGGGGGTGTCAATAGTTGGAATCTGGGGGTCTTCTGGGGTCTGGGGGGGGTCAGCTGTCAGGGTCTGCTCTGCTTTGTCTTGAAGGGTTCTGCTTGCTCTCTGCAGCTCCTTTTGCTCTGCCGCGGAGCTCTTCAAGCCAGCTCAGCTGAAAAGTCTTCTCTGTAATGGAACTCTTAAGCCATTTTCAGTAAAATTTTGCGTTCCTGGCCAGAAAAATATTGCAGTTGATTATTCTCACCGGACCCCCCTATATAGACTTGCTTATAGATTTCGGCCCGGAACCTCCCGTAATGGAAAGTAGTCTTCGCCTGGGGCCCGCTGGTCCGGCGAATATTGCAATTACCACCCCATTTATAGATGTGAGGTTAACATTAGAGCCCTCTAGCGACCCCTTGCTACTGGGATGCAGCTAGCTTTAGTTATTTCGGGAGTTCTGATAAATATAAAGAGGACCGTTGCACACTTGTTGGAAGTGAGTGTTGCTTCTAGCTTAGTCGTGCGCTGAAAACCAAACCCCGGTGTGGCTGGTGCGTTTCTTCGCGTCAGGGCGAGCAGGCAGTGGTTCAAGCCGGCATCGTGCACCAGTTCCGGCAGAGGCCTTCTCTCAGCTTCTTATGAGCTTTCCTGACTGGCTTCGTCGATATGGGGGTTGGACCTCCATGAAGCCGGAACTGGTTCGTTCACTAAGCTAGGGCTCCTGTTTGGGTACCTGCTAGACTTGCACGTTTATCTTTTGTTTAAAAATGCCCGCAAAGGGCACATATTTAAGGCTTTTGAACAACGGATGCAGCCTGCACAGGTTGATGCCCACCTCATCACCCCCGAGGGCTGGGCGCAGCAACACTGTCGTGCTGAGGCCACCGACTTGCGGAGAGTCAGGAATATATTTTTCGCAGGATCACCCGCAATAACTTAAACAAACACTACAACAACGGCAACGGCAGCAGCAACGGCAGCAACGGCGGCAGCAACGGTAACGGCCGCAGCAACGGCAACAGCACCAACGCAGCAGTCATGCTCTCAGCAATCACAATCAAGCCCTATATCCCAAACCCTATGAGCCTGAAAGCTTCGCACCCGATGATGTAAAAAAAACTCGCCCTTCCATCAAGACCTAGAAGCCTGTAATCCTAGCATCCTAGAACCCCAAAAGAGCCATAACTTAGGACCCCAAGCATCCCAACCCTAAGCCCTAACCCTACGGGCAGGCCTGGCAGCCCCGGCGCGACGCGGATCTACGCCGTTCACGGCCTGGAGCTAAGAGGTGCAAGAGGGAGGTTGATCTGTAGTTAGGATTTCGGATTGAAGGGTCGAGAGGTAGAGGGTGTTGAGGGTTTAGGGTTTGTGGGTTTGGGGGGTTGTGGGGTTCAGGGTAGGTAAGTGGATTTCAAACCCTAGAACTCTAAACCCTTCACCTCAAGCCCGAAACCCTAATATAGACCTGCGGCACATCGTCGAGGAAGTCGAAGATCCTTTCTTACTAAGCCCTAAGTCGTGATCAGGCAATTAAATAGGCGGCTTGTATCTCCCTAGTTGATCATTTGGGGGGAGTATGTTCTCATTCCCTACGAAGAACGGGTCGTTTGGTTTCCTGTCCTTGCCGGGCTTGGACACTGTTTTTTGCTCCAAGAACTTTTGTTGTTCCTTTGGCCGTTCATTCGTGTGGCAAGGCCGGGGAAGTTATCTCACTCTGTGAACCAAGGCTTTGTGCCCTCTAAACCTCAAACCACGAGTGCGGTTAGGATGATGTTCCGGGCTGCTTCGCGAGTTGAGGCCTTGACGGCGACGTCATGAGCGATGGCTCTTCGTACGCCACGCTGGCGAAGTACCTCGATCCCTGCAGGCACGGTTGGATGACGATGGCTGCGATGATGACGGCGACCCTCAATCCTGAATCCTCAGCCCCAAGCCTTCCGTCCTCAAACTCTCAAACCCTTGAACCCTCAAGGCCCTAGAAGTCCAACGTAAAATGGCCCGTTTGTGTGAGTGGCGTTTACAGTTCAAAGTCACCCTCCGACCCAGGGTGTGTGCCCTGGTGTACGAGGAGGAGGCGCGGCTCTTGGGTCCCAGCTGTCATTTTCTTGGGCCTAAATGCAGCACCCTAGAGGCAACACACACTCACACACGCAACAAAAAAAGAAGTGCGGGATGCCCTGTTTGGGAGACGTTTCTGACGTTGAAGAGGATGACGGCGGTTGATCTGTTTGTGTGTGGGCGTTCGGTGAGCCGGGTGGCTTGTCGAGAACTTCGCCGTGGGGACCGTGACTGCCTTCTCGGTTGTGTCGTAGAGACGTATCCGTTGCGCCGACTGGGGGCCGCTCCGACCGGTGTGGTTCTCGTTGACGTGTTCGCGAGATCTTGTCCCTGAAGCTTGGTGCCGTCTGCGAGTTGATCTGGAACGAGAACGTTTTTCGCCTACCGCGGTGTTCGTGCTCTCGAGGATGCCAATGCCGAGGGTTGTGGAAGGCACGGTGACCTTGTGGCCTGGATGTGTTTTGGTTTCCAACTTTGCTCCGTGAACGCCCTTTCTCGCTCTTCGCTATAGGGACTGTCGGTATACATCTGACTTTCTTTTCCTTGCGCCCGGTAGTTTCTTTTCTTCCTTGCGATGTCGACATAGTCCTAGCGATGCAAAAGGGAAAACCCTTAGGTTGGTTGGGCATTGAGCTGAATCGACTTCAGCGAAAACGCGCGGCAAAAACCAGTGCAGTCAAGGCACCGTGAGGGAACCTTTTTTCCCCCCCTATTGCTTCCTATTGCCATTGTCAGTGTTGTTATGGTTGATGATCATTTCTGCGATGGCTTTTGCAAGTGTTTGGTACAGGGTATGTAGTATCATGATCAGTGATACCAGAGCGATAAGCACTAATTGATAAGCACTAATTGCATGTTCGATGGGACGATTTGCGTGCAGGGCATGCATTGTATTTCACGCCTCAGAGGTTGCACACCAAATTTACATAAGCTACAGCATCTACAGCCTTGCATGGTCCTATACGAAGTTGCACCCTATGTCAAGAGATTAGTCTAAGCGATTCTACGTGCAGCAGCATACGTGTCGTAGGGGACCTCCATTATGCAATACATCGCGCAACAGAATAATCCGCGTTTTCGTGATGAGCTCGTAGCATCCCTCGCCGACAATGACAAAAGCAGCTTTTTGGGCTTCGGCCTCTTTCTCGTGCATGATTTTGATCGCGCCAGGTTCATACGCAGTAGAGCGATCCAACAGCACTTCTTCTGTAACTGAGCAATTATCCTCTGTGGATGTGATTTGCTCTACAGAGGCGGCCTTTGCTGCAAAGATGGCAGACGGAAGTGTGGTGACTTGGGGCGACCAAAACCACTACGACTCACACTCTCCTGCTGTGGCTGAGAACTTGACGTCCGTGGACGCGATTTATTCTACATGTGCTGCCTTTGCAGCAAAGAAGATGGATGGCACAGTGGCAACGTGGGGAAATTCACAGTTCGGTGGAGATTCCTCTTCTGTGTCTGAGTACCTGTCATCTGTGGATGTGATTTATTCTACAGAATATGCTTTTGCAGCAAAGAAGACGGATGGTACTGTAGTGACTTGGGGCGATCCAAAGTGTGGAGGAGATTCCTCTTCTGTAGCCGAGCACCTGTCATCTGTGGATGTGATATATTCTGCATCCTGCGCGTTTGCAGCAAAGAAGACGAATGGCACTGTCGTGACTTGGGGCGATCGATTTGGCGGAGGCGATTCCTCTTCTGTAGCTGATCGTTTGTCATCCGTCGAGGTGATTTATTCTACATCTCGGGCCTTTGCGGCGAAGAGAAAGGATGGCACTGTCGTGACCTGGGGCCACTCACTTTGGGGTGGAGATTCCTCACCTGTAGTCGAGCAATTGAGGTCCATAGTTGCGATTTATTCCACTGAAGCTGGTGCTTTTGCAGCGCAGAAAGTGGATGGCACCGTAGTAACGTGGGGCGACCCAGCTCTTGGGGGAGATTCCTCCTCTGTGGCTGAGCGCTTGTCGTCTGTGGACGTGATTTATTCCACACGCACGGCCTTTGCAGCTAAGAAGAGAGATGGCACTGTGGTGACGTGGGGCAAGCCGAAGAAGGGAGGGGATTCCTCTTCTGTAGTCCAGAACTTATCATCGGTCGATGTCATTTATTCTTCATGTTGTGCCTTTGCAGCCAAGAGGATCGATGGCACCGTGGTGACCTGGGGGCTCCCAGGTGCCGGCGGAGATTCCTCCTCCGTAGCTGGGCGCTTGTCATCCGTCGATGCGATCTCTTCCACGTCGGGGGCCTTTGCAGCAAAGAGGACGGATGGCACTGTCGTGACTTGGGGCAATGCGCTTAGCGGAGGCGATTCTTCTTCTGTGGCTGAGCACTTGACTTCCGTAGATGTGATCTATTCTACACATTGGGCTTTCGCAGCAAAGAAGAAGGATGGCACTGTGGTGACCTGGGGCGTTCCACGTTATGGAGGAGATTCCTCTTCAGTGCAGCGCTTTGTAAACCAGCTTCCGAAGCCCAATGCCGAGCGGAGTGGTGGCCATGCAGTGGCGAAGAGGGCCCCGGCAGTGGCAGGTCTTAGTGGAGGTGGAGAAGATTCTGCTCTTGGAACTGACCTGCACAAGACCACCTCTTCCCCTGCACCGATCAACAAGTCCCTTGGTCGAGAAACGTGGTTGCTTTTTGCGGCTGTTGCTGCATTTTGCACCGCCTTCTGTTTTTCACCTCACTGGTTCCGGAATGCCGTGCGCTATCGGCGAAGAGGAGCTCGAGATATGACAGTTGAGCTGATGAGCACGTCGGCTGAGTGATCAAGAGTCTCCCTCCGGGTTTCTGTCGTTCTCGCTGCGGGGTGGGCGGCGAGAGAGACTGACGAAGCAAACATAAGGGGTCCCTGGCGAGGGATGGCCCGTTCTCTTGACCACTTTTCTTCAAAGTTAAAGTTAAAGTTAAAGCTAAAGCTAAAGCTAAAATTAAAATTGAAGTTCGTCGTCGTCGTCGTAGTAGTAGTAGTCGTCGTAGTCGTAGTAGTCGTCGTAGTCGTCGTAGTCGTCGTATTCAGCGTAGTAGGAGTAGTCGGAGTAGCAGTCGTAGTAGTCGTAGTAGTAGTCGTCGTAGTAGTCGTAGTAGTCGTAGTAGTAGTAGTAGTAGTAGTAGTAGTAGTAGTAGTAGTAGTAGTAGTAGTAGTAGTAGTAGTAGTAGTAGTAGTAGTAGTAGTAGGAGTAGTAGTAGGAGTAGTAGTAGGAGTAGTAGTAGGAGTACTAGGAGTAGGAGTAGGAGTAGGAGTAGCAGCAGCAGTAGTAGTAGCAGCAGAAGTAGGAGTAGCTGAAAGGATACAAGATTTACATTATTACTGTCACTTACTTTCTTGGGCTGGCTTGTTTGTTGCGGCCTGGCGAGTCAATCCTTGGCCCTTGTTCATTCATCCAAATCACCGTGTTCTTTGATGTGAAGATAATATTGCAAGCAAAAGCAACAAATAAGCAAACCAAATGATGAAGAAATACCGAACTAATTTATAATCTACTACGTTCGAGCATAAGTTTAACAAAGGCATGCGTGAGCGAATGCACGACGAAGAGAACACATTGAACTATAATAGCTTCATTCGAGAATTCTCATAATATTAATACAGTGAATACTAAAAGACCGTACAAATAATAGTATCCTTATATCCCTGAATAGCAATATTATATTAGGAGCTAGAGTATTCTTTATGCGCCCCGTTGAGCCCTACATGTACAAGGCCTATGCCTGCGACACGGTGCCAGCGCTGGCAGCCTGCTACAACCGTCGGGTGCTCTGGCGAGTTTTTGGCGGATCCCTTCGCCCTTCCCCCTCGCCTTCCCACTCCCCTTCCCCCTCGCCTTCCCCCTCGCCTTCCCCCCCGGCCCTTACCCCCAACGTCTCGACAGCTTCTATCATGGCAGGTCTTAGAAGATGCGCGACGGAACGGTGGCCTCAAGGTGGTGGCCCGAGGCATTGTTGGTGCATGGGACACGGTTTTGAGGGTTTTTTTCTGGGAGGTGCGTGTTGAGCGAACACTGGGAGCGGGCATGCCCTGCCGCTCCGTACTGAGGAAGAGAACCCCATTCTCGTCGCGGGTGCCGCGGCCCTGTTTGGCGGGTACCCACCCCCATTTTCGGAAACCCCTTAAACCCTAAACCCTAAACCCTAAATCCACATGTAGTACAACAGATCCCTCTGGGCTTCGGGGGCATGGGCGGACCAAGCAGTGACATAATGCGGTCGGCACAAACGTTACCATACCATCTATGTATAAGGAAGAGAGCGATCAGCACAAAGGTTGCTACACCATATGTATATGTGTGTATGTACAAGTAATAGTTGCATCATAGTACTATCTGATATTGTATTATATGAGATACTCTATATTCGATTATGCTATAGTATATTGTAGTACATTCTATGTGTAATATACCACCAGCTGCAAGTCGTTGCTCGTGATCGTCCCGCCACCTGCAACAGCATGGAGATGAATTTTTTGAAAAGGAAAAGCAGCGTTCTGGCTGCCGTGCAGCAAAATGGGTCACAACTGTCGAAGGTTCCACGTTGCTTCAAGGATGACAAGGAAGTCGTGACGCTGGCTGTGAGCAAGACTGGAGGCGCACTTCAGTATGCAGCAGAGAGATTACGAGGTGGCAAAGATGTTGTTCTGGCGGCCGTGCAGCAATCTGGGGCAGCGCTTGCATATGCATCGGACAATCTTAAAGCTGATAGGGATGTGGTCGAGGCAGCTGTAAAGCAGCGCGGCGATGCGCTGAAGGATGCATGAAAGAGGACAAGGATCTGGTCTTGGCTGCTGTGGCTAGGTCTGGCTTCGCCATTAACTATGCATCTGATGCATTACAACGTGATAAAGACGTCGTCCTTGCAGCTGTGAAGGAGTCGACGTCCGCCCTTCGCAACCAGGTGGTAGCTCAGAGTGCCGACAAGGATGTGATTTTGACAGCCATCAGCCACATGGCGAAGGGCTGCGTCATGCGTCCACGGAGCTGAAAGCGGACAGGGAGGTGGTTCTGGCGGCTGTGAGGAAAGATGGCTGGGCATTACGGTTCGCGGCAAAGGGGCTGAGAGCTGACAAAGACGTCGTCCTGGCCGCTGTGAGGCAAAGAGCCTTGGCGCTGGCGTTTTGTGCCCGTGAGCTGCAGTCCGACAAGGATGTGGTGTTAGCCGCCGTGGCGCAGGACGGCGGGGACTTGGGCTACGTGCCAGTCGACATGAGGGACAAGGAAGTCGTGCTGACGGCGATGGCATCGAGAGGCGAGGCCCTTCACGTGGCACCTGAGGCGTTGCGAGGGGACCGCGATGTGGTGTTGACTGCTGTACGGCAGCATGGCCTGGTGCTTAAATCGGCATCAGTGGAGCTTCGGTCTTACAGGGATGTGGTCCGGCAGTGATGAAGGATGGTAGGGCCCTGCAATATGCGGCCGCGGAGTTTCAGTCAGACGAGGATGTCGTTCTTGAGGCCGGGAGACAGAACGGACTTGCCTTCAACCATGCCTCCACAAAGTTCTTTGTCGATGCAGCTCTGTGGCCAACGGTCCAGGCACTAGTGCAGGAATACTGGGTCTTCAGGGTGTCGATTTTGAGTGGAGCGTCGTGCTACGTCGTGGCTACAAGCCATCAAGAAGTGTTTGGCATCCTGGTTGATGTAGCCGCGAAGTTGGGCATGAAGTCGTGTACTGGTGATCACGAATCGTATAGAAAGTTTGAGCTCTTGTGGGGCTCAAAAGCCCTGCGACTTTTCAGAGCCAGCGTGATGTGGTGGGCTCTGCCAGAGAGCAAGAAGGGGAAGATACTTGACCTCGCGCTCATTGTAAGAGTATGATGAAGGCTGATGGGGGCAGCTCCACCAGCTGGGCAAAGGGATGATTACGACAGAGCATGCCTCGGATTGCGAAAATGGAGCGTTCAGGTTTCAGGCTTTAACCTGTGGAGGGCCTGTTCTCATGGTATTTAGGTTCGGCTTCTCCAAGAGTTTGTTGCGTTCACATCGGGTCGGGGGGTTTGGGGGGGGGGAGTGGGGGAAGTACGGGCCATTTCTTTCGACTGAATGGGTATAGCGACTCCTGCATCCTTGCATCGTGAAGCGCAGCCCGTAAACCTTGTAAGCCTGTGAGCATCCGTAAGCCCGAAAACACCTAACCTAACAGTTTGGTCTGAGGAATGCACTCGGAGCGGCTTGGTGTTGTGTTGTCAGCTTGGTTGCAGCAGCACTTTTGCTAGCAGCAGAGTACGCAAATCTTTGAGCAAAATGAAGGATCCCACTCCCCATGCCTCAGATCCCTAACCCGAAATCCCTAAATCTTCAGAGGGGACGCGGACTGGCAGAGCTTCCGCCAGGTTACTCGCATGGCTGCGTGGTTGCACATCAAATGGCCTGCCAACTTGAAGAGGTCGGGGGGGTCCTATTTTCGGGTACTCCTCCCTATAGGTCTCCTAATTACCCCGAAAAAGTCCAGAGAAATCCCGCAGAACGTGCCTACGCAATCTTACCCAGATATCCAGCACCACATCCCCAGAAGCATTTATGGAGTGCTCAAGTGCTCAAGTGCGGTCAACTGTTTTGCTTTAGGGTGAGGATGTTCGAAGTAAATGGAGTTAGATACAAGCTACTGCGTGAAGCTTAGCCCAAAAATCGCAAAACTGCTATGCAGGGGTCCCCGAGCTTGTAGAATCCCTTTCAAAGGGTACCTTCAATAGTACTGGGCCCTTACACTGAGACGGCTCCCCGAAAGACCCTAAACCCTGTGCCCTTTACTAGATCGAAATCCTAGAGAGAAGAGGATGGCATCTCCGTTGGCGTGATACTCTTCGACCTCGAGGCCTTGGGCCTGCGAAAGCTGCAGAAAACCAAGAAGACCGGGTTTGGGGGTTTAAAAGCAAAAAGCCCCAGAAAGCCTGAAGCCTCAATAGCGCGACCCTAAAAGCCTAAAGCTCTAAAACCCCAAAACCCTGAACCCCAGACCGGCTGCGGACTTTCTCGCTTCGAAAGAAAACTTAAAACAATTGGGGCTTGGGGTTGCTTGCGGTTTCTTGGGTTTAGTTTAGGGCTTGGGGTATATATGATATGTGAGGGGCTTAGAGGGGTGAACCTTCCTGCCCCCTGCCCACCACGTTCAAACTCGACACCTCTTGGACACCCGGTGAGGTCACCTGGCCACCTCCTGCCACCAACTCGCGCGTCGGCGGCTACAGCTTCCTGGGTGGAGAAGCCGAGGTCCCTTGAACCCGAAGCCCTCAATCCAGGGGGTTTGGGGTCTAGTTGAGAGTATACTCAAGTATAAAGGGTGTAGGGTCTTAGGGCACACTTGGGGCTCGGAGCTTACTAGTTCTTAGGGAACAAAGCAACCTCTGAAATAAGAGAATACATGGTGCAACCTTTCTTGTGTTGTGTTTTTTTTTTTCAACGTTTGCACCTGTACCCGAAGACAAAATCACCCCCCCCCCCCCCGTGCGGCCATACGGGCCAGGTGAAAACAGGCAGGTGAGTGAGTGACTTGGCCCGTGTCCGCAGCAGAAGCAGATTGCGCCCCCGAACCCGCAGCAACACAAAAAGCGCTCACCCCACCATCAATTGACATTCCTTCCAAAAAACGAATCCTAGCCAAGCCCAGCATGCGAGCACTGTGTTTGAACATGTGGGCCCCCAACGTAACCTTCTGATTTTTAAAGCCACGCAAGTTTGCTTCAATGACACGCCATCAAAGGACCTGATGAACCCTTTGAAACCCATCATGCGAGGTCCTCGAGATTTACCGTATCTCAAGAGGGAGATTCTATAAAGTTAGCAAATCATATAGCAGGGGGTCTCCTATTGAAGTAGAAAGGACATAGAGGTGTTCCTCATGTAAAGAAGAGACAAACGTTTCTATCAGATTTACTTGTAGAAGAAATGCAAGCGTTTTCCAGTTCATGTCCGGCGAAAAAATGTGGAGGAATAGCCAGGAATAGCGGTAAGCGATGAAACCATCGCGGAACATTAGAGAAAATTGAGTCTTCCTCTTACCAGTAGAATACAGACGAAGAATTCGAGGATAGCGTTGAGAAAATTGAGGTTGCCTATTTCCTACTGACATGTTTGCTTTTAAGATTCAGAACAAAGACGTAAGATTTCGGATGGAACATTTGAGAAAATCGAGGTATTGCTACTCAATACAGAGGATGCCGAGCTGTCCTGCTGAACTATAGAGGAAACCTGTGTTTTCCCATGAATAAACATTGCGGCAAAGAAAAGGAATTCCCGATCAATGTTTCGAGGAAGAAATACGAAGGATTTCTGCAGAGAAAGAGAAGTTTTCCTATTGACATGTCGAAGAAATTGATTTTTCGGAATTTGGAAAAGATGGATGTTTTCCGATTAACAACTGGAGACAACCGAGGTTGGCATATTCAAAGTAAAGGGTAACAAGAAGTTTTGGTATGGAAAGGCGGGATTTCGAGATTTCATCGACGAAGTACATGTAGATGTATTTACAATATAGAGGAAAAGAAGCCCCCCTCCTCACCCCCTCCCCCCCTGTCGCGCCTGCAGCAAAACAAAGCGCCCCCAGCGCCCTCAGAAAAAAAAGAAAAAACCGCCGCACCCGCACAGAACACAAACGCACCCCACAACCAAAAAGCAAGGTCTTACCGAGAGAAGGTGCCTGATTCCCATTTCCCTACAAAGAAAGTCCCTACCAAGAACCGGTTGACTGCTGTGGCTCAGAATGGATTCTAAAGCCTCAAGCCTGAAGCTCTAGCGACTCTAACCCCAACCGCCAAACCACTGAAATCCTACACTGAAAGGCCATTCTCCTGATCTCCCGTGCCTTTGGCAAGTTCGAGTTTGCCATGAAGGCCGACTGTTGATGTTGTCTGGGCTTTCAAGCGGCTTGAGGTTTAGAGTTCCTAGGATGTGCATCTGGGAAGGTTTTAGAAACCTAAGTCTTCGGTCATAGGATGCCACAACGTCGCAGGTAATGCCGCCTCTGATTTCCTCTCAGTGGCTGTTGTGATGGATAGCAGGCTCACGTAGCACTCAGGAGGCCGTGGAACTCAACCTCGCGAAAGAGGCTTCGCAGAGTCGCGCCCTCATGCGAAGTAGGGCTTGTATTCTGTCTTTGGTTGGTGTAAATAGAAAATGTTCCTTAAAAGAAGGGTGAGTGTGTTGGGTGTCCCTTTTGGGGATACTAACAATAAAGACCCTACCTTATGTGAGATCTAAGAAGTGATGGCTTGCATTGGGCTTCGGATCGTTTGAAAGCGGTCATGGAGGCTGGACCAGTTCCGGGCCCTTACATCGTTCCCAGAAAAGGATGACCATCATGTCAGCATGCTTATGCAAAGGCGTGTGTCTTTTTTCTGCCTATACATCTGTGTCTCTCTGTCTCTCTGTCTCTTTGTCTCTCCGTCTCTCTGTCTCTATCTGTCGGTCTGTCCGTTTGTGCGCATCCACGTCTGAAGCATACGTCGTATTGTGTAGAAGTGTGCAACCTTGTCGGAGTTATTGCTAGCCTTGGCATGCCGAAGCAGAAGGAGAAAAACTCCAGGCTCGAAGACCGTGCTCCTGTCATAGGCACCCCTTCGACCCCGAAACCCGGAGCCACAAACCCCACACAGTAATGCAGATGACAGTCGGTAATTTTGCCACCTGGATCGACCGGCCGGCCCCTCATTGGCCAACAGGCATCGACGTAGATGCGCTGCGGCAGCGTGCCTTCGAGGCGCTGAATCAGAAAGGGCTGCCTCTTGGATGCAAAGAGCCATGTCATCGGCTCCTTTTTTGGGGGGAGCAGCTGCCATAATGCGGGCCTTTGTCTATTCAAGGGCTGCCCAAAAGAAGGGTCCAAAACTTGAGCAGCGCACTCTGGCTCCAGCCACTCATTGGCCTTAGTTCCCAGGGAGCCCAAGGGAGTTGAGTTTTTCATCCCTAGTTCAAGGGCGAGGTCGGGCTCTCTGGGTGTCGCCGCCGAAACCTTATCCCCAAACCCTAAACCTGCAAGTGAAGGCCCTACGAGCTGTTCGCTCACATCGCCCATGGCTCGGCGGCAGGCGGATCACTGATGTCGAACCTGATGACCTTGCTGCTCAGGTCAAGCGCTCGGGCATGAACATAGAGAGGCTCCACTACCTCGGGAATCCGTGGGAGCCGTCCCAGCCTAAGAAGCCTCAGAAGCACAGGTGTTCGGGGTTGTTGCCGAAGTAGGGTCTCGTGTTGAGGGATGTTTAGGCTATTTGGGGGTGGTTCCAGAGCAACGGTCCCTTTTGCGAGGTCGCTGTTGTAGTATACTCCTTAGGGTTTGTTTCGGGGCCCGAAAGGGGCGCTACGCTGAGAGCAACCGGCCGGTAGCATCTCAGAAAAGACCTTAAACCCCACCTTAAACCCCAAACCCAACACATTCACATCTGGCTGTGGGCTCCTAACTGCCATCTCGAAAGCCTCAACCCTCAAACAGGCCTAAAGCCATGAAACCTTATACGCCCGATTTAAACTCCCTAGACTCGATGAACAACCTCAAAAGGGCAATCGGTACTGCACTCCGAACCTGACGTTCCACACTTGCTTGCATGGGTTCTCTGTTGCTACAGGTTGCTGCATACGTACCATCCATGAACCACATGCTCCAAACATGCATCCCCAGAAAATCATGTACAGACACGTGGTGGACAACCCTAAACCCCCCAAAATCCCCCAAACCCCCAATGCCCCCCAATATCCCCCCAATCGCGAAACCTCAAAGCTCAAGGCCCCGCGCGTTTGCCGGGCCGGCGCTGATGGTCGTGGCACCGGACTCACCGGAGCCACTGGGTGAAATGGGCAGTTTTCTAAACTTTTTGGTTTTAGGGTAGAGGGTGGTGTTGGGGTTTCCGGTTCGGGGTTTAGGGTTTAGGTGTGGTGTTAGGGTTAGGGTTTCGGGAGTTCGTGTGATTTAGGGTGCCCAAAGAGGGACCGCACTTTAGATCAGGGCCCCAAAGTGCAGGCGAAAGGGATGAGGGTCTGGGGTTCCGGGTTTGGGGCATAGGCGAAGATGCTAGGTTGGCTGTATGGGTATGTTTGGGTACGGGTGGAGTGGCTTTTTGGGGCTTTGGGGTAAGGCTGTCGGAGTCTTCGGGATTCAGAGCTTTCATGAGGTGTATGGTTTGGGGTTGAGGGTTCTTGGCCTAGTAGTGATCAATCGTTTCCCATGGCTTTGTCTTGGTTCGTGAGGTTCGCAAGTGCCCGGGAGATCAACGCCAAGTACTGCAAGCAAATGGAGGCAGTGTATGATATGTATGAGCTTTTGTTGCAAAGCCGCTCTGTGCAATCCAGCCTTCAATCGCCGGCAAGGCCGTGACGGGTAAAGGCAGTCACTACAACATGTTGCAGGCGCAATCAGAGTCGGGGCCCTTTGGATAGGGTTTGCGATAAAATTTCAATGGTTTCAGGTACTGTTGCGCCCTCTATGGTGTAGTCCCCCCCCGCCACCCCCCTCCCCCCCACCCTTGAACAGTCGAGGCCGTTTTTATCAAAAGGGATCAGCGTACCTAGTAGCGGATCCCACCCCCGAGCAGTTCCACGATCCTGCATAGCCCGCAAGCTTGACCTTATCGCCAGGGCCCCCTACTACAGTTTAGGCTCAAGGGTTCGATCCCACGACATCCCAGGCCGCAGTTTTTCAAGACTGCAAAATAGAAGCAATCTGTAGAGCCCTCTAGCGACCCCTTACTACCGGGATGCAGCTAGCTTTAGTTATTTCGGGAGTTCTGATAAATATAAAGAGGACCTTTGCCACTTGTTGGAATTGAGTGTTGCTTCTAGCTTAGTCATGCGGTGAAAACCAAACTCCGGTGTGGCTGGTGCGTTTCTTCGTGTCAGGGCGAGCAGGCAGTGGTTCAAGCCGGCATCGTGCACCAGTTCCGGCAGAGGCCTTCTCTCAGCTTCTTATGAGCTTTCCTGACTGGAACGGATAGGTTCATTAAGTTAGGCTCCTGTTTGGGTGCCTACTCTGATACTTGCCCGTGTATCTTCTGTTTTAACTTAACATGCCCGCAAAGGCTGTTAAAAATGCATGCAAGCTTTACAGGTTGACGCCAACCTCATCACCCCCGAGGGCTGGGCGCAGCAACACTGTCGTGCTGAGGCCACCGACTTGTGTATTGCCCTGTGACCCTGTCATCCTAGGACCTGAACACTAAAGCCTATGATGCAACCTCTAACCCTACAACCGTATCATCCTAGAACCTTCTAGCCCTATAACCCCAAGCATCCAAAACCTAAACCCTAAGCCTGTGGGCAGGCCTGGCAGTGCCGGCGCGACGCGGATCTACGCCGTTCATGGCCCGGAGCTAAGAGGTGCAAGAGGTGCAAGAGGGAGATTGATCCTCAGTCAGGGTTTAGGCTTGAAGGGTCGAGAGAGCTTTGGGGCTTTGTAGGGTTTGTGTGGGGTTTGCGGGGTTTGCGGGGTTTGGGGTTTTGGGTGTTGAATGAAGGTTGGTAAGTGGTTGGTCCCAAACCCTAAAACCCCAACCCCTTCACCTCAAACCCTAAACGCTAAACCCTAGACCTGCGGCGCATGATCGCGGAAACCGAAGACCCCAGTTCTCAAATTCCCTAGTAAGAACGGGTCGTGTTTTTCCTGTCCTTGCCGCGCCTGGACACCTGATTTCAGCCCGCTGCAGAAGAACTCTTGTTCCTTTGGCCGACGCGCCCTGAGAGGCATTCGTGTGGCAAAGCCGGGGGAGGGTGGGGGGGGGTTGGGTTTTCTCACTTTCTGCGAACCAAAGCCTTGCCCTCTAAACCTTAAGCCACCCTTGCAGTTGGGATAGTTTCAGGGGTCGCTTCGCGAGTTGAGGCCTTGATGGCGACGTGATGAGCGATGGCTCTTCGTACGCCACGCTGGCGAAGTACCTCGATCCCTGCAGGCGCGGCTGGATGGGATGACGGCGATGATGTTCACAGTGCAAAGTCACCCTCCGACCCAGGGTGTGCGCCCTGGTGTACGAGGAGGAGGTGCGGCTCCCGGGTCCTCGCTGTACTTTTTTGGGGTGGCAGGGCTTAGGGATGTTTAGGGCTTTAATTAGATGCTGCCACGGCAATTTCAAATTTTTGAGGTCACGAGACTCGAGGGGCACCCACCCCAGTCTGCTTGTATATTTCGGTCCTACTTTTCATCCTACGGACAACCCTCAACACGACAAACCCTCAATTCAAAACCGCAAAGGCCCACCTCCCCCCCCCCCGCCCTAAAAGGAACGAACGAAATAAAAGAACAAAAATATACATAGAGTGAGAGAGACCCAAACAGAGCTCCGCTGAACCCTACATCTACAAGGCTTATGCCTGCGACACGGTGCCAGCGTTGGCAGCCTGCTACAACCAGCGGGTGCTCTCTGGCGGGTTTTGGGCGGATACCCTCCCCCCCCTACCCTCGCTGCTATGGCAGGTCTTGGAAGATGCGCGACGGAATGGTGGCCTCAAGGTAGTGGCCCGAGGCATTTCTGGAAGGCGCGTTTTGAGCGAACGCTGGGAGGGGGCACGCGCTGCCGTTCCGAACTCTCTGAGGAAGAGAACCCCATTCTCGTCGCGGGTGCCGTGGCCCTGTTTGGTCTGAGGAAATCGCTCGGAGGGGTTTGGTGTTGTTTTGTCGGCCTGGTTGCAGCAGCACTTTTGCTAGCAGCATACCACGCAGATCTTTGAGCAGAATGAAGGATCTGACTCCCCATGCCTCAGATCCCTAACCCGAAATGCCTAAATCTTCAGAGGGGGACGCGGATTGGCAGAGCTTCCGCCAGGTTACTCGCATGGCTGCGTGGTTGCACATCAAATGGCCTGCCAACTTGAAGAGGCCTGGGACCTGTTTTCGGCACTCCTCCCGGGCCTCTTACCTTTAAAGAATCCCGAGAATCCCGCAGAATATGGCTACCCTAAACCCTAAACCCTAAAAACCCTAAACCCTAAACCCTAGATGTCTCCTCCCCCAAAACTATGTCTGAAGTGCTCAGGTGCCGTCCACCATGCTCAGGTCTAGGGTGAGGATGTGGGGATGTTCGAAGTAGCTGGTGTTGGTTGCCGGAACAACTGTAGCTAAAATTACATGCAGTATCAAGTACCTCCTGTAGCAACTGTCGATAAGAGGGAAAAGCCTCAAACTCTAACCCTAAACCCTGAACCTTAAACCCTAAACTCCCTAAACACTAAATCCTAAACAGAAGAGGCCGGCATCTCCGTTGGTGTCATACTCTTCGACCTCGAGGCCTCGGTATACTTAGGGTTTAGACTCCCAGAAAAGCCTTAAAAGTTTAAAGCCCCGCACCGCCAATGGAGCTTCGAAGAAAAAACAATTGGGGCCTGGCTCTGCGGTTTGCAGGGTTTTGTCGTGTTTTCTTGGGCTCATGGGGTTGCTGTGGAGGGTCTATTAGGGGTTTATGGTGTTGAGCGGCGCTCTCTCGGACCTTCCTCCTTCGTTCGAGTACAGTGTTAACCCTTCCCCCCCTGCCCACCACATTTGCAGAAACCCTAAACCCTAAACCCTAAACCCTAAACCCTAAACCCTAAACCCTAAACCCTAAACCTTGGACACCAGATGAGGTCACTTGGCCACCTCCCGCCACCAACTCGCGCGTCGGCGGCTACAGCTTCCTGGGTGGAGAAGCCGAGGTCCCTGAACCCGAAACCCTCAACCCTTAACTGCCCTAAACCCGAAATTCTTGAGGTTCTAGGGGTCTGTGGGTTTGAGTGGTTTGAGGGGTTTGGGGTTTTGGATTTAGGGTTCTGGGGCAGCCTGGGGCAAGTGCCTGCACTTTGGGACGCGGAGCTTACTCGTTCTTTGTAGGGCCTTAGGGATCTAGAGGCCCGTAATCCCCTAAAGGGTACGTAACATTGGTGGATAGAAGGTGGAGCCTCTTTTTTGTTTGGTTGTGGGTGTTCTTTTGCTATGGGGCTGATGAGTGAGTGACTTGGCCCGCATTACTCGTGCAACCAAGAGAGTTACTGCGCCCCGCAAAACGGTGCCCCGCGCACCCGCAGCAAACAAAATCTCGCCCCTTCACTTGCACACGAAAAACGTGGTCACATGCGCCGGCTAATTAGGGAGCAGACAGGTGACTGCATGAGTGACTTGGCCCGTGCCCACGGCAAAAACACATCGCACCCTCGGCCCCCGCAGCAAATCCACCTTCCCCACACCCTACGTCCCCTTGCACCTGCCAGGAACCCGACCAAGTGATTGCAAGAACCGGTAAGCTCCGGGCCCGTAGCGTGTCGGGACCGACGGTCGAAACTCGGGCTGGTGTGGTTCATCATGAACTCTAAAGCCTCAACCCGTAGCCTAACCAAATCCTACACTGCAAGGCCATTCTCCTGATCTCCCGGGCCTTTGGCAAGTTCGAGTTTGCCATGAAGGCCGACTGTCGACGTTGTCTGGGCATCAAGCGGTCTGTGCTTGCATACTCTGATTGTTCCCTGCATCTGCGGTTGGGGTGGCGCCTAAACCTTACAAACCGTTCAGTCGTAGGACTTTTGTGGTTGATGGAGAACTGGCTCACGTAGCACTCAGGAGGCCGTGGAACTCAACCTCGCGAAAGAGGCTTCGCAGAGTCGCGCCCTCATGCGAAGCAGGGCTTACATTGCTGTTTCTGGGGTGATTGTAAACGTGGATGGCTGCTTTAGTGGCCTGCACGGACCGTTTTGAGAACGATCATGGAGGTTGGACCAGGTTCCACCTTAAGCGGTGCGGGTGGTCCACATTGGCACCAGATAACCATCTGCTAGTAGAAAGGAGAAAAGGTCCAGGCTGCAAGACCATGCTCGTGCAAAGGCGCTCTGAACCCGAAACCCTAAGCCCCAAACCCTAAGCATGAATACAGCTGCCAATCTGCCCCCTGGATCGACCGGCGCCTCATTGGCCAACAGGCATCGACGTAGATGCGCTGCGGCAGCGCGCCTTCGAGGCGCTGAATCAGAAAGGGCTGCCGCTTGGATGCATGGACACATGTGTTTGGTCCTTTTTTTGGGCACCTGCTATAGTGCGGGGCCCCTCTCTATCCAGGGAACCCCAAAGAAGGGCCCAACAGTTTGACCAGCGCCGTCTTGCTCCGGCCACTCATCGGCCAGACACTCGACTCTAATCAAGGAAAGTACGTTAAACCATAGTATGCGGGTCCTACTTGAGAGTTGAGTTTTAATATCCATACTTCAAGGGCTGTCGGGCTCTCTGAGTGTCGCTCCCGAAACCTTCTCCCTAAACCCCTAAACCGGCCCACTGCAACTGAAGGCCCTACGAGCTGTTCGCTCACATCGCCCATGGCTCGGCGGCAGGCAGCTCACTGCTGTCGAACCTTCATAACCTTGCTGAAAGACTGAGGTGAAGCGCTCGGGCATGAACATAGAGAGGCTCCACTACCTGGGCAATCCGTGGGAGCCGTCCCAGCCCAAGACATGTTCGGAGGGTGGTACTTGTAGCATCTCCGGGAGGCGATTGTGTAGCTTGAGAGCTCAGACCCCTAGACCCTCAACCCTAGACCCTAAGCCCAACGCATTACCATCTGGCCGTGGGCTCCCAGCTGCTACGCAGAGCGACACCGAAAACCTCAACGCTCAAACCCGCCCCAAGCCCTACAAACCCTGCAAGCCCTACATAACCAAGGCCCCGGGCGTTTGCCGGACCGGCGCTGATGGTCGTGGCGCCGGACTCACCGGAGCCACTGGGTGAAATGGGCAGTTTTCTACAACTTCTGGTTCCTTTTGAGGGTTCAGAGTGACGTTAGGGTTTCCGGTTCGGGGTTTAATTAGGGTTAGGGGTGGTGTTAGGGTTCAGGGTCTTAGGGGGCTACTGTCACGAATTTTGGGTGCCCAAAGAGGAGGTGATCCATAAAGTGCAGGCTGAAGGGATGAGGGTCTGGGGTTTCGGGTTTGGGACATAAGGTTAGCTGGAAGGGTATGTTTGCTTACGGGGTGGAGTGGCTTGTTGGGATTCGGGTTTAGGGGTTTGGTTCGGGCTGTCGGAGTCTTTGGGATTCAAAGTTTTTCAAACTTGAGCTTTTATGAGGTGTATGGTTTAGGGTTGAGGGTCGTTCGCCTAGGTGTGGTCAATCTTTTTCTTTTTGCTTTGTCTCGTTTCGTGAGGTTTGCAAGTGCCCGGGAGATCAACGCCCAGTACTGCAAGCAAATGGAGGCAGTGTGTGAAGTGCGTGAGCGTTTGTTGCATCTCTTTGCTCTCCAGCCTTCAATCACCGGCCAGGCCGTGACGGGCAAAGGCAGTCACTACAACATGTTGCAGGCGCAATCAGAGTCAGGGCACTTTGGTCCATCATTTGGGTTCGGGGCATAACTTCAATGGTTCGCGCAGGTAATGTTGCGCCCTCAAAATGTAGCCCCCGCCCCCTCGCCCTTGAACAGTCGAGGCTGATCTTGGTCGTTTTTATCAAAAGTCATCAGCTTATAGCCCGCAAACTTGACCTTATTGCCAGGGCCCCCCTACTCAACAGGGTTTAAGCTTAGGCTCAAGGGTTTCAGACCCTACAACATCCCAAGCCGCAGTGATTCTTGACGGTAAATAAGGAGGGAATCTGTAGGGCCCACCAGCGACCCCTGACTAGGGATGCAGCTAGCTTTAGTCTTTTCGGGAGTTCTGACCGAGAAATAGAATTATGTGGTAAACATAAAGAGGACCTTTGCTGGTTGGGGGAGGTGAGTGTTGCTTCCAGCTTAGTCATGCTCACCCTTCCACTGAAAACCAAACGCCCGTGTGCCTGGTTAGTTTCTTCGTGCCAGGGCGAGCAGGCAGTGGTTCAAGCCGGCATCGTGCACCAGTTCCGGCAGAGGCCTTCTCTCAGCTTCTTAAACCCTCAGCCCTAAACCCCAAACCCTAAACCCTAAACTGTAGCGGCTGACCTCCAGCCGGAACGGGTAGGTTCACCAAGTTCGGGCTCCTGTTTGGTACCTACTCGTACCATGACACTTGGCCTTCCATCTTGTGTTTAAAAATCGCGCACAGGGCCGTTTTTTGAGTCTGTTGAGAATGCATGCAGCCCGCACAGGTTGATGCCAACCTCACCCAATGGCCAGATGCTCGGGCGTCGATTCGCGCAAGATTCCGTGAGCTAGGGGCATCAGCCCTAAACCCAAACCCGAAAGCCCTAAACCCCAAAACCCAAAAACCCTAAACCCTAGAGCCTAAGACCCTCAACCCCAAAACCCTAAACCCAAACGTGCTCCACAGGTGCCACGGCTGGGCAGGCGCGGGCACCTGATATGCTACATATCTTGTCAAATCTTGTCTACCTATGCTGAATCCCCTCCCCCTAATATTAAACCTGCCCTGCCCCCTAATATTGGGGGAGGGGATCATGATGTTCAGACGCACTTCGAGCATGCCTGTTTTTGCCAAACTCTTCTCAGAGCAGGCCCTGGCTGACCTCGCGCCCAGGCAGATATGGGGAGGGCTGAAACGGCACTGCCGCTGCAAGGGAATGCGGGCGGTTGTTGATTCGGTTCGTTTTGGGGGGGGCCTAATTTCGGAACCCGCAAATATGCTGGTAACCCTTAAAAATCTCCCAAGGTAGGGAGCCCCGTATATACCGGTTGGTCATGATAGTCCTTGTTGTGAGCAAACGGGTACCGAATCCCTAAACCCTAAACCTCTATGCTTTAGGGTTCGGGTCTGGCAGGTCAGCAACCGAGCCACCCAGCGTGTTCGTCGAAGGCGCAGGGTTGCCAGACCCTCCGAAGCCCCCAGCCAAACCAAACATCCTAAATCCCCGAAAAACCCTAAAGCTCCTAACGCCCCTAACGCCCCTAACGCCCCTAAAGCCCCTAAAGCCCCTAAAGCTCCTAAAGCCCCTAAAGCCCTAACACACCTAACAGTTGAAACAAAGCATCCCATACTTAGTACCGTGGTAGAGTCTTTTGGCCCTTTGGTCCTGGGAGGCCTGTGCCCTCTCACTCGGGGCGTCGGCGCCGTGCTGTACTACATGCGGCTACCCCGGCGGTTTTAGGGAGTAGTGATTGCATGTTTTTTGTATTCTTGTTGTTATAGTTTCTGCCGTACTCATTTCAGTATCTGTACGAATATCCATATTCGAACTCGATTTCTGTTGACTACTCGCATTTCGAGCTGGCTTTCGGATTAGCATTAGCATTGGTAGTGGTATTATTGGTATTCGTATTCATATGAGTACGCGTATCAGTACTCGTCTCAGTTTTGATGTTAGAATCAGAAATGCATATTCTTCTTCTTATCGATGAATGCTGTTTTTATGTTTATTATTGTTTTTGTATTATGTATTCTGATTTTTAATACTATTATGTTTTTATTGCACTATTTAATATATATTAGTATTCTTATTCTTATACAACTGGGTTTATTTGCATACTATTGTTGTAACTCGCACTATACTACAATTATTTTCATCTTATTGTTATTCTTATTATTCTTCTTATTATTCTTATTGTTCTGATTACTCTAATAATATTAATAATAATCTTATTATTATTGCCGATGATTTTGATTATAGCATTATTATTCTAACGTTTGTGATTTGCAGTGGGGTTCGGGGAGCCTTGGGCGAGTGCGGCGCTGAGGCATGGCTTGGACGGCGACGCGTTCGGACCTGGCGTGACCCTCGGGGAGGTGCCCTACCTACTGTCGGGGCCCACAGCTTCGAGGATGTGGCTGAGCGTGCCTCAGGGGTTTAGGAAGTTTAGGAAGTTTAGGAAGTTTAGGGTTTTGGGCTTAGGGTCTTATGTCAAGTTTCTATCTAAACTATATTTGGATACCCTGGATTCCCCATGCTACACTAGGAACCTCAACAAGGATATACCACAACCATAGTTTAGAGCGAGTGTCCACGGGAGTATGACTATGTGTGAGAGCGCTTGTCCCTGACACCCTCGGCATTGCGGTAGGGTCGGCAGTAAGGATGTAGGAACATGTAGAAGAGGGTTCTGACATGTTCGAGGTCGTGTAGCGTCTGTGCTTTGGAGTATGACGACGAGGCCCCGCCGCTTCGCGCTGCTTGTACTCAGATTCATGCGAATGTGACCGTGACCTCCTGGCAGGCATTCGCCTGTGAAACGGTGGATGCCCTTGTCAAGCTCTACAAGGCCCGGATCATGAAGGCCAGCGGCCCAGCACCGACGAGCGAGTAGGCGGCTGCTATTTCTCAGAACCCTTGAGCATCCCGGGCTTCAGGGCTTTAGGGTCTGAGGGTTTAGGGTTTACGCGTACTGATCATTCCGATAAGTGGCCAACTCAACATGAAGCCTCTGCAGAGAAGTGCCAGCTAAAGCGGCGGCAGTTTTCAGTAGGGCGGCCAGCTCTTGGAATTGTGGTTCATCTTTTGGTAATCCCGAGTTCAAGGCTCCGCATTAGGATAGGCGCCCCCTCTGATTCAGGGAAGCCCCGGCAATGCCCACCGCCCACCGCCTCCCCCCCCCCCCCCCCCCCGCCCCCGAATGTGCAGTAGGCGCCGCCCGTGGAAAGCCGTAAGACTTCTGCAAGGACTTCGCGCAGCGGCCAGAAGGAGAGCACCTAGTGCTGGCCGGCCGCTCGTGCGGCGTGGCTCGGCAGGGAGTTTTGGCTTAGGGATTTAGATGTAGGTACTTGGAGGTTCACGTAAGGGGCTTATAAGTACAGTGTTAAGTATAGTTATAGTTGGTCAATTAAGTACCATGAACCTCCAGGTAGGGTTGAGGGCTGGGTGGGGTTTAGGCTTTGGGGTTCGGTTTGGAAGATAGCTTGGGTTTCATGGCCTTAGGACTGCCCACCGGGCATTCCGCCTGTAGCTAGGGGCTTTGTTTGCGTTGAAGCGCAACCACACGCAAGCACATCGCCATTCAACCCTCCAACCCCAAAACCCAAACCCTAAACCCCAAACCGGAAATAAAACCCCAAACCCTGAAACCCTAAATCCTTACACCCCTAAGAACCCCCAAACCCCAAGAACCCCTAAACCTTAGAACCCTAAACCCCCTACCACCCCCAAGACCCTAAACCCCCCAACCCCCCTCCCCCCCCCAACCCAAAACCCCCAAACCCCAAAATCCCCTAAAGCCCCCAAAGCCCCCAAAACCCTGAAACCCCTGAAGCCCTGAAGCCCCTAAAGCCCCTAAAGCCCCTAACACCACCAAAACCCCTAAAACCCCCCCAAAAACCTCTAAAACCCCCAAAGCCCCTAAAGCCCCAAAACCCCCCCAAAACCCCTAAAGCTGAAAAGCAAGAGGCGCTCCTGGCTTGCCTGGCAGCGCTGCAACTCCAAGAGGCCACGAGACGTTTTTGGGGTTTAGGGGTTGGGTAGGGTTTAGGGTTGAGGCTTGAGGGTTGAGGGTTTAGGGTTTAGGGTTTAGGTTTCAGAGGTTAGGCATATCTATTTGTAGAATTTTCTGGTAATTGTTCTTAAATGAGTGATACATGAATGTGAGTATTGCTAGTACTGTTATCCATCGTTAGGGTTTAGGGTTTCAGAGGTTTGGAGCTTTAGGGGTTTAGGGTTTGAGGATTTTAGGGGTTTTGGGGGCCTTCAGGCTTTTGTTAGAGCTTTGGGGGGTTTGGGGCTTTAGGGGTTTCGGGGTTTTGTCTTTTCAGTTGTTTTTGGGTTTTAGGGTTTCGGGCCTAGAGGGCCTTACCCGGAGGATCTTGGAGGTGCATGTAACGATGGTTATTCGTATACAATCTTTTTTGGGGGGGTGGTCCTATATCCCTAATTCTAACAGCCCATGAACCTTTTAAGTATGGGTTTAGTGTTTAGGTTTCGGATTTCAGGTTTTCCTCAAACCCTGGACCCTTAGAGCCCGAAACCCTAAACCCTAAACCCATATCATTTATGGGGTTTATGGGGTCTAGGGTGTAGTGGGTCAAGGGAGGAAGTTGCTCTGAATAAAGGGATATAAGGAGGAACCCCTTCGAAGGGACCCTCAATCTTATCCCCCTATGTAACCCCTAGAAATCCATATATAGTCCCCGTCTACCTAAGTAGCCCTAACCCCTAAACCCGAAACCCTAAACCCTAAACCCTAAACCCTAAACCCTAAACCCTAAACCCTTAAGGTCCCTTGTAAGGGTCCCGCATTTCTCCAGGAGAACGTGTCCTGCTCGCTGGTAATCCTGGACTCTGAGGCTCCTGCCGCGAAGCCTTGGTTAGGGGTTCAGGGTTTAGGGCTTAGAGGGAAGTTTAGGGTTTTGTTAGGGTTTTGTTAGGGTTGCTTAGGGTTGCTTAGGGGGAGTTTAGGAAGGTTTAGAAGGGTTTAGGGTTTAGGGGCTTTGGGGGGGCGGGGGTTAGGGGTGTTGAGGGGGCGATTTCGGGAGGTGGTGTGGCCCTCCAAGCTCGACACGACGTTCTGCTACGCTCCTGGGCCGCAGTGGTGCCAGTTTGTAGTGGCGAAAGCCCCGCTGCGGGTTAGGGTTTCAGGTGTTTAGGTTTAGGGTTTTAGGGTTTAGGGTTTTGGGGTTTTGGGTTTATGGTTATAGGTTTTAGGGTTTCAGGGTCTAAAAGATTTTTAGGGTTTAGGGTCTAGGGATGAATTTTGGCGTGTCTTGCACGCAGCCCGAAGACTCCATGAGTTATTACTGTCGAGGCCAAACCCTAAACCCCACACCCTGGCGCTTTAAACCTTTAAGACCCTCAAGGCCCTAGACCCCTGAACCCCCTTACAACGTCAAACCCTGAAATCCCTGAAGCCTTAAACCCTGTAAAGCCCCCAAAGGCCCGCAAAAACCCTGCAAGAACCTTATACAACCCCTCCTAAACCCTGAACCCCTAAACCCTAAACCCTAACCCTTGTGAAACCCTTGCAAAGCCCCCTCTTAAAGCCCTTGAAGCCTTTAAAGCCCTTGCAACCCTTAACAACCCTAAACCCTAAACCCTAAACCCTAAACCCTAAACCCTAAACCCTAAACCCTAAACCCTAAACCCTAACCCTTGTGAAACCCTGAAAGCCTTAAACGTTCCAGAAAGCTCGAGCCCAGGAGTGGCTGGGAGGCGAGGTGGAGGCCAGCGGGGATCCGCTTTAGGGTTTAGGGTTTAGGGTTTAGGGTTTAGGGTTTAGGGTTTAGGGTTTAGGGTTTAGCCTAATCCTGAAGCCTAAGCACCCCAAACCTCCCAAGAAAGCCTACTGCAAAGGAGGGTTCAGGTTTTTGGCCCCCAAAAAATGCAAGAATAATCTAAAACCCTAAGCCCTTGGAATCCTAAACCCCTACACCTCCTGAACCCTGAAACCCGAAAGCCCAAGCCGCCCCGTACTGCACTGCACTCAAGACTCCTAGCCCTAAACGCTAAACCCTGAACCCTGAATCCTAAAGCCTAAAGCCTATAGCCCAAAGCCCAAAGCCTGAAGCCTGAAGCCTAAACCCTAAACCCTAAAACCTTAACTTAACCCTTAACACTGAACCCTAAACCCTAAACCGAAGCTGCATGGAGGCGACTCTCTGGTTGGCCCACCTTGGGGGTGCAACCAGCTTCGGCCAGGAGCAGGCCTGAAGGGGGGGCTTATATAGGCTTAGTTACCCTAAGCCCTAAGCCCTAAACCCCCTTAGGGTTTAGGGTTTAGGGTTTAGGGTCTAGGGTTTAGGGTTTAGGGTTTAGGGTTTAGGGTTTAGGGTACGTTTGTGGACCCTTTGGGAGGGTTCTGAGCATGCTTAGGGCTTTGGTAGGGCTTTGTAGGGTTTTGAAGGGTGTTGTAGGGTTTCGTGGGGTGTTGCAGGGTTTTGCAGGGTTTCGTAGGGTTTTGTAGGGTTTTGTAGGGTTGCTCCTTGCTCCTCTGTTCCTTGCATCGAAGGTGCTGGCAGCCGTCACTCGCGGTGCCGCCTCGCCCGTGGCTGAAGGTCCAGCCAGGCCGCTGCGGTTTAGGGTTTAGGGTTTAGGGTTTAGGGTTTAGGGTTTAGGGTTTAGGGTTTAGGGTTTAGGGTTTAGGGTTTAGGGTTTAGGGTTTAGGGTTTAGGGTTTAGGGTTTAGGGTGGTTTAGGGTTTCGGGTTTGGGTTTTGGGTTTTGGGTTCTTGGGTTTTGGGGTTGGGATGTTCCCCCATGATACTAACAGTCCCTAGTAGGGAGTATAATAGGGGTACTGGAATGCCTCTTAAGGACTGTTAGTATAAGGGGGTACATGGCAGGAACCATGATCCGTTTGTTTTTTTAGGGGCATCCAGTGGCTGCAGCAGTGCCTGTCCTGGAAGGCTGCAGACCCAGGCGTACGGGCAGTGTGCCTCCCAGTTGGAAGCCTGCGGGGTGCGGTCCCTGAAGGCAGGATCTGTTGAAACGAGGGTCTAGGATTTAGGGTTACGGTTTAGGGAAACACCCCCAAATCCTCCTGAATCCTGAAAGGTTGCTAAGGAGAGGGCTTTGCGTTCAAGCGCTGCGCAGGATTTCCGCAACATCTGCACATTGGCCAGCTCGAATGCAGAGCGCTTGCGAGCCTTGAAGTCAACTTATCGTGTCTGGCAGGTAACCCTAAACCCTAAAACCTAAACCCTAAACCCTAAACCCTAAACCCTAAACCCTAAACCCTAAACCCCCACAGCCCCAAAAATGCAGAGAGCGCGCGAGCGCGCGATACTGAATATCATAGGGCATTAGGGGACCTTGGGTTACATAACCCCCCCCCCCCCCCCCTTGAACCCCCCCCTCCCTCAAGGACACTACAATGATTCTGCAGCTCAGGACAGCTCCTGGTTCCTTCGGCTGCCACGCTCCCGGCCCTTCCAAAGGTGTTTTGGGGGGGTGGGAGTTGGTTGAGACAGTAGGTATACAGCGGTGTATGTCTTATAAGTGGTGTAAGTTACTTCAACACATCCTGCAGGGAGTGCTCTGAACCTTCTGAACCACTTGCTAATGGCTGCTAACGCTGTCTTACATCATCTTACAACACGCTCAAGTTGTAACGTGTAGAGGAGCTTCTAACGACTCTTGGCAGCATTCTATGATCCGCCCTACTTGCCCCAATCGGCATAAGCAGTCTAAACCGAAAGGGGCACTTGTCTAACTGTAGACCTACACCCTAACCCTAAACCCTAAACCCTAAATCGTCTCCCTAACACCGGTAAGGTTGGTCTGGGTTAGGGTGGTCACTTTACAAGCAGTGTGTTCACACTTGATGACATGAGGCCGCTGATCGATCGTGGCCATTTTGGCTGCAAGACGATCGGTCTGCGGCGCCCGTTGAGATTTTTGCAACCGGTCAGGTGCAGAAATAGGGCCTGGGAAGAAGCAATGTCGTTCCCTGGAGCTCCGCGGCGTTTTGTGCTCCCGAACCCTGTTCCGCTCGAACCGGTCGCCGAAGGTGAAGAACACAACCTGGGCCACTACGCTCCCGATGTTCAAGGCGATGTGGTTTGGGGAGATCGACCGGTTCAGCAGCAGGATCAGTGGGACTGGGGCCAGCGCTCGTGGAACGCAGACCATCGTCGAGGTGATCGTCGAGATGACCGTCGAGGAGCTGGATATGGTGGCAACAATCGTGGTGGCTCCGGTTCTGCCGGATCGGGCCAACGAGTTGCCGCAGTGCACAATCCGTTCGAGATGAGGAAGCCCGACTTCGTCGCCGAGGCGATCGTGGACTCCCTCGACGTGGCCAAGAACAGCATGATCATCCTCGACAACCGCGACGATCGCATCATCTCGCCCTTCCAGAACTGGCTCGTCGAGGAGATCATGAGCAATGCTGCGAGCTCAATCAATGTGTTGACCGAGCGGGATCAAGTGATGCCTCCCAGCTCGGGATTCCAATGCTCGCTGTTCGCGAACTACACGCTGGATGGGGTCAAGGCGGTGCTCGTCCTCACGATCGGATCCAGGACAGGGGCCACTTGTGCGGCTTGGGACAGCGCAACGGCTCAAGCTCTGAGCCACGAAGCGTTCCAGCCGTTCGTCTGGCCGCTGATGAACAGCACCACTGCCACGTACGTGGACGTGAAGTTCTTCAATGGCAATGAAGTGCTGTTCCACTGGATCTTTCGAGGTTACCGCTCCGACTCCGACATGACGGTCCAGCAGCAGTTCTGCGACGAGTCGCTCATTAAGGATGCCAGGCGTGGTCGCTTCAGGCCCTCGCTCGTCGTGGCGGTCTTCCGTGGTTGGCAGGTCTCCGTCTTCTCCTTCGAGGTCGGCGGTCGCAGCTACTCGGTGGGCCCCCATGGCACGGTCGTGGCAGGGGACTACGGTCGGTGCAACTGCGAGCTCCGCGTGACCGATCGGTCATCGCCGGAAAGTTTGGGCAACGATGCCGATCGGGTCGAGTTCCGCTTTCGGGACGCGAACAACAGGATCGACCTGAAATGCGGTCGGGTGTCGGTCCCGGGAACCTGGTTGGCTGTTAGTCATATCTCAGGACCAGCGCTGATCAACACCATCGAGCGCTGCCGTGGTCAGCGCGCTCGCGTGGAGGGACCTGATCAGGTCCAGCAGTTTGCGCAGATGGCAACCATCTTTGCGCCCTGGTTCAGGAACTCCGAGACAACCGAGGATCATCAAACTGGGGTGCTCGCGTGCCACTTCGAGATGCTCAACCCGGCCGACTTTCACCTCCGAGCTCGCTCGAAGCTTCGTATCATGGCGCCGCACTACGTGGACCAGGCGGCGATCGCGCATCGCAGCCACGAGGACGAGTTCGACGCGCAGTTCGTCTCTCTGGGCCACCTGCGATCGCCAACGAAGCAGCAAGGCTGGCGGCAGGACAGCTCCAAACGCAGGCAGAGGCTAGGGCGCTCGTGGACCAGGAAGCCGAGCCCTCGACAGCGCAGGATCGGTTCGACCTGAGAACCTCCGACCTTGGTTCGATGTCGGCGGTTCGCCGTGGAAGTGAAGAAGAAGGCTTCCGCGACGCTCGTGATGAGTATCGAGCAGACATGCGGGTCTCTCGCACCACTGCAGCGATCACCCCCCAGGTCTTCACCGAGGTCCTGCGCCGTCAAGAAGCCGCCTTCCGGCCATCGACTGTTCAGGTGGAGTCTGTCGATCAACAGGGTGCACTTCAAGAACCAGCCTCTTCGCAGACGGCAGCTCCCACAGGGCCTCCTCGCTCCTTTGGCCCAGCAGGTCAGACAAGCTTGGATGGCTCGGCCTGACAGCTCGTCGACAAGTTCAACGAGTACCAGACGCTCTTGCGGCTGATCGCGGCTTTCGTCTTCTGAGTTTTGGGCCGCTCGGTCGCATGAGGAACTGGTCGCAGCGCTGGTGCTGAACCCCAGCGGTAGGTTGACGCTTCTGTTTTTCAACCTCTGAAGCCGCTCGGTGGTTCGGAACCTGTGCTGAGCTCGCGAAGAGCACAAACCAGCCTTTGATACGCCCGTGAAGGGTAGTGAAAAAGGCCGGCCGAGCTCCAATAGCAGTTCAGACTTCCGCTTGTTCAAGCATGCAGTTGTTCCTGCAAGTTGCTTTGTTGGGGTCTAAACTTGCCATTTGGGGTTCTTTCCTCCCTCACGCGACCCCCGTCTTGCTCGACTTTTTCGTTCTCTCTGGGCAAAGAGGTCCTTTCTAGGTCGGGTGCCGGTGGTCGCTGGGAGGGTGGGGTATCGTTTCTCTCCTTTCGATCGCTCGAGGGGTCGTCGGCTCCGGGTCGCCGCGCACGCGTCGCTCTCCTTGAGGCCAATCTCCCGCGAAGGTTCTCGGTTCGTTTCGAGGAGTAGCGACTGTGTTGTGCAGCTGCCTTCATGGCTGCCTCCTCTGATCGATGGGTTGAGAAGCTGCTCGCTTTCAACCGCTTTGACGATGAGTTCCGCAAAGCGGTCCGCCTTTCAATTTTATCCAATTTGATCTTAGTGAATTCTCTCGAATGCTCCTCAGAGCAAGATTTTTCTGCCAAGATCCTTCAGCTGCTGACAGTCGACAGCTCAGAAGCCCACGACATTGTGATCGAGCGCTTGAACATGCTCGAACACTTTTGGGTCTTGTCGAAGGCTGCCGAAACCTTGGTTGACAGGTCTTTGGGGTTTCAATTGGGTTTTGGACAAGTGGATCGACGAGAGCCTCCTGTGCAAGTTGCTCGTGACAAACGATCGCTTGTGCTCGGCAACTTGCTCGCTCCGCCACCTAAGCTCCCCAGATCTGCCACCAAAGCCCTCAACCAAGATGCTGCTCATTCCAGCTCTCCCCTCTAGGATCAAGAGTTGGGCGAGAAGCAACGATGGGCTCAGCGGCTTCAGGACATCCAGAAGAGAGCAGGCGAGTGGGCCGGAATCTCTGAAGCGATTGAGCTTCCGTCGGTCCTTTCTCCAGGAGAAAAAGCACGTCTTCGCAATCTGGTGTTCACGTCTGGCGCACCCACGACCATGGCTGGACACATTCGCCGGTTCGAGAAGTTCGAGAGCTGGGCCGCGTTCGCGGCCATTCCTTTCTATCCGATGACGGAAGAAAAGTTCCTAAAATATCTTCTGGATTTGGATGCTAAGGAATGTGGACCTTCGGTCATCCCATCGCTCCGCACAGCTCTCAAATGGGTCGCCTTCCGAATCGATATCGAATTGCCAGACGTGGATAGTGCCAGGATCCTGTCCCTCGAGAAGCAAGTGTTCGACAAGCGGGGCAAGCCGCTGAAGGAGGCGCCGCCCTACCCGCTCGAGGTCGTGGTCGCCATGGAAAAGTTCGTCACGGATGAGAAGCAACCGGTGCCACCGCGACTTTTCATATGGTGGGTGGTTTGCATGATCATGGCATCGCTCCGATTTGATGATGCTGTTCATGTTCGCCCGTCAGAGCTAGAGATCCACGAGGAGGGCATCTTTGGCGTCTCTTGGCAGACCAAGACTGAAAGAAAGCGCCGGGGTACTAAGTTTCTGGTGCCTCGTGTTTCCTTTTCAGGAGTTGAATGGCTGCAAATTGGCTGGGACTTGTTCCACAGCTGTTTCAAGGACAATCTCGATCGAGATTTCTGGCTACCAGAACTCTACTCGGCTGATCGTTTTGCTGCTCATCCGCCAACTTATGCTCGTTCGCTGCAGTGGCTGCATCACCTGGTGTGGCGCGTGGCGAACGAGAATGGTGTCTCAGCAGTGGTGCTCGCCGAGATCTTGCTGCTCACTTGGCACTCTGCTCGTGTGACGCTGTTGGACCAGGCAGTCCAGCAAGGAAAGCAACCAGATGCCATTGGACTACAGGCCAATTGGAAAAATCCTGGCCCGCTCGTCCTCAAGTACGCTCGTGCTCGAACTTCGGTGCCAGCCAATATGATCAAAGAGATCGTGCAGGAATACCGTCAAGCATGTGTTCCCAGATGCATCCGCGAAGATGACCTGGTCGATGATGGCATCGAGGTCGAGCCCTCGATCGTGGGGTTCTTCATGAAGACGCCTAAGAAGGGTTCCTCTTACGAGTACAAGATCCACGTTTGCGCTGCAGACGACTTGAATGCCATAGCATGTGGCCGCACAACAGCCGCCGATTGTGAACACATCGGCGACCTGCTGCCCGACGTCACCCTTTTGTGCAAACATTGTGCGCGTGAACGCCCGGACGTGGCGCGCGCGCACAATTTTCAGTTCTGACCTGCGGTCTTCTTGTTAATCAGGGCCTGGGAAGGGGGGTGCTCGCTGCTTCTTTTGGCCTTATTTTGCTGTTAAGAAGCGCGCTGAAGCACGTGCCTGTTCAGGTTCTGTAAGGTCGCCTCTGCAGTTGCGGCTCGGTCCATAGGCTGCTCTGCGTGGGTTAGGACTTTCGACGCCGTAAGGACCCATGGTGGATCGCACTAAGTACCCTGAAGATCAAGTTCCAGAGCTCGCAGTCCGCCAGATCTTCGGCCGGCAGAAGCTTGAGTCTGACCTGTGCTTGCTCTTGGCGGCTTCGGGTTTGACGTCGATCGAGCGGCTGGCGATGCTGGGTGATTCCATCTCGTCCGTCAAGACGACCGTGAAGGCGATCGTCGATGACGAGACCAAGTTTGGCAATACTGCGGCGAAGCGAGAGCTCGCGCTTACGCAGCTGGCGGCCGTTTGGAAGGCAGCCTCGACGCTGCAAGAGCACGTCTCTGCTAGAAGAGCCAGGATGGAAGAGGAGCCCAACAAAGTGCCCGAGATCCCGGGTGAGGACCACGCGGAGTTTCGGGAAGTCTTTGTTCAAGCACATCCAGACATGCTGCTCACGTATCACCGTGAGCCGCACAGAAAGTTCGTCGAGCGGATCCACCGGGACTATATGGTGCATGGCGCGGTCGCCTTCTACGAAGTGGCAGAGATGAGAGTTCGAAGCGAGACGATCGTCCAGACAGCCAACCTGGCTAAGACGTCTGAAGATCTCTTGCGGGTCGTTCAGGTTGACGCAAAGGGCGCCGTGAGCTCCGAGTCGAATGTCATGGATCGCTTGCATGCTTTCTTCATGGCTCTCGAGTACCTGAACGTCTGCGAGTTCTCGACTGCAGCAGGCCCCCTACGCTACCTCGCAGGGCTGGAAGAATGGAGGCACGAGAATCGGGGGCTGGCGGTCCTGCTGGCAGCCGATCGGCTCATTCGCCGCAAGGTCTACACGCTCAACAACGACCGTCGAAAGTCGTTCGGCACTTTCTCTTCGGCCTTGCTCGAGGTTCTCACCAACTACAAGCAGCTTTGGAATGATGCGAGATCGGCTGCCGAGCTCGAGAAGTTCCGGCAGATCGAAGCTGAAGTAGGGGAGACGCCAAAGAAGCGGGCGCGATCGCGCAGCCCGCTGACGCCCCCGACTAAGGCTTCGAAGACAAAGCGCAACCGCAACCGCCGTGAGAAGATGAAGCTCTTGCTCAAGCAGGCCAAAGAAAAGGACAGAGAGACGATTCCTGAGAAGGGAGGCAAGGAGCAGAAAGGCGATCGTACCAAACAAAAGTCAACCAAGGATTCCCGTGTTCCGGAGCAAGAGTGGAAGAAGATCTTGTCTTTCTCCTACTCGGGAAAGAAGAGATGCCCATGGTACAACTGCTCGTTGGGCTGCCGGTTTGGTGACAACTGCAGAGACAGCCATGTGTGTGTGGCGTGCGGGCAACAGCACCCGTACCATGGCAACCATTGAGAACCGCTCGAAAAGCCACCGGGTTGCTGGGAGCCTCCACGGTCGGCAGCCTTTGCTCCCACCATAGATGCCGTGCCGCGGTCGGCAGTTGAAGCTGTTTGTTCGCAGCTGAAGTCCGATCGGGGCGAGTCATCTGCATGTTGGAAGAAATGGTCGGATGTTCCCAGGAATGTGGCTGAGGTCGCTGCGCGGGGCCCATTCTTCCTGGAGATCTTCGCAGGAGAAGCGGGCTTGACGCAGCAACTTCGTGCGCTCGGGGTCCCCACCCTCCCACCCATTGAGATTGAAGTCAAGGGCAATGTGATCCAGGCAGCGGACATTGAGGATCCTGAATTGCTGGCCTTTGTCACGCAGCTCATTCGTGTCGGAGCCGTTCGTCTGGTGCATTTTGGAACCCCATGCGGTTCTTTCAGCAATGCAAGGAAGATCCCGGCTCCCGGCCCCAGGCCGCTTCGTTCGAAAGCGCATCCTATGGGGCTCGGGCAGCTTACCGCAAACGAACAGGCTCAACTTGACACCGGCAATCGTCTCCTGGCGCTCTCGCTCGACCTGATCGAGGCGCTGCTCGCTGCAGGATCCGACTTCGTGCTAGAGAACCCCGCCAACAGCTTGATGTGGAGAGTCCCACGCTTACGCCATCTCGTGAAGCGATGGCGTTTGCAGTGGGTGGTCTGTGATCAATGCCAGTTCGGTTCCGAGCACATGAAGCCGACTGCCTTCCTTGTGTCCCACGCAGCACTTCACGAAGTAGGTCTCCGCTGCTCAGGTGGACATGGGCATGTGCCGCTACGTGGACGCCATCGTGTCCAAGGTGAGTGGGTGTTCCGCACGCGCCAAGCGCAGGTCTATCCACCGCAGTTGTGTTCGGCCTTGGCTCGCTGCATTCACCACATCCTGTGCGGTCGCACGCCCCAGTTTGCCGAGTCTTTCAAACTGGTGCACCAAGATGATGTCCGAAAGCGCCCGCTCGGCGAGGAAGCGAAGTTCAGGCAGCATAGACAAGAGGCGGCCGCCAAGCTCGCTCAAGCTGCAGGCTATCAGATGAAGCGGGGGGCCATTCGTCCTCTACTCACACATGAAGTGGAGCCGGGCGTTGCCGTCGAGTGGGCTTTGCAGGTGTCCCACCCGTTCTCTGTTCCTCCACCACTGACAGAGACTATGCTACGGAACATCAATCTTGTGGCTCTCCAGGGTCATGCAGTGCCACGTGCTCGCAGCCATGATCTGGACTGGTGGCGCCGTGAAGCGCATCGGTTGTTGCCAGTTACAGCCTCTTGGATCGAACAAGTACCTGATCGGCACCTTCGATGCTTGCTTCGCGGCGCTCCGGACGGTCATCCATGTGAGCTCGGTCGTACATGCCATGTCGCATTGTACGATCAATTCCTGCGATTCGTACGTTCGGCGGATCAAGATCTGGTCAAGTGTTTGCTGCATGGTTTTCCTATCGTGGGCCGGATCTTGCCTTCGCACAGATGGCCGGCCTATGAGAAGTCGCAGAAGGTCATCCCTGTGCAGGAAGCAATGGATCGGGCCTGGGAGATTCGAAAGAAGGTCATCCTCCGAGCAGACAGCGTTCCTGTCTCGGACGATCTACGTTCGCTGTGGGCATCGTCGATGGAGGATGTGGCAGAAGGATCGGCGGCGGGACCGTTCTCTTCGATCGAGGAGGTGTCTCTGTTTGTGGGAGCGGACAATTGGATCCCCACTCAGCGGTTCGCAGTGGTGCAGAAGAATAAGGTCCGAGGATGCGACAGCGCCACTGTGAATCTGATCAACCGCATCACCGAGATCGTAGAGAAGCTCCAGCTGCCGTCCACGGACTTGAACGTGGCGGCTTTGCGCGAGCTCAGGACGCGCTGCGGTGGCAAGAAGTTGCGAGGGTGGGTCCTTGACGAGAGGAAAGCCTATCGGCAGGTTCCGATAGCCCCTGGCCACCGCAAGTTCAGCGTGATCTGTCTGAAGGACCCCTCTTCAGGCGTGACAAAGTTCTTTGTGATGATAGGTCACTCTTTCGGCCTCGTCTCGGCGGTGTACAACTACAACCGCCGTTCGGCGGCCATTAACGAGATTCTCGAGAAGATCTTCGGGCTCGTGTCCTTTAACTTCTACGACGACAAGTGCGGGTTCGAGGTCGAGGAGACGATCGACAGCGCCCACGAGGTTGCGATCACCGTTCACTGGCTTCTAGGAGCACAGTTCGACGCCAAGAAGCTCCAGAAGACTGCGGCGCCTGTGATCCTCGGGGTGACCTATAATCTGGAGCAGATGATTCTCGAGATCAAGAAAGAACGGAAGCAGGAGCTCATCGAGCTGATCGACTCGTACCTGACCGCGGGAGTGTTGGACGCTGGCTCGGCTGGCAAGCTCAAAGGCAAGCTGATGTTCGGAGCGAGCCAGCTCTGGGGGAAAGTAGGAAGAGCCTTTTTCCGACCGCTGTCTGAGCGCCAGTACTCGCGAGATCAAGGAGGTGATCGCTCGCTCCTGACGCCCCAGATCGTGCGCGCTTTGAAGCACTGGAAGCGGCTCATCTCGGCAGGACCACCAAGGCCTATCGACCTGCGAACAGAACGTAAGGCGGATGTGGTGGTCTTCACGGATGGGTTCGCGCCCGACTTCCGGAAGGGTGAAGTTGATCCAGAGCGGATCGGCATCGTGGTCTTTGATAGAAGGTCTCCGGCCCCCTTCCAAGTCTCCGAGCCGATCCCCGAGAATGTGATCAAGAAGTGGATTCCACGAAAGAGCCAGATCTTCCCAGTCGAGCTGATCGCCCCGGTGTTGGCCCTCTACACCTTTCGCGATCTCCTGAGAGGCAGGGACGTAGTCTTTCTCATTGACTCCGAAGGAGTTGAGGCTGCGCTCGTGAAAGGATATTCAGCTCGGGAAGATGTTGCATCAATCGTCGAGGTGTTCTGGAACCTCGCTCTTGAGTTAGGCGTGAATGCCTTTATCGATCGAATCTCGACAGATGCGAATCCGGCAGACTGGCCGTCGCGGTCGCGTCTGGAGATCGGTCGCAATGCTGGGTGGCTGTTGGCCGAATGTCAGTGGCCGCCCGAGCTCCTTTAAGTCGTTAAACTTGGGCCTGGGGTGTTTCAGTTCGATTTTGTTACATTGAAGGATGGCTTTCGCCACCTGCTCACTGCCAGCTCTGATTTCTGTTGCCGCCCGTGCTTTGACGAGTTCGGGAAGAGCCGAAGAGCGGTTCGAGGCATGAGGCAGCACAGCTCGTGAAGAGTTGCTGGCGAAGTGTTGCAGTATGGAGGCGTGCGTTGAGCGAGAGAGTTCGCTCGATCGGCCATTCCAGTTTTGACTTCGTGACTGCTCAACCCCAGGCTCGAGCAGACGTAAAAAGGATGCTCTCGCATTTTGTGGTTCTTTAAGTCTGTGGCTTCATGTTGTGGTGTGAACAAGCGAGGGGAACGAGCGTTCGCTGCCTGCTAAAGTGGTCTCCCTAACACCGGTAAGGTTGGTCTGGGTTAGGGTGGTCACTTTACAAGCAGTGTGTTCACACTTGATGACATGAGGCCGCTGATCGATCGTGGCCATTTTGGCTGCAAGACGATCGGTCTGCGGCCCCCGTTGAGATTTTTGCAACCCACCCCTCCACTCCCTTTGTTGATCATGCAGCGATTGGTCAACTTGGAGGCCCTGGCCTTTGGCACACAGGAACAGCTCTTCCGACCGTGTGTGGACTGCGGCCTGTTCACCGGCTGCTTCTGCGACGGTCTGGGGCAGCCCTGTTTCGCAGCCATTCGGGTGCCGCGCGAACGCTGGGCACGAGGTCAGCAAACCCCATTGTGCACGCTGTGCGATCGCACTATGGGAGTGTGCCATTTCTGTAGAGGTCAAGCATGGTGTGTTCCACCGAGCCACCACATGCAAGACCCTCAAAGGCCAGAGGAGGGCCAACCAGATGCTGCTTTCCAGATCGACCCCGACGATGCTGGCGAGCGGGAAGCTCCGCAGCCTGATGCAGGCGGCGAGGACGCGGAGCGCGAAGCTTCAGTGTCCGATGCCACTTGCTCTAGCTACGTTGTTGCTGATCAAACAGCCAGTCAACCATGAGGGGGTGTTTCAGTTCGATTTTGTTACATTGAAGGATGGCTTTCGCCACCTGCTCACTGCCAGCTCTGATTTCTGTTGCCGCCCGTGCTTTGACGAGTTCGGGAAGAGCGGTTCGAGGCATGAGGCAGCACAGCTCGTGAAGAGTTGCTGGCGAAGTGTTGCAGTATGGAGGCGTGCGTTGAGCGAGAGAGTTCGCTCGATCGGCCATTCCAGTTTTGACTTCGTGACTGCTCAACCCCAGGCTCGAGCAGACGTAAAAAGGATGCTCTCGCATTTTGTGGTTCTTTAAGTCTGTGGCTTCATGTTGTGGTGTGAACAAGCGAGGGGAACGAGCGTTCGCTGCCTGCTAAAGTGCCCTTTATTGTTCGTATTCTGGCTCCGAGCATCTCTGGTGAACCCGCAAGCCGAACCGAAAGAGCCCATACCCTAAAACCCTAAAACTCCATAAAACGCTAGAACCCCCAAAACCCAAAACCCTAAACCCAATATTATTCAATACACATGTGTATGTATATGTGTCATATAGATATATATACATATATATATATATATGTTATTGTATCCTTAAGATTCCCCAAGCCTAGCCCTACACCCATCCCCAAGGGGTCTCAGTGGAGCCCGCCCGGCTTCTTCGAGGGCAGGGCGCTGGTCATCGCAGGCGGGGTGTGCACTTGCTCCAGTCCCCTGCAAACATCTGTAAACCCTAAACCCTAAACCCTAAACCCTAAACCCAAAAATCTGGACTTAGGGTTCAGGAATTGCGGGCTTAGGGTTGAGGACCTTTTTCGGGGGTTGGGGTCCAGGGTTTGGGGTTTTGGGGTTGTTGTTAATTTCTTTGCAGAAGGCCACTCTTTTCATGGTTCCAAGGAGGGTGCAGTTTGGACCTCGCTACCGGACTCCTGGCTCCAAGGAAGAACGGAGGCAAGGAAGGAAGGAAGAGGATAATGAACCCTAAACCCTAAACCCTAAACCCTAAACCCTAAACCCTAAACCCTAAACATTAGTACCGATAGCACCGGGAAAACAAAGCTGTTGTTCACGGTTACAGAAGGGATGAAGCCATCCGGACAAATCTGGAGGCTATCGAGGCTGGCTTCCTCAGTTAAAGAGATCACGGTACCCCTCTCTGCTGAAAGTGCCGCGTCAGAAGCAGAAGAAGAAGAACAAGAAGAACAAGAAGAAGAGGAGGAAGAATAAGAAGAGACGAGAAGAGGTGTGATTCTTCGATATGCTGCATCAAGTTCCTGTGGAGCAGTTGTTTTTCCAGGTGTGGTTGGTTTTCCTGTGCCCGAAGCACACAGATGTTGTCAACACATGGGCAACACAAAACCAAGATACTCTGAGCAAGGCGAAGGCAAGCGCAAGACTACTGAGCACATGTGACTCTGACTCTGACCTCACGATGGCCGATATCCGACGGCTGAGCATGCGTGAGCACGTCGTACCATTTCGGTCTATCAACGTTACTACAGTCACCACGGATGCAAAGATGACGAGTTGCTATTGACAAGAGGCAGTGAGGAGCGGGAAGCTCTGCTGATGCGGCCGGCCCCTTAATGGGAGTGTGCGGTTGACTGGACGAAGGCCTCGTGTTTCCACGTGTTTTCGGGCTCTGTTTTGTGTAATTGTGTGTCCAGGGCACGGAGGCTCATTGTGCGCAATGTCCACATAATACCATCACCCAAGTTGCATTCACCTCGCAACACACGACACGCCACTCGGCACGTTGTTACCTGTTTGAATTCTGCCCCTTTGGGGTACACCAAAATTTAGAGAACCCCTCCCCCCCACCCCGGTATGAAAGCAGTCCCATGTCTAGGCGTGACACTGCAGTGAGCTCTGCCCAGGGGTGCAAGCGCGTTCCTTGGAGATCTCTCTGTGCGAGTGGCTGGTGGCGGGGCTGAGCTCTATGTCGTCTCGCTGGCCTGTGGTTGCGATGTGTATACTCATTCCGCAACGATGGAGCAATGTTTTGGCGCGCAGTCACCTCTGCTGCATAGGGCGAATCTCTTGCCAGGGTGGCTCTGCTGCTGCCGTGGTGGCATCAATTACTGAGTTTATGAGCGGACCAGTTCAGGACTTGCAAGTGTTGAAAACTGCAGCTAAACGCGCCGGAATCATGAAGCAACCTTGGTCGAAACTGTTCGTGATGACCTGGCAAGCGATGACTACTAATTGCTTAAGAACCACAAAAAATAAGAACTCTTCTTCCTTATTAAGAGGAATATAGGTGTTAATTGTTTTTTTATTCTTTTGGGATTCTTAAGCAAACAGTAAGTAGTAGATGAGCCACCAGCAACCGACGCTCTTCGCTTGCGAGGAGAGGCATCCTGTGGAGGGTCTTCTTGCCCTTGCCGGTAACAGCGCGAGGCAGTCCGACAGGTTGTTGGTAAAAATCCTACGCCCTGAGCCCGGTTCATGTATATATATATATATGTCTATCTATATATAGGTATATACATATACATATACATATACATATATACAATATAAGTATATATATATATATGGGTCTCAGCGAACCCCGGGTCATGCACAGCATGGTTCACCTTGAGACCGCCATTTAGACGTGTGAGCATTCCAGGTACGTTGTTTTCTTCAATCGCACAGTCTTGCAGCGCAAAGCACAGGTCGGGATTTCAGGCGGCCACCCTAAGCCCCCGAACCCTAAGCCCTAACCCTCAAACCCCCGAAAATATCTTCGGGACACGCGGGCTCTTATCGCAGGGACCCTGACCCGGCCGTTGCACGCTTGGACGACCCCAGCGTGTACCTGGTTCCAGGCCCCAGAGGGATGTGGAACGCTTAGGGTTCAGGGCTTTCGGGGTTTAATTGGGGGTTTATGCCGGGGTCTAGGGTTTCTTTTCGCGAAGAAGGTTTTCGGGTTGTCCAGAAAATTGTAGGTGTTCAGGGATTGTGGGGGGTGTTGTAGATTAATTAGGGTTTTTGGGGGAGGATGAGGCTCAGGATGAGGATGAGGAGGAAGAGGACGACGATGTGGTGTTGCTGATGTTGATGATGTAGTTGAGAATTGGCTGCAGAGGAGTTCTGGTGTGCAGGAAAGAAGCTCTGCAGACGCGACCTCTTCAGACAGCTTCAAACATGTTTCACTATGAAACCCGAAACCTTGAACCAGAAATCCTGCCGAAGCCCTAACCCCAAACCCCAAACCCTAAACCATGCTTGGATTCCAGTACTTTCTCGGAAGTGCTGCATGCAAGCCGCTTTGTGATCTCTTCGAGAGTAGCCAGTTTGCGAACGCAGCATGGTCCACGTCAATGCAAGGGCTCTGTGGTGTGTACGTGTTTGTGCTTTGCTGTTGCCAGCAGATGTCACCAGGATGCGACGGCGGAGATTTCGGCCATTTGGCGACGTTGGCCCAGAGTTTTAAAAACTGCCACGCGTGTCAGCTCGAGTTTGACGAGGAGGCCCGCTTGAATGCGCAGCCAGTTGCATCGACTCAGGTTAAACTTGGGCTTGAAAGGCAGAATCTCATACATATATATATACATATGTATAGTACTACAGTGTATATATATATATATATATGCACACGCATATTCTACAACTTTACATTTCATATTGAAATTGTAGAATGATGACTTCAGCTTCACACGAGAAAGACCCCCGAAGCGCACCGGACCTTCTTTGAGCGCCGAGAGCCTCAAAGTGCTGCTCGAGGCGATGCGGCGGACGTCACTGTCCGCCGTCGCGTCCCTCTTCGTACGAAGAGTTCTTCAGGCCAGGTGCTCGCCCGACCCTCTGCGGCCTTCACTTCCGAGGGTTTAGGGTTTAGGATTCTGGAGGTGTTTCATCAGTTTCATCTGAGTCGGAAGTGATTCACTTGCGAGTCCACAGGATCAGAGCCGCAACGGCCAGCCGAAAACGCAGGCGACGGCCGGGCGGCCCAGTATGGCCCAGTCCATGAAGGAGAGGCCCAAAGAGGCCTCAACAGCATCTTCCCGCCCTGGTGTGTCTCCAGGCACCGAACGGCCACGACCCGGAGGATAGCGATCCAGAACCCATCGAAGCCGGAGATCTTGGAAGGAAGGCGCGGGTTTAGGGTTTAGGGTTTAGGGTTTAGGGTTTAGGGTTGCAGGGAGACTGCTTCCCTGGACGTGGGGAACTAAGAGTTGGGAAGATCGCCCCAAAGCCTAAACCCTCAAGCAGCCAGACCCCCCTGAACCCTTAAACCTCTTAAACAACTCCTACAACCCTCTTAAACCCCCTTGAAACCTCCCTAAAAACTTCTAACATGCCTCAAACCCCCCTTTTTAAGCCCCTGATAAAAACCCTTAAAAGCCCCCTTAATCGCACCCTTTTATAAAAAGCCCCTTAATCCTCCCCCGAGAATCCTAAGACAGGTGGTGCTCGTGGGCCACGTGACCGGTGCCTCCCTTGCCTTCGAGATGGCCATGCATCTCCAGGAGGCCCAGATCGAGGCCCCACGGCTTTTGGGGGCTTTTTGAGGGGGTTCCAGGGTTTGGGGTTTAGGGTCTGGGGTTTAGGGTTTGGGGTTTGGGGTTTGCGGTTTGCAGGGTTTGGGGTTTTCAGGGTTTGGGGTTTGGGGTTTACAGGGTTTGGCCGGTTTGGCCGGTTTAGGGTTTTAGAGTTCTGGGTTTTGAGTTGGGGTTTCGCTTAGCGGGCCTGCTAGGAGAGCTCATTGTCTACGGTGATGTGTACGGGGCTGGTTTAAGAGGAGCGTGTTCAGGAAATATTTTTCCGAGGGTTTCAAGGACCATCCTAGTTCTTGACAGACAATGAGGGAATTAGGTAAGCAAGAGTAGGATCAACCAAGAAAACCATGCTTGTTCTGTAAACCTAAACACTAAACCCTAAACGAAGCCTTCAAGGGTTAAGATTTAGCAGCTGTCGGGATGCTTTCTTGGCCTCCCTCAGGTCGCGTTGGTTGTCATCCAAGGCCCGATCCGGGATACGAGTTCTTGAGGTTTAGGGTTTTGGCTTTTGGGTTATGCATTGCATCTGCCAGCCGATATGAGAAGCCTTGATTGTTTTCAGGGCTTAGTCGTAGCTGGCAGCCCTTCTCGGTTGAGAGCCCAGACCTGAAGAACAATTACACTGAGCAGCCAATGGCAGCCTTGTTTTATGGAGTTCTTGGGTTCATGGGGGCGAAGGAACCTGAGGGAAGCTTAGGGAACCTTGGGGAGTAGTGGGGAGTATTAGGGAATACATACCCCCCTTGAACCCCCTCCCTTAAGACCTCTATAATTGTTTTTGCGAGATTGCTGGCCAGAAGCGTTATTGCAAGCCCTGACGGAGCCCTGCGGAAGCTGTCAAACGGTCCAATGATCTGCAAGAACTCCTCCGTCTTCACTTGTGCTGGGTAGGCCGCCGTTCTGAGAATCCAACCGGAGTTCAGGGTGTGGGGCTTCGGGTGCGGGGTCTAAATAGGGCTTTCTGGTTTGAGGGTTTGGGGATTGTAGCTAATTACCCACAACCATGGGCGGCCCTTGGGACACAATATATACATATATATGTATTATTTTTCCACCCTCTTTGGGGGTTGAAGCGGGTTGGTTGTGTTCAGAGTATAACTTTTCCTAGGAAGCCTCGTGCCTGTGCTTGCATTTCCCCAGTTGCGAAGTATCATCGACAATCCTAAACCCAAAGCCCCCCTATGACAATTGTACAAAGGGGTTCGGGTAGCGCAGGTGAAGTGGCCTGGTCTGGCGGCCCTGTTCCCGACCGCTCTTTCAGCGCAAGCTGGCTTGGGAGCACTTGTGAGGCGGGTTGGGGCCCTCAGCCCCTGAGCCCTAAGACGGCCCGAGGCGAGGCTTTTGAGGGCTGCCTGATGGAGCGCTGAAGCTTTCGGGGGTTCGTTGGACAAGGCCTTGGGATTTTTGGCTTCGGGGTTGTGGCAGGGGCAACAATTGAAGGTTTCACTGGCGGCCTTCATCCATCACAGGCAGAATCTGAGTGCATTTACATAGTGCGCTCTTGTGAGGCCACGCTGCTTGTCGCCAGATGTCTGGGCGCCGCGGACTTCGCAAGCAAAGAGGCAAAAGCCTTGTGGCGACTCGGAGAACAGGGGCTGGCAGAGATGCTATCCCCCCTCCTCCCCTGCTTTGGCCTGCCCGGGTATTTGGGTTGGGGGTGAGGGGTTAGGGGTTCGGGCCCTCATGCTTGTGAGTTGTTGGGCGTGGCGTGCCTGTCGTTGCTGGAAGCTTTGTTTTTGGATCTCCTTCAGCTGCATCATGTACTCGAAACTCGTATAGCGGAGCACGCAGCGGGTGTCAGCTAAGGCAGATGCAGGAGGATGATCCGTATGTTCTCAAAGGCCTTCCGATTCCGAGTCATTTGTTTATGCTGGAAGGGCTGGTTCAAGATGAGGCTGAGAGCACAGGAGAGCTGATCAGAGGACTCTCAGGAACAACAGGAGTACATGCACCGGTCGGAACACCGGCGCGATGCAGTCGCTAGACTGGCGCGCCAAGCAGGCTCAGAAACGCAACATCGCTCAAGCAAGCGGCGTCGTGTTGGAGATGGCACCGCGCTTCTGCTCTCCCCTTCGCGTAGGAAATGGCTAGCCCGAACCTCCCCGGTGCTTGTGGAGAGGCGGACAGGCCATCATCTTGTCAACCCGGAAGAAAGACCCCCGGTGCAAATCTGCAAGTTGCGTTCGCGCTTCTTTTCCCAGAAGCGCAACTCGAATTTTCCGGTCATTCACTTTCCGAGCTGCTTCATTGGTTCATTGAAAGAGGAAGCTCAGGGCGCAAGAGACGGCAAGCCTGACAGTACTGCGGCCAGCCTTTAAGCCCTAAGTAGCGCTAAGTCCAAAACCCTAAGCCCTCCACGAGATCCTGGGTCCCTGAGCCCTAAAAGCCCGAAGAGCCCGAGAAAAAAGCCTTCCAAAATCCTTGGGTCAGGCCAGCTGAAGGCAGCCTGTCAGTTCGCCTTCGAAGGCCACGAGTGCCAAACAGAACTTAGCGGAGCCTTGGCTCTCGGGGTGGTTTAGGGTTTAGGGTTTAGGGTTTATATAGGGTTTAAGCATCTCTCCTTCTCAGTATGTTAGAATATACTCACACACATGATTCATAATTCAATAGTTTAATCGTACAATAGTACAATAAAGTAGTGGTATATTCAAATAATCATATATTGATATAATCATACAATAGTACACTCATACAATAGCAAAATTGAGCAGTATACGAATATGATAATACTATATAATATTCGAATCACATAAAATAGAATACGATATAAGATGGGGATGTCTAGCCGTTCACAACGCTCGCCGCGGTCCCAGGACAGATCTTTCGGTCAGGACTGGAGGAGGCATCCAAGAAGCTGGTGATGAAGGCTTACTGGAAACTGTCAGAGAAGCTGAACGGACTGTCTGTGGATGGGTTCAAGTCCCTGATCCACACCACTGCATCTCGGCTGACTCTCCCGTGTCCATGCAAGCAGCAGTCGGCAAGGTCTGTCAGTTGTGAGGGTCACGGGTGACACTGTGCCTGAACCGAGGCAAAGCGAATAGAGCTTCAGCTGCAACGCTTCTGTTTGGGTCTGCTTCCCGTAGCTGCTTCAAGCGCAGCAGCTCTGATCTGGGATTCGCGCGAGCACGCGGTCCGGGTTTACAGATGATTGACATTGGGATGTTTACGGCTATGCGGTTCACGTGAATACTGAATACGCTGTTTTGTTGTTGATAGGCCACTGTATGGTCTGAGACTTGCACTACAGCGAAATGGAATCGTTTTGTGCCTTGAGGATTGGCTCATGGGCGTTGGCGCTGAAAGCGGTTGCTCCGACGGCACCTTTGACGGGCCTTCGCTTCTGGTGCTGGCGAAAGACTGCCCTTCAGAGGAAGCGGAGCACCTTCGGTGTGCCAATGGATTGAGGCTCAGCTGAAGATTAGGCGTGCGCTTCGATGGTTCATCGCTCCTTTGCATGCGAGAGCTTGCGCCGCCATGCTGTGCTCGGGTGCGCGGAGGTACGCGTGAGCGTTCGCACTGTCGGCACGTTATGACATCTCTGTTCATGTCGGAGCTTGAACAGAGCCTTCCATGCACGCGCAGCTCCCTTCCGGCTACTGTAGGTACTGCAACAACCTGGATGTGGTTCAAGTTCCCGGTGACCGACACAGCGTGCTGAAGCCGGGCTGCAGCTGCGTTCGTCATGGAGACCTTCACTTCAGGTAGCGTTCATGTCGAGTGTGAAGAGTTTGTCTCGCAGTTGTTGCGTGTTCTGAGAAGCCTTGTCGTTGTCCTGGCATGTGGCTGCTCTTTCGCCGTCCCCGGGTGCTGAGGAGTCCAGAGACCGCGCTCTCCCTCGCGGCTGCTCATCTGCACTACTTCTGCACGCCAAGAGCCTGTCGGGGGTTGGGCAACTGCGTGGGTAGGACTGGAGCAAGATGACACGAAGTGGTCTACCCTTTATATCCCTAAACCCTAAACCGGCAACTCTGGCGGGTAGGACGGGAACAAGAGCACGCAAAGTGGTCTACCCTTTATAACCCTAAACCCTAAACCGTAAAACCTGAGCCGTCAGGCAGAGATCCAGGCATTCGCTCGGCACTGGATGCGTGGCCTCCGGTGTCAGGCAGACGAGCAGCCTAAGTGAATGTTTGCGACGTACCATTGTCCAGTTCTGCCCTCTTGAAGAGAGCCACTTTGCGCTCGTATCCGTAGTTCTCTGATGATCACGAGGTGAACCGCTGGCATGCCATAACTTTGAGTCGGAATTGTGTCCCAACCTGCAAGCCAGGATTGATGCGGTGCGAGAGCCTCAGCATCCGGGCACTTCTGGTCGAACCTAAACCAAGAACCCTAAACCCTAAACCCTAAACCCTAAACCCTAAACCCTAAACCCTAAACCTAGACAATTGCAAGGTCTTGGAAGCTCCTAACGAAGGCACGTTGCCGTGCGCTTCAGGTCAGACCTGTAGATTGTAAATGTCCTTGCCTGACCAGCCGCTTTTAGCCTTCCAGAAGTCAAGTTGGAATCCACACGACACCCCCGTAAAACCAAGACATCCCCGAATGCTAAGCTTTCGCCGACCCTTGGCTTCGCACTTCGTCTCTGGAGTCCAACTCGATTTGCTTTGTCTCTTGCTTATCCTACGTAGCTATTTGCGGCCCCGTCGGATTTAGTTTATCTTTGGGACAGATGCGGTGGCATCACCCCGCATTGTTCGCGATGGTGATTCCGAGAGAAAAGGCGTCTCGGTTGCGGTGGGGGTTTGCACAACCCTAAACCCTAAACCCTAAACTCTAAACCCTAAACCCTAAACAGAAGCCCAAAGCGAAGGATCCAAAGGAGCCCAGGGCCCAGGAGTGAGTTACTGTCACTACTATTATTTCTTATTCTTATTATTGTTATTATATTTTATTCTTGTTGTTATTATTTAGTATGATGGGTATTATGAGTATGATGAGTATTATGAGTATGATTTGTTAGTGTTCTTACTATGTTTAAACCATTCTTCTTGTACCTACATGATCATTCTCTTGTGACATGTTCGTACTTAAATAGCGCCACATATAAATTGGAGGTCCGAGCACACCTTGAGGTCATCGACTGCGCTGGCATGCGGCCATTTTGCAGAGGGGTTCTCACTTCCACAGATGCAGTCAGTCAGGCATGTCAAGGGCCCCAAACCCTAAACTTGTCAACCCAGACGTAATCATGTTATGGCCGACTTTGGCGAGGCGAAGGTATACGGGAGCCGTGGAGTTGAAGAGCCATGCTTGGGCCTAAACCCTAAACCCTAAACCCTAAACTTTCAAAAGACATACCCGGGGTGGGGCGCAGGGAGGGTGAGGTGGTCGTATCGCATGTGGTCAGGCATCGCAAATCGAAGGGGCGAAAGATCCAAGGAGGGTCGTATCAATTCTTGCTAAACCGAAAGAGATGGCAGGCGGATTCGGATGCGTCACATGACCCTGGGACCCTCAACGTTAAGGCCTGGAACACGAGCGCTCTGATCTTGTTCGCCGTTTCGTGCAATCTCATCACGTTGTTACATGACGGACATGACCACCAAGCGTTGCCACCCAAGGGGTGTGCAGGGCAAAGTGATGGTCTGAATTTACAATTGTTCATCTTCCTCCTGGTGCATGGCGAGCTTCATAGCAGAGCCTCTTTCTTGAAGTTTTTGCTTTGTGCTCCTCAGCCATCAGAGCGGCTCGTCTTTGTAGCTCCCTATCACTTGAGGGCACCTTAGCCCTTCACTTGAGGGCCCCCAATTGGTGCACTCTTAGGGATGGCAAGTAAGACGCGTGTGGCGATCGTGGGCTCCGGCATCGGGGGCTTGGTGTTGGCCAAGACCCTGACCCAGTATGGCGAAGGCAAAGTCGAGGTGGGGATCTAGGGTTTAGGGTTTAGCGTTTAGGGGTTAAGTTTTTTTGTTTCTTTGATACGAAAATCGGGGGTGCCTTGTTGGGGTCTGTGATTAGAAAGAGAATAATGGTGGATGGGGGGTCGACATGAAGGGCCCCTTAGTATCGTAAAACGCCCAGGTGAAGCTCTACGAAGCCTGGGAGGAATGGAAGACGCGAGGTGGCTCCCTGGGCATCCAGCAATCCATCGAGATTCTGGAGAAGTTGGGTTTGAAGGAGCGAGAAGAAACGGTAGAGAAAGGACGCCAAACATCCCTCGGCTCCGTTAACACGAATACTACTAATAAAACTAATACTACTAACAATACTAACAATACTAACAATACTAATAATACTAATCATACTAATAGTTGACCGCTCCGAAGGAGACCTTCGACGCGTTGGCGAATCACCCTTCCACGTCCAAGTTTTGGAGCGATGGCCAGGAAGTGACTATACCTTGTTTGGGAATTATCTTGTATTTTGTTTGTATTAAAACCCAAGAGGATATTAAAACAACTTTTTTTTTATTAAGGTTCTAAGAAGAGCAAAGGTGACGCACTTGGACTTGGGGGGAGCTGGCCCTGGCGCTCACATCATCATGCGCAGGGACCTTCAGAAGATGATGGTCGACTCCCTCCCCCCAGAGGTGATTTGCATGGGCCACAAGTTGGAGAGCATCACGGAGGATGACAAGGAGGTAACCCTTACTTTCGCCAATGGCAAGGTGGAGAAGGCTGACGTTGTGGTTGGGGCGGATGGAATCCATAGCACCGTCAAAAAGCAGCTTTTCGACGCCGGGGAGCCAGTCCATGCTGGTTTTCGCCTCATCTATTCCTGCAGTTCCGTTCCTGTTCGCAAAAACCCAGACGAGGTGCACACCACCTGGAACACGGCTGACGGTGCAGGCTATCATGTGATGGATTGGACGGCAGGTGCCGGCGACAAGCGCCATGACGTTTGCCTGTTGATGATGCGCAGTGACGAGCTCATCAGCGACAAATGGGACTCGACGATAGTGAACCTGGGTTGCAGTTGAGGAACTCAAATACAGTTACTACAACATGTCATAAGAGTATGTCGTAGTAAGAGTAATCGAGGCTCCGCAAGAGAAACCGTATTGTTTCATTATGTTTTTGCTACATCCGTATGTGACACAATGTGTGTTGCCTGGTACCTGAATTGAAACCCCGAAGGAAGGAGAAGCTCAAAGAGCTGGCTGCCAAAGTGGCGCCAGACCATGAGGTGCTACACGGCGCCATTGACAACGCTGAGATGTGTTTCGATTCTGGGCGTTTGTTTAGGAAGCTTAGGGCTTCTTAGGGTTTTGCTGAGAAGGATAGGCTCCTTCCGCTGTGGAAGTGGCGTAAGAGGGCCGCGTGGAAATCAAGTTCCTCAATGCCCAGGATTGGGGGGTCTACATCCAACCAGTGTTGGCTACCTGGATCTCTCCCAAGCAGAAAGTGACATTGATTGGAGATGCTGCGCACGCAACCTCGCCCTTCATGGGCCAGGGTGCCAACATGGCCATCATGGACGCCTGGCGCTTGGGCCGTTGTTGCTGGGCTGTTGTTAAGGTATTCTAACAAGAGTAATAGTGACAACAATAAAAATCACCATAATGAACTTACTAAAGCAATCTTCAGAGACATGTTGCTTACTTTTATTAAGCATCATGGTAGCTTCCAAAGAATATTTTCTTTTCCGCAATAGCCATGTTTACGACATACCTACATACGCGACACCCTAAACCCAAGCCTGAACCCTAAACCCTAAACCCTAAACCCTAAACCCTAAACCCTAAACCCTAAACCCTAAACCCTAAACCCTAAACCCTAAACCCTAAACCCTAAACCCTAAACCCTAAACCCTAAACCCTAAACCCTAAACCCTAAAACTTAAACCCTAAACCCTAAACCCTAAACCCTAAACCCTAAACCCTAAACCCTAAACCCTAAACCCTAAACCCTAAACCCTAAACCCTAAACCCTAAACCCTAAACCCTAAACCCTAAACCCTAAACCCTACCTCCTTGACCCAGGTTTGGCCGCTCAAGACCCAGATGCTTTGAAGAACTACGAGGCCGAGAGGAAGTCGGCAGCTGAGCAGGTGGTCAAGATGAGCTCCTAGGCAGTTTAGGGTTTAGGGTTTAGGGTTTAGGGTTTAGGGTTTAGGGTTTAGGGTTTAGGGTTTAGGGTTTAGGGTTTAGGGTTTAGGGTCTACAGGCCATATAGGATATTGCACATACAAAATGTGCAGATGCATCTGTCTCTAGATGTATATCTCTCTCCGATTTGTGTGTTCGTGTTTCTGTTTAAGAGGGTTCGTGTTGAAGAATCGTTCTTTTTCCGCGCCCTAAAGGGGTCCCACCTAGGCTCCTTCATGGGCAGCATGTACACCACCACTGGCTGGAAGGCCAGCATCCGCAACTTCGTCCTTCCCTACGCCCTGCCCTATGCCTTGTCCAAGACCTTGGTCAGCCCCCTTAAGGAAGGAGACTGACTTCTGATGGCGAGGCAACACAGACAGAATCTGATGCATTTTAAACTCGACCTCTTTGCCCTGAAGGGGTGCATAGAGTCGCTCGAAGCTTCATCTTCATTCTCTGACTCCTTTTGGGGAGTGGTGGCCCGAGGAATACTTGGGTTAGGTGCAGTTGGACGTGCCAAGATGGAAGAAATGGCACCTGGGTGATCAGCTCAATCCTTCATTTCTTGCCGGCGCATGTCAGAGAGAATGGGTCGAACTCCCGGCCGGGCATCGGCATATGCCTTTCGGACTCTAATGAGTTGGGCAGCTTTCCAAGGAATGGACCATTTCGGGTAACCTAAATGCAAGGCTCCGGATTGTGAGAGGACCCCGCGCAGCAATGTGTTCAGGGAATGTGCCACGCGAGTGGTATGAGCCAGAAATGCCACATCAGTACGGCTGATCGGCATGGAAGACACATCTGGCCGTTTTTGTTGTCAAGCCCCAGGGAGTAGTTAGCAACTACTACGTAGTTCTGTATCGCCTGACAACAGCGCTTTGCCATGATGAGACTTCTGCCAATTCTTTTGGCTCAGCTCCTCTTCTTTGGCTTGGGTGATGAGATCGGCTGCGCGGCTGATGAGCAGATCGCTGCTGCGGTACAGCAGGATTCCGCGGCTTCAGTTCCAGTAGATAGCTTGCATCTTGCATAGTGCAGCCCCGACCTAGGCTTCATCAGAGCAGCAAAACATAGTTCCAACCAGCGAACACATGGTAAATCCTCGAAGCAGTTGCGGCTAACTAAACCGTGATCCCCTTGCTACTCTAGACCCTAAAGCCCCCAACCCCCAAACCCTAAAGCCCCCAAAACCCTAAAGCCCTCAAACCCCCAAACCCCCAAATCCTCAAACCCGGAACCCTAAAATACCCCAAATGTCCAAAACAATCTCCAAAAATCCCAAAACCCTAAACCCTAAACCCTTGGGCAGGAGGAGGGCGCGGAAGGAGCCCGCGGAGCTCTGGAACTGCTGCAGCTCAAGCGCAGCACCGAGGCTCAGAAAGACGAAGTCGAGGCCCGGGCTTGGGAACGCTTGGGGGGTTTAGGGTTTAGGGTTTAGGGTTTAGGGTTTAGGGTTTAGGGTTTAGGGTTTAGGGTTTAGGGTTTAGGGTTCGGATGGATGTGAATAAGAAGAATGCAAAGTGTAAACTAGTAAGGCCGAAGAGCCAGACCGAAGAACAATAAGAATGACAAACGTGCAGCACTAAGAATACTAGTCATACTGCAAGAGCTGCAGCAAAGTAGTAATTGTGGAAGCAGTGCTGATGCTGGTAATGGTCGTAGTAGTATCAGTTGCAATAGCCACAATAGAAGCAAATGTAGTCAGAGCAGCAGTAGCAGAAACAATGGAAATAAGAGTCGTAGTGGGAGTGGTGTAATAGATTGTCGACTTACGGTTGGTTTTGGGTCTTGCCAGAAAGGGTATGGTCGATGCGAGTTTCATTCTGAAAGCCGCGCTGGCACGAGGAGACTGCCAATGAGACCGCCAATGAGACTGCCAATGAGACTGACAAGTTCGGCCCGAGCATTGGCTATGGCAGGCGCCGCAGACGAGCCTTCGGCGGTGGCTACGGTGGGCGGCGAAGGTTCAACAGTGGCTACGGTGGGCGGCGAAGGTTCAACAGTGGCTTTGGAGGACGGCGGAGGTTTGGGAACCCCTATGGTCACCATGGGCCCTATGGCAACCCCTATGGTCATCACGGCCCCTATGGCAACCCCTATGGTCACCATGGGCCCTATGGCAACCCCTATGGTCACCACGGCCCCTATGGCAACCCCTATGGTCACCATGGGCCCTATGGCAACCCCTATGGTCACCATGGCCCCTATGGCAATCCCTTTGCCAACCCCTTTGCCTGGTGAGCTCAACCCTCTGCTTGCACGACAGAAGTTCGTGTTCCGAGGGATTGAATGACAAATTTGCCAGCAACTAATGTTGACCCTCCAACGACTCTCCGACGCCCGCCTGCTCCCTGGAAGAAACTCTGATGCCTGGCTTTTGCTATCCTCGTCAGCAGAGCTTGATGTCGATGCTTGAAGCAGAATGAAGCGCCCAGTGTGGGGAAACCCTAATAAGCCCCAACCCTAAACCCTAAACCCTGAGCCATGCTGAGCTTTTGGCTCAAGGCTCCAGACACGGGCTTTGGGCTTAGGGCCTCAAAAGGGCATCCCACACTCTGTCTTTTTTGGGGCTTAAGAGGGGCTGGTCTTCTGCGGGGCCATGACCATGACGTGGAACTGCTTCATCGGGCTGCTAGCAAGGCTGGCAATAGCCCTCTCAGCCGACTCCAGCCCCGGCGCCTCTTGCGACGACTTGGCAGACGGTGCCTTGGTGCAGCTGTCTCATCGCGGTGCGAGACTCAACCGGTCTGAGTCGGTCGAGGAGCAATTTGGGACCGACAAGGTGATCAGCACTCTCGCGAACGCGAAGCTCTGTCGGCTTATCCGGAATCCTACGGGCAAAGGTCCCATCTGCACCGAACTCGACTGCTCTGATCCGGTGTTTGCCATGTGTTGTCCTCGTCAGTGCGGGGTGCATCCGCCAAGCAGCTGCACTGGCTTCAACCCAGCTTGCCAGGTCCGCAAGGCAGCTTGCGAGATGGTCCTCTTCTTGGCCGATGACGCGAACCCCTTGCTGCAACCGCAGCTCTACGTTGCTCCGGGCACTTATTATCCTGCAGACCCAGGTGATGTCACAACTGCAGACATGGGAGGCTACGATCAGAATCTTTGGCAGGTGCTGCAGAATCTGACGAGCATTTGCCTGGGTGATGGCTTCCTTTGGCTTCGCAACCAGAGCAGCTTCATCAAGAGCAGGGCGAACTTCAGCGGCTACGATGAGCAGACGGAGAATCTGACCAACACGTGCCCCACAAATCCAGAGTCGCAAGCCGACGATGAGGAAGGAAAGGACAGCATGCAGGCAGGGGTGCGCACGGTGATCAAAACCGCCGTGGGAATTGACACATACGTCGTCGACATGGCTTTGGGTGGTGGAGTGGCTGGGGTGATTGCAGGTAATATCTTTTCTTCAGCGATGGGGTTGGCACAAGGACAGACCAATGGAGCACCAACAAATCCCTGCACCTATGCAAAAAAGAACAAGTGGGGCGAGTGTGTCTGGGGGCAGGTCCAGCAGTATGTCGAGAGGTACGTCACCTCGTACGTGCAGAAAGCCTTGCAGAAGTACAACAAAGGGCAACTCAGGATGAAAATGAGCGCTCTCAACTTCCAATTGGCCCAAATCAAGAAGGCATATCTGGACAATTCTGGGGACCCAAAGGCACTGAGCAATGTTGTGAATACGATGGGCAACTTGTTCGTGACGGTTACGAAGGAGGTGGCATTCTTCGTAGACAGCCAGCTGCTCACCCCATTCTTGAGCATCAGCCTGAACGTGCAGGGACTGGTCCTGTCCTCGAAGAGACTGCGGAGCCCATTCCACTTCAAGGCCCTCGCAGGCTCTGCTGTCTGCTATGCGAAGGTTGTCCTGAAGCGTGCCACCTACTTAATGCAAAGTCGGATGGCGGAGCTCAAGGGCATCCAAGTCAATCGCACCTCATTGAGGGGCGATGGGCACCACTGGCGATACTACTATTCAGGGCCGTACGATGCAGAGTGCCAGACCACCGAGAACGATGCGCTCAAAGACAGCCCGTACATCTGCGACCCAGAGTATGGCGAATCGCACACCCCTCACCACTCTCTGCCCCAGAACCGCCAAGGGAAGGGCGACTGCGGCAACTCGGAGGGTTCCAAGGGCAACATCGCATGGAAGAATTGGATGTTCCATCAGGCCTTCGTGCGAAGGATGCAGCAGCAGACCTGGGGGAAGTTCCTCGAGCCCGTCGTAAGCTGGCTCGAGATCGCTCAGAACTTGGAGGCGAACGCATCCACCCTGAATTTCACAGCGCGCGACTGGGTCTGCAAAAAAGGCGTCGTGCCGCCCCCCGTCGCCGACGTGGCCAACCTGAGCAACCCCTCGGCGGGTGTCGATCCGACTCCTCTGGTCCAAATGTTTGCCAGCTGCCCATTCGAGATCGTGACGA